TTTTTTTTCCTTCTGAATCCATCCTTAGAACCGCACTGTCGGGAACTACACGTGGTCTGATGGGTCTACCTACACTGCAAGCTACACCAACTGGGATGACAATGAACCGAACAACGCGTAAGAATAACAAACGGACAGAAACTGATGCCGTTTGCTCCTTGCATGGAGCAAAGGGCAGTTCCTTTTGAAACTTTGACCCACTTTCGGGCTTAATGTTGTCCCTTTTTACAGCGAGTCACTTAGGAGTGCAACCAGAGATTTTGTTGAATTCATTGATGCCAATTGATTTTTACCAATTCTCATTTCAGCTACTTCAATTCTGGTGGCGATTGTGGATCAGTTATGGGCGACGGCCTATGGCGCATCCAGAGATGTCGATGGGACTGGAAGTATCCATTATGTGCAGTATCTGAAGGTTGGTAGCGTGTTTGTGTATGTTTGATTGTCTGCCTATTCTGCTGGAGTCTTCCTGTTTCGTATTGATGATAAAAGTGTGAAAATGAATCATTAAAATGTTCATAATGAGCCACAATTGCAGCACAGTTGGTCGACTGATGACAATTAATGATACCATCGTGCAAAGGGCTTGTAAACGTATACATTTATGTGAACATATATACTGCTTTTCTTGGACGAGACAGGTTTTAGGGTCGTTGCGTTTAATTGGTGATATTCATTTAAAAGTAGCTTATGAAATTGACTTTTCAGTCATTATTATTTATCAAGTGGTGCAACTTTTTTTTTTTAATATGAAATGTATTATTTTTGGGGTTTGGGTTTCGTTTATTTTTACTAAACCTGTAATTAACATTGGTCATTGTGTGTTGGTTGGTGGTGGAGGTGGCTAGCCCCCCCCCCCACCCTCCTCCTCGCACAACCATCCACTTTGATCCGCCCCTGTGTTGCGAACATTGTTTTCTACAGGTACCTGTGCACCGGGGTGGCATGCTGTGAATGGTCACTGTTACCAAGTCAACTTTAACGTACGCAAGACCTGGACGGATGCCAAGCATTACTGCGAGGCCCAGGATGGATATCTGGTGACAATACAGGAGTAAGAGCTTGCTTTCTCTCTTTAAGAATTATGAGAATTCAAAGCCACAGCCCCCTCAGCTTTAAGAATTTTCCAAGTCGGTAGTAGTACTGCTACTACTGCTGTACCTGACCATCAACTGTTCGTCGTGACCTCCAACCTCCCCGGTCAAGGGGAAGAGACCGGCACTCGATTGGCGACAGCTGAACAGCATCCGCTGCCTGTTTAAGCCAAGTAAGCCGAGGAAAACCACGAGGCCTCGTCCAAGTTGGAGGCCGATACCTCAGGTGCAACTTGACGGAAGCGTCAAGAGCAAGACGGGCAGAGGCAGGAGCTTGGAGGCGCCGAAGCTGGTAGTCCCCCCATTGCTTTGCCTTGCCTAGGCTATGCCTATGAAATGTCGGATGTAGCCCTCATGATCGTTCCAAGTTGACCTGTCTTCTGCTTAATGATTGTCGTACCCATGAAAGTTGTGAGGTCATCTCTCCATCTTGTTTTGCTTGCCTCTTCTTTTTTTCCTGTCATAGGTTGCCATTCTGTTATTTTTTTGTCCATCTGTTGTTATTTCTGCGAGCCAAGTGCCCAGTCCATCTCCACTTTGACTCTTTGATCTTTATGTTGACATTTGTTAGCTGTCGAATGACAGTACATCTCACTTTGTCTCTAATATCTTTGTTTCTTTGACCCGTTATAATTAATTAATCATGCAATACTTTTCTTTATTTAATCCACGCACTATACTTAAAGCAGCAAACGTTTTCTGTCCAAAAAGTATTGATTTTACTTCTGATGCAAACATCCTGAGGTATTTGAAGTCTCTAAATTTTGATCTTTATGTTTTTTTGTTTTTTAAGATCATTTGAAACAGACCTCATTCAAAGCTTCCTCCCAGATCTGATCGACTTGGGCATCTCAACGCTCTTCATCGGCATTTCAGGTCAGTCTTTATAGTTGAATGGACGTTTCTTTTTCAGCATTTAATATTTACAGTCAGTACCATCAATCAGCAATTGAAAAAAAGACGTAATTGTAATCCTATTTTGGATAAACTGCAATCATTTTGAATGTATACTAAGAAAGTACAATAAAAGTGACACATTACGTGCATATCTGTTTTAAATTTCAAGCAAAGTAACTTTGCATTTGTTAAAGGAAAATCAAGGTTTTGGTCAAAGTTTGTGCTCAGAATGTCTTTCAGTGAACGTCCCATCTCCACGTCTAACGCCCTCGCCTGTTTATTTCTTTAATAAACAGATCAAGAAACAGACGGGGTATTTGAATGGGTCAATGACGGACCCACAACCTACCAAAACTGGGCTCCTTCACAACCAATCAACACAAACCATACCGACTGTGGATATATCTATACAGGTTTGTACATCACATCATTTCTCACCAAGACTATTTCAGGAACCGATGAGAAACTGAAATGATTCTTGAAATAGCATTTGAACTTTCTTCATTTACTCAATGGAGTTTTCAGAAAACAATGTAAAAACCATGGACCGATAATGAGCAATCAGTGCAATTTAGAAGCACACAAAATCGTTTGCATTTATCCCAAAACTAAACCAGAACTGTTGTCAAAAAGCTTACTTGGATTAAAGATGGCACTTGTTGTAAGAAAAACCCTTTGAAATTATTCTGTCTGGCTTGCTGTCTTGTAGAAGAAATCAAGAAATGTAAGTGATATCCACGATCAGTCAGTTGACTGATAATTGTAAATAAAGTCTATTGACAAAAACACGTTTTGTGATCAAAAAGGTGCCGGTTTTGCAGAGGTTTTTCACTGTTTTCTCGGAAAAAATGTAATATCCACGGAGCTGGAATTCCAACAGGTAACAGTCTTCTTTGAATTTTGGTTTGTGGTATTTCTTGAAACAAACAAAGTGAATGCATGAATTGCAAATGATCCTTTTATATGTCTTTAGTAAAAACTTGTTTATCTCTATTTGTATCTTGGTACCAACATTTTGTTCCAGGCAATTTGGCTGCCCAGTGGCTGGCTGGTGACTGTTTTGAGCTTGGGGCTTACATCTGTGAGATACATGCAGGTACTTTAATTTTCTCTTTGCGTGCTTTTTTTCTTTCTAAAATCAGATCTGATACTTTTTTGCCAAAGTGAACATTTGACATGTTCCTAATATTTTTGTATAACTCTGCGAACTCTTTTTTTCCTATTACACTTACAGGAGTTCCTGTAAAACCTGTGCCGCCAGAAATGGGTGAGTTATAAAATAGAAAAAAAAACACATTTAAAAATGTTCCTTTTTACCATAACGAGTTGCAGCTTTAAAAACAAACCCAACTCACTACAAGCAATAACTCATCTACTCAATGTACTTTATTCATAATGAAAAGGATGTCGCAGATTTGCCTATTATCATTTTTCGTTTATTTTGTTCAGAAACGGGCAAATGTGAGCCTGGTTGGGCCCTCCATGGCAACTTCTGTTACGAGTTCAGCTCTGAAGCTAAGACTTGGAATGATGCGAACATTGCCTGTCTCAACAATGCAAGCCAGCTGGCCAGTATACACAGTGACAGGGAACAGTCATTCTTTTCAAGTAAGAATGTAATAATAACCAAATATCATTTTGAAAACCGCTGATAAACTTTTGTTTATGTTGCTCTTGATATTATATAGGCCACATCCAAAATGCTCGGCTAAGGTTTTTGGATTCTAGATGCTCTTTGATGCAATCTGAGGCATTTCCTGGCCACTTTCCCCTGACTTTTTGAATGAAATGTGCTCGTATTTAGCGAGATGGGGATAGGTCATCAAAGTTGATTTATAACGCGCAAAGATCACATCAAAACTGTAGCTTGACTCTCTTCGAGATTCTTTAGCTCGATCCATGATTTTGAGTCGTCACTGAGAATCTGCTCAATTCGTAACTGCATGTCTGCAAGCGAGCACGTGCTTGTGTTTTGCACAGCTATAGGCCTAGCTGTCAACCGCCGCATAATGAAGCGACCTCGCGCGACGGCTCGTGCCGACATGACATAATATGCAATCTTTTGCCATGGGTTTCAGAACCGGATTTAGCTTAGTGAGGTTTTGAGCAGCGGTGTTTCATTATTGGCATTCTCCATTTGTTCTTTTTCCCTCTTCCTTTCCCCTTTATTCTCCATTCTCCATTTGCCTTTTTAACCGACAACACCATGATTTTGCCGACAAAACTGACTAATGGGGGCACTCCCTATTAGTCAGTTTTGTCAAAGGAAGGGGAAAGGAAGAGGGAAGAAGAAAAGTAATTTAGACATGGTCTCACTGACTAGGGCCCAGTTTCATGGGCTACCAAGCAAAAAATATCGCGGAGCTAATTTTCGTACTAAGCATAAGTTACTGATAATACAAATGGCACAGAAACATCAGTGGGATTCACGTACAAGTCTGATTTTATTTCAGCTCGAATTGGCGTCATTCAAAGCTCTGTTTGGATTGGACTTAATGACAGAGTGGTGGAAGGAAACTTCACCTGGACAGATGGAACGCCTGTAAGTCCTTGCCCTCCTATTTGTTTTTAGTCTATTTTGTTCCACTTACACTTTGGCAAGATGTAAGGTTGTGGGCTTGCCAATGCCCCTTGTGTGTCCCCCACCCCTTTTAAAGCATTTAGTAGTAAGGAACCGTTATATAACCAAAGATCTACCCGAACCCTTTTATACCGTCAATCTTTAAAAACTCAATTCCATTGGCCATAACACTCTAGGGTGGTGTGCATATATAACTTATCAAAATTGACACTTCAAAAATACACTTTTTTTTTTTTTTTTAGTCTTTTGTTTTCAAGTATTGAGAATCGTTACGTGAGTATTACCCTCAGCGTGCATGGGGAAATATTGCAAAACTTCCAACATTTTGCATTTCTCTTTCATGACAGTTTGACTACCAGAACTGGATGTCAGGGACCGGTGGTTGGTCAAGGGATTGCGTGACTGTGCTAGAAGGGCGAGATCTTGGAATGTGGACGCCTGCAGTCTGTACAAGGAACCACAGATATGTCTGCAAAAAGCCGAAGAGTAAGAAAATGTCGGCTGAAACAAAATTCAAGATTCAAATTGAACATGTGTTTTAGACAGTTTGGGATACAGCTTGAAATAACACTCCTTGTATCATGGACATACCAACATTCCGTTCTTAAGCCTGCACATGCATTTTTTGTACTACGACAACTCAATGTCTAAATGAGTACTTAACTTGATCTTTTGTTTTCATCATACAGTTGATGATGGAACTGTCCACACGCCTGCTCCTCCACCAACTCGTAAGTACGACACTAAGATCTCGTAAATGCAGTCGGAGGAATTAGAAGATGAAAGTCAATCATTTTGAAGTCTACGTGAATACATTTAAGTAGTTTACTGTTCATTCACTGGAAGACAACAGCGGGATTGTTAAATGACATTTTCTCAAAAGTTAATTTTACAACTTCGATTTTGTAGGTGGACTATACAGGGTGAGTAAAAAAAAAGAAAACCATCAGGCCAAAAAAAAAAAAGTCTCCGGTTTCTGGTATGCGCGCGCGTCGCCGTAGCCATGCGCGTCGGCAAAATGAATTTTTTTTTTTCAATGAAAGATGATGTCTCAAAATCGCCAAACTCACTGGTTTGACTGGAATCCTGCTGCTGCACAATTTTAACGTGTTTTTAGATTGGGTTATGGTCGAGAATAAGGTTTATGTGGCCTCTCTGGACTCCCATATATTTGCACTAAGTTTAGTCGGGCACCATTTGCAGTCATCAGCCGACATTTGAAGCAAAAAAATCAGGCAAAAACAAAAAAAAGCCGCGTCGCCGCACCACTTTTTGGGGAAGCTCCATATCAGAAACCGGAGACTTTTTTTGGCCTAATGTCGGTTGTATTGTTTTAGTGATGTTCTGCATGTAGCACTTTTAAAATCTAGGATATAAAAGCCCAATTCATAAGCTTTTTTTTAGTACAAAAACCATTCACATCACTCATGTACTTTTCAAGTTACGGAATTTTAAACTGAATCACCGTTTTGAAGTTCTGACTCACCCTGTATTTCCGTCACTGAAATCAGTACCCCGTTGTTAAAAGCCATTAAAAACCTCTTGTACAGCAGAATCCATACATTCAAATATCTGAATTCTTAAAAAGGCCGACCTAATCCTAATTGTTTGATGACAGGTCACTTTTAATCATTAATCTATTTACAGCATACTGATCATAATTACGAACCAAGATTTGATTTTCTTGGATGCAGCTGGCTTTGAGTCGCGTTGTGGCTGGGGTTGGGAGTATGACGTCGCCTCTGAAACATGCTACACCTTCCGGCCAGACAGCTCCGAAAACTGGCAGGACGCCCTCTATCAGTGCCGTGTGGAGGGCGGGGATCTCATCAGCATCACGGGACTGGAGGACCAGCAGTTTATAAACAGTGAGGGCAGTGTTGTAATCTAGACCGATCACAAGTCTGGCCACAAGTCACTATAGTATTGTTAATGTACCCTGACGTGGTGCAGCCCCTATTAACGTGGCGCACTGTAAGTTTTCGCCTCTATCGCCTTGCTAGAGCAAACGTTTTACCTAAAATTTCACACTAAATGATATTCAATCGAGCTATAAACATACCCGTTCATAAATCGGGAGTTTATCAAAGTTAGCAGAGACGTTTATTTTGGCGTGCTTACCGATTTCATTTCGAAGTGCACGGTGAACCCTTTGAAAATGAGCCAAAAAATTAGAAAACAAAATTTTCTGACAAACTTCTGCTTGGGTATGTAAGTAGACAGAGCCTAATAATGGTTTATTGGAATTTATCAGCTTTAAAGATGTTCATAAAAATATGTTAACTTAAGATTTTTTGGAGATACAGAGCCCATTTTTGTGCCAAATTTCCGGACACAACCGTTTTTGACAATTTCGTACGATATTACATCATATTTCAACTCTGGATTTCAGCCATCGGTAATCGCTTGCAATCAAATGTCTTCCCCCCTTATTTCTGAGCTTTTCTCTTTCAGGTCGTCTTCAGTTTTCAGGAGCTTTATATACTTGGATGGGTTGTAACGACCTAGGGAGGGAAGGCGGATGGGAGTGGAGTGATACGTCACCATTTGCGTTCGTCAATTGGGATTCAGGTACAGATGCTTCACGATTTATCCATTATCAGTGATTCATAAATCATACCTAAGACAGTTTACCCATTCCTATTGGTCGAGAGCCAGTCGCGTGACCGGTTTTAAACGGATGATAAAGACCGGCTGGCACTTTTGCAGCGTCACATGAAACTTGGACCCCTATGAAATCAGGTGCCTTTTACCCGTTTTATTGATTGAACGTTCACAATCCTCACAACTAGGCATGTACAATACTACCGTTGAATCAGTATTTCGTAGTCCTAAATTCACACTACACGGGACAACTGCGTTATGCGCAACATCGGCTAGGGTAATATCAGCATCCAGACTCCAACCGGTCTTAAACATAGTGTTTAAAACCGGTCAAGCACATATTTACTCCCTTATTATGAATATAATGGAACTTGACTTTTGACACATAATTTGTGGTAAAGACCTGGCGCAGTCACAAATTTATGAGTTGTGTATAGTAACATTCACGCTGAGAACTTATTTGAGTTTTGATTAATTGTTTTTATTCCAGTACTTCATGTTTAATAGTAAGCAGGTGCAGTTGTATATTGCAAAGTGCAATTTTCTAATAACCACGGTACTCATTACAAAGGGATTAATGTCTTTGTCACAGTTCATTTGAATAGCTTTTGATGTAACTATATGATTAACTTGTGTCAAACCTTGGAACACTGCAGTGTCTTGTGATGAACTTGGTTTGGTTGGGTTTCCAGCCAGTATATGGCAAGTAGGGAAAACCTTGAATGTGAATTCCCAGTTTTCAAGTCAATGATAACTCAGGGAATTTGAGAAAAATACCCCCCGTCCAAAAAAAGGAAGAAAGAAATCCAGAAAAAACTCTGGGAATTTCAAACTGACACAAGAAGGGAAAGGTTTTCGCTTGTTCGGCATTTGTACATCTTGTGCCCTGTGTCCAAGTTGTCTCCGTTGACTGACTGGCTATGGAGTTTGATTTTAGTGCATTGTATGCACTTTTAACACTGTTAGTGTTTTAGCGTATTAGTTGCTTTGCTGCAACCACCTCTTGACTTCCCAGTAACCTCTTTAGAGTGAAAATATTTCTCACGGAATTCTTGAAATTTCTCAGGGAAATATCAGGGAAAAACCTTTTGTTTTCACAAGCCTTTGAAACTCAGACTGCGGATTTGCAGGACTCTGGATACCATCTTTTTTTCCTGTTCCAGGTGAGCCGAGTAATGGTATGTGGAACTCGCCCCTTGGCCAGCATTGCTGTACCTTCATCAGTCTGTACGGTACCTGGGCAGACCGTGAATGCGAGCGGGCATTGGGCTACAGCTGTAAAAGAAACGGTAAGAAAAACACCCTTTGTTCGCACATTGGGACGAGGGGACGTTGCCCCAAGGGCTTGAATCTAGGGGGTTTGGATGAGGGTATGTATCCCCCCTTTTGACCGGGGGGATGGGCTATTGAATCATCTCCCCTACACTTTTTCGTGATGAGAAAAAAAATGCTGATACCGAGGTATTTTTTGAACATCCCAACAACAAAAAAGTGTTCAATAGCACTGAAAAGTGAAGAAACAAAGTACAATAGCTTTTAAAATGCGCCGTTTTGATGTAAGCAGGAGTATACATATTGATATACATCTATATATCCTGAAGAGCGCCCCCTAGTGTAATGTGGTGTCCGCCCCCCCCCCCCCCGCACCTCCCCCTTTTCGAATTTCCACGGCAATTTTTGGATTTGGTCCCCCCACTCGCTGGCTCAGATTTACGCCACTGGTCGCCCCTCACTCCGCCCCATAATAAAGATACCACACATGTAAAAGCATGTAAAAGCATTATGTCACCACGTCTCAGGGAAATTGAGATTTACTTTTTTTTACAAGAAGTATATGCCTTCACATCAGGCTTAAAATCAAAATAATCAAATGGAGTGCATGTTTGAACCTACGACCATCCGAACACCATCTCAGAACCTGAGCTATCCAGCCCTATCCTCCAAATTGTCAAACTTTTATAGGGGAGTGTGGCCTTGTGGCTATCCGGCTTATAATGACTCATGATCAAAAGATCAGGGGTTCGAATCCAGCTGCTGGTCTTATGTTGTGTCCTTGGGCAAGCCACTTCACCCACATTTGACTCTTTCCGCCAAGGAGTATGAATGGCTATTGGGTGTAGCCTGCGATGAACTGGCATCCCATCCAGGGGAATAGGGAAAACAAACATGCTCAGTAGTTTCGTGCCACCGAAACCGGAGATAAAATAATGCCGTCTTGTTGGGCTATTGTGCTTGGGACAGATTTTAAAAACTTTAATACTTTATTTTACCAGTGCAAAAGTCACTAATCAGAGGCATTAAATTATATATCTTACCTGTATCTGCATGTAAAAGCATTCAACCTGTGTTTCATTCTATCCTAACGTCACAGTTCTAGCAAAGCATGCTGCAAAGGGTCGTAATGGCTGCCAAGATCCTTCAAGGATTATGTTTTTCTTACAGATGGCACATTGTAATGTTAAACACACCATACTTATTGGGTGCATGTACTTATTTTTGCTATTCACAGCATACATCTTCAAGTACTTTGTCACATCAACCCAACGCAAGCTCCCCGACCACAGCGACGTGACCCGATTCCGCTACAACGTCTGGCCCGTAGACTGTGCGAACCTCTGCATGAATGCGAACTCATTCACGTGTCGATCCTTCGACTACCGGCGTGAAGAGCGAGCCTGCTACCTGAGCTCCGACGATGCTGCGTCAGCAGGGGGGCTTGTCACCACGTACGAAGGGAATCACTATGACTACTACGAGAGAGGTGAGTTCAGATCAAATGAAAGAAAGAAATGTTTTGTTAAGATCAAGGTTTCAAAATGTCCGAGAAATCTGAGAAGCTTCTTTGCCAAGTTTTTAATTATATATTTTAAATCAATTCGGAGGAATGAGCTATATAGACTGGCTATATTTCGATCCAAACAACGTTAATTTGCATTGGACCTCTCCGCACCAAAAATGAATTGCATATTAAATATTGAAAGTGAAACTAGGTCTATGTTCATTCTGCAAATCACTCACATATTTCTGAAAACAACACGAATAACCAATTTAAGCGCAAGTATAAAAGCCACTTTCTTCATTCCCCGTCCCCAACAATATCTTCCAACATCATATTCTGTTGAAATTCCGCTGAAAACTGCAGATTCAAGATATTGACTAGTTTTTCTATTTACCGTGGACTAACTAGTTTCATTTTTTTAAAAGTTAATAATGATCCTGACTAAAAACAAAGGTTTTGATTCATTACCCGTTCCACCCGTTACATCTAGTCACTCAGTCAAGTTGACAGCAAATGAAAACAACCAATGAGAAGCAAGATGTAAATAAAGTCCATATTCCTTGCTTTTCAAACGTGATTACTTTTCTCCTCCAGATTGGACGGTCTTAGTCCCAACTGCACCTCCTCCATTACCGAGCAGCTACAACTGTCCAACCAACTGGCGCAGCTACGATGGTTACTGCTATACTTTCAACACCACCCAGAAGAACTTCCAGGAGGCTCAGTCCTCCTGTCGAGACATGGGAGCAGAGTTAGTCAGTATCAAGGACAGGAACACCAACAACTTCATACGAGGATACCTGCACGAGGGTAATGTTCCATAATTCCCCCGTCCGTCTGTTTTGACACGGGATATATAGGTTATAGGTTTTCCCGGCTACTCTCTAAATTCCAAAGAGTGAAAATTCACTCAATTCGAGTGAAGATTCACTCCCGCTGTACAGTCGGAAACTAAGGACTAGACGTTTTAGAGTGAAATTTCTTCAATCGTAAAGAGTTTCGTCTGAAGTGGTTGTTTTTTCAGACTATTTCAATCGAAAATGAAAGTGATTTTCACTCTAAAACGTCTAGTCCCTAATTTCACTTTTTGGAATTTAGAGAGTATTTTAAAATGTTTATCATTAGAATGATCTGTTTCTAAAATTCACATTCCCCATCAGCATCGAATTGGTGCGCTTGAATGTTTAAATTTCGTCTGTTGTCAGACAATTTCAAATTCAGTTCAAGAAAATTCAAACAACAAGCACACGTTTTCGTCCCGGAATATTCGGTTTCGTCTCGTCTACAACGAACCTTGTTATCCACAAATCTAATTGATTTATTTTAAGAGACGAATTTGATCTCTGAATGCCGCCATTCGGCAACAGCTGAGACGAATTCTATTTGTTGTAAACCTTCCCAAAATATAGTAATTCGCGAAATAGGAAAAACGAAAGGAATACAAAGCCCCTCACCCCTTAAAACTGAAAATACAAAATTGGAAATCAAAATCCTGTAAAAAACATCCGATGATGAACACAGACGTCCCGCCAAATGGGGCCGGCGACATCGGCCTGTAAAAAAAAAGTGTGTCACATCAGTGGGCTGGGATGAAGAGCGCCACGTACAGTCCGAGAGTGTGCATAAGTGTCCGCTTTTAACAGTGACCCCCATGATAAATGCTCCCATTTCAGAAAGTCAGGAAAAATACAGTTTACTCTCCAAGGTGTTCGAGACACTGTGACACATCAACATTTAAGCTTATTTTATCATCTCATTTTTTGGGGTTAATCTGATGACTTCTGAAGAAATTTCCAACGGAATAGGATCACCCCTAATAGACCTGAAGCCCATCGCCATTTTGAAAAACGGTGCCTACACTCCATTGCAAAATAGAGCGCTTCCAGGGCCTCAATTTCATCCAAATTGTACAGAAATACAAGCTCAAGTTCCAGTGCACGGCGTTCACTCATATTTTGTAGGAACCCTCAAGTTCGTGGCGCACAGTTTATTGCACCCATATAGGGACACTGTTAAAAGTGGACACTTATGGACACTCTCGGGCTGTAGGTGGCGCTCTTCATCCCAGCCCACTGACGCGACACACTTTTTTGTCGCCGGCCCCATTTGGCGGGTCGTCTGTGTTCATCATCGGAAGTTTTTTTTACAAGATTTTGATTTCCAATTTTGTATTTTCAGTTTTAAGACGGCTGCAGCTATACGTCTTTACATATACGTCATGAGTTACCCAGAATGTCCTTTACAAGATTCTTGTGAAGCTCATCAGCCCTTCCCTGCCCATCGCCATAGGCCCTGTTTGCAGGGCGGGGGTTACGAGCGAAGCATTATCATACATAAAAATAATGAAGATGCACGTCATGAACAGCGCCCCTGGTATAATGCGGTGTCCTGCTGTATTGTTATTTTCGTGTACATTTTAGTGGTTTTTTTTATTTTTAGAATTAAGGATGAGAACGTACTGTTCACATTATTTTTCAGGAAAATAATGTTTGTTTACATCCTGATGAAGGACTGTTGGGAACAGCGAACGGAATAGAGGTCTGATTTACAGGGTGTACAAACGTCCGTAAAACAAATTATCGTTTCCTTTTTTAAGGACGCAACTGATGCCTGTTTCAAAAAAGCCTAAGTAATAATAGCAATCATTGTTTCGTAACGATAAGTATGTTTAGCACACGTATGTGCCTACGACTAACGAGGCTGCCGTAGGTCTATACAATTTCCAAACAAATGAAAACAGTTGGCCTGTAATTGCCCGAAATATCGACCTTTGTTCGTCCATGGAGCCAAAACAGATGTATACAACAATGTTCCACGTTTCTCAGCCTATAAGACAAATTGTTTTTTAAGTGAATTCCATGGAAGCCTGATGGCCGAGTGGTTAGATCCGTCGTCCACGAATCGCGGAGCCCGGGATCGAATCTCGTCAGTGTCGTTTTGCTTTTCAACGCACGTATTCTATTCATTCATTATAAGATGTTTTATTTCCCGTCGTGAATCACCAACTGTACCTTAGCTTAATCGGTAAGCACTGCGGCTGGTACTGTCCGTGAGTTCCAGGTTGGCGCCTTCGTACAGGTTCAGGGCATGTGGTCCACTCGGAGGATCAGGGCTTAGGGTGCCGCCCTGTTCCTCCCTTAGCTCTTTGCTTTTACATGGTGACTGGCCCTCCAGGGTTATATGGATGGACAGGGAAGGAAGTGTGTATTGGCCGGGACACCCGAGAGCCCAGAAGAGAACTAAGGGGTTGGCTGGGGCATTGTTATGGCTCAGACCGACCCCTGAATGCTTGGCTAGCACATAACTTTTTGATTTTTTGTATCCTCTGTTTTTTCAACTTTCAGTGGTTTAGTTTGATATTTTCATCTGCTCGGCAGGTCTACGGTTGTATTAAAAACTAAATCAAGGTCTATGTCATAAATCAGTTAATATTTCATAATTGACTATAATCAAAACGAAGTTTGTTCGATCACATTGACTATACCATTATTAATGGCGCAATTTCCAACTGACGTAAGAAACGCCGTATACAATATTATACCGGGAAAAAATAAAGATGTAAATCGTAATATTACATTTTTCAAATAACGTTTCTTTAATATTCCCGACCCCATGACGAAAGAGGATGACCAAACTTTGAAATGGAATGGTAAGTAACTGGGTTTTGTTAAAAGCGTGTGCAATTTTTCTCGGACAAAATTGAATGTCAAGTTGGTGAACTTGAATGGAAAATGTTTTAAAATGGCCGGAAAACCTATTCTTATTTTTTTATATAATCAAGAACATAATCAAGTTACCTTAATGTTTCCCCCCCCAAAAAAAACCTGATCTAAATTCTCGATGTTTGAAAGAAGTGAAAAAACTTGAATTGTAAAACGTGTTGGGTTGAGAGATTTGAAACATTATTTGCTTTTATGTAAACACAAAATGTACTTTACAGGGTTTAAAAAAAGGAAACCGAGCTTATTTTGTTGATTTCTCGGGTATGACTATAATTATCTAGGAAAATGGTAACCACCCTCTTTTACACAACCTTGTCTTGTTTTTCTTGACACCACGAACTCCATTTTACCGTCACGGATGACTGAGCACCAAGTGATGTAACTGAAATGCCAAAAATATAGATAACGGGCACTTTTGCCTGAATCTTTTTTTACCTGTCTTCAAACAGAAGCACCTTCGGAAAATCGTTTGTGGATCGGCCTGACGGACCAGGCTAGAGAGGGACTGTTCGCGTGGTCTGACGGCGAGCCAGTTACCTTCACTCACTGGAGCTCAGGCCAGCCGGATAATGTAAACGAGGAAGGCTGCACTGCCATGAACATTGACTCTGTGAGTATAGACTCTGTGCACAAGCACAGGGGGGACATGGGGGACATTTGTATGCATTGGTCCAGAAGCGCCTGATGCGAAGATGTAACGGGTTTGGATTTAGAACAGAATTTGTTGCTTACTTCGTGCCTTACGTGAACAAACTATTGCATGCATGTGGTGTGTCCAAAGCTTCCAATGGGTTTTCTAAGGTGGTAAAAAGGGCGGATCAACAGGGGCAACGGGCCATGCCCCCCCCCAAAAAAAGAACCCAATTATTTTTTTATAAGTGACCATCTGTTCCAAAAACAAATTGGTGAAAGTGGTCAGAAATTGCCTCAGATCGCACCACAGAGCATCTAGAATCCAAATTTTGTTTCGGGGCCCTCAAGCGGGCTCCGAACCTCTCACCATAATAATTTTTGGACCCACTTTTTTGGGGGACTAAAAATGTTCCCCCCCCCCTCAAATTGTGTTCCGGATCCGCCCTTGGATGGTAATTTCCTTTACTTTGCACCGGTATATGCTGCAAACAATATATATATATTTCTTTATTTACCTGCAGCATTTAGGCTGTTTAGCTGGAGATATTTCAAATGCTAAAATTACAATACCACCAAAAAAAATGCTAATTGATCGACAGTTTCATTTACTTTATGTTTGGGTGTTGTAAAATTTCTCTGAGACTTTCTAAACTGATAGTGTCATTACCATTTCAACGTGTGAATTGATGGCAATGTCTCTAGAAGGTACGACACAAAGATGAAATGATTCGTTGTATCTTCTCATTGCAGGGATACTGGAATGATTATGTCTGTTGGGAGAACTATTTGAGTTCCCTGTGCAGGAAGCCGATGGACGTGGCTCCTCCCCCTCCAGTTAATACGTCATGCCCAAATGTAAGTACTTTGGCCTCATCGATTATATAATGTTATCTGGTTGTAATATGTCTACTATCATGTTCATTTCAGTCTGAAACAAAATTGAGAGCAGAAAAATACCTGCAGGCTTCATTTTTGAACTTGTTGATCTGTTTTAAGCCAATTGGTGATGGAAACCCAAAATAGTGCCCACTATTTGTTTTAGAGAATCGTTTCTGCACGTAACGCTTTCCACATTTAAGGTATGGAAGTTCAATTAATAAGCCATCTTTTAGTGCACAAAATCATTCTAAATGCCAATGTACTTTTCCAGTTAAGGAATTTTAAACACAACTACCGTTTTTGACCTTGTCCACGGATCACATGATATTTCAATATAAAAGGAAACCATGTAGTATTCTGAAAATGGTATCAGAATAATCCCAAAAGGGGTAGCCAAGTAGAAGGCAGAGCGTAACTACAAGTTTTTAACATCATAAAGCATGTTAGTATAACGCTGGAAGCAGCAATTTTTAAGTTCCAGTTATCATGGTTATGATAGTGTTCAGATTTTTGTTGTTGTTGATATGTGAATAGTTTTATATTTTGCTGAAATATCCATTCCCCCTAATGTGTTCCGTGGACAAGGTTAAAAAAAATGTGTTTGTGTCTAAAATTCCATGACTGCAAAAGTACATGTCTTTAGTGATTTGAATGATTTTTTAACTTAAAGAAAGCTTATTAATTGGACTTTCATATCCTAGATTTTGAAAGTGCTACATGCAGAACTTTATTAAAACAATGGTGCTGACATTTTGGTTTCGGTTTTTTTTTACTCACCCAGCATTTATATTTTTTTCCCAGATCCAACTATCACAGAGTACTATGTAAAACTTCTTTAAAAACAATTGGGATTGACATTTGGTTTTCATTTTTTTACTCGCCCTGTATACGCAACATTGCATGCAGTACATTTATTTATCAGCAATCCAGTTACACTTTACATAAACTGGTATCCTGCAGCGTTGGGTAGCATGGATGGGTAGCTGTTACACTGCCTATCAGGACAAAACTGATTGGGTGGATGCTGGGAACCAGTGTGCTTTCAGAGGTGCTCAACTTGTCGTCATAGAAGATGGGTAGGAAACATAAATTTTCAACTTTGTTTTTGTTACATTCTGTTTGTGGCAGCGTTCATACCACGTAATAAAAAAAAAGCTCTTTTTGCGGTGACTTTTGAAAAGGAGCAAGTTTACTCAGCTAAGAATTAAATTGTCATTTTCCTTTCGGCCGAACCATTCACAATGCTTCAAATCCACAACGATTTGCGTGGACAGTTATTGATTGTGTTCAAATATATTGGTCAACCCTCCCCCAACTCTGTGAAAAAACCCAAATTTCATAGGAATTCCTTTAAAGTAATACTAACACCCTCCACCGCTCTGGCCCCCCAAAATATAATGGAAATAGTGTATTCCTGTGCACAAAATACGGACAGAGCCACCATGGTTTGTGGGTATGTACACTATTATGTAATGTACTGTAAAAAATTGTCTGATTTGAACAGCGCCCCCATTGAAATTTCTGTACGATATTGATTGAATCCCACGTATTGATTTTCGGAAGCCAAGTGTCCGGAGAAAAAAAAAACTGTCCACATTTCAGAATTGTTGCTGATGAACCCCCCCCCCCCTGATCCACCCCTGACTTAGCCATTGTTTTTGCTGATAATAATGTACTTTTTATTTCCTAAGCCATTTTGCTAAACATATTATGCTCTACATCCCTCTAATAATAGGGCCCATGACATGAATTTTACTGGGGAACAAACTTGTGTGAGAAAACTTTGCTAATTGGCCTACTGTTGTGTACTGAAGCAACAACAAATCATTAAAGAAAAGAAAAGACGGCAGAATATCCGAAATTCGGGCAACTTTTGGTACTGAAATAGCTGTAACATTGGGGTTTCTGCCTGAAATTAAATCACATTTTTACTTATTAATATGCAAATTCCAAAACGTGCTGCCAGATTAATTCTAGGTAAAGGGTACGATACTCCTTCAAGTGAATTATTTAATACACTAGGCTGGATGCCGTTACCAAAACGATTTAACTACCTGCGAGCAGTACTCATGTACAAATGTACCAACAATCTTGCCCCTACCTACCTGACAGAAGATTTCATTAAAATATCTGACATGCACCATCACTCCACCAGACAAGCAACTGAGGACACCCTGTTCATTCCTAAATATAAATCAGAATGCTTGAAGCATAGTCCTTTTGTTGCTGGGGCTACTGTCTGGAATAGTTTAAATAAAGAAACACGTTCAGCAGCCTCAATTGGTTCTTTTAAGTCAATAATGAAACTTAACTTTTTAACCGTTTAGGTTGCTTCAAATTATTGTTTTAATTGTACTTTTTTTTAGCATGTTAAGTGTACTCAATTTTATTGTCTTTATCACTTACAATTTTCTTCTTCTTCTTCTTCTTCTTCTTTTTTTTGGGGGGAAGCGTTTGTTGGATTGTTTGTTTGTTTGTTGGGTTGTTAGGGCTGTTTGTTTGTTTGTTTGTTTGTTTGGTTGGTTGGTTGGGTGCTTGTTTATTTGTTTGTTGGCTTGCTTGCGTGTTTTGTTTTTGTTTTTAGCATGTTAGGGATGCATGTACTCATTTTTACTGTTTTTATTATTTACAATAGTTTTTTTTAACTTGTTTTTCGTTTGTATTTGCAAGTAGGACTTATTTTGTGATCTTATTCTTAAATTAAACTTCTTAATCTGCACTTTTGTCTATCGTCGTTTTCATATACACATTTATATTGTTTATGTTAAACCCGTTCATGTTTCTTTTATTTAATGATTATTATTTAACGGTTATAGTTTTATATGATCTTATTTCCTATTTGTTTTGATAATTTTATACACTTTTAATCCTTTAAATTGTTAGTTTTGTTTTATTAATTTTAAATTATATGCTCAGGGCCCCGTGGAAGACCACATTATTTTGTGAACGGGCTACCCTGGTAAAAGATCAGAAATAAATAAATAAATAAATAAATACGTATAAGCATAAAACCAAAAAGGCACCAAAATTGCCCTAAAACGGCAAATTGAAATTACTGTTAATTGGGACACAAAGGTGTTTTTACGAGAATGATTACAAAATACAGTACATGGGCCCTTTAACTATGGCATGACATGGAATACCCCCCCCCACCCCTATTTCCAGTTATTTGATGTGCGGCCTATGTCCGTACCTTTCTTTCTCTGCAGATATGAGTTAGCCTTCATAAGCAGTGCCCTTGGTCTTCAGAATCGAGATGATTTCTTTATCGGTCTGAGTGATCGTGCCACCCCAGGATACTATGAGTGGATTGACGGCAGTTGGGTCACATACACCAATTGGGCCAGTGGACAGCCAGGTAACAGTGCATTCCTATATTAAAAGGCATGTCATCGGAATGTGTGCAATAACACATTCGCCATGTGGAATTGGATGAAGCCTCTTTCCCAAGACGTGTGTTACTGCTGGTCCAAGCAAAAATAATTCGGACACGGCTTAAGTAACATCAAAGAAACTTGTGTCACGTTTATCACAAATCAAAGTCAGAAGTCAACTTCAAGTCCACTATCCATTATAATAGCAAACTTCCAAACTGGAAAAAAGGGAGTTTATTACAAGAGAACTTTAACAAGGCCTTAGAATTTTTCATCGTGAATTGTGCTTTTGATAATGTTTTCATTGACTTGTGTAACGTCGCTATTGTGAATACCGCAATACCGAACATTCGGCTTCACCGAGCATCGTCTTTGGCTCCCGATTTTGTGTACAAAACCAACCGAACATGCGAAGAGCGACATGGGGATATTAATTCCCCAAGGAATAAAAGAGGAAAGCCACCCATTGCTGTAGGTAGAAAGCTAAGAAAATAACTGAGTAATAACACAATTCAAGATTTAACATCACTATACCGAACGATCGCTATTACGAACAGTTTCTGTGGATCCCGCGATGTTCGTTATAGCGGCATCCAGGCCCAATACAAGCCATAGTGATTTCAGTGACGGGGATTCGCCCCAAAAGGTCTGTATGTGACGTGAGTGGTCAATGTGTGGATAATTATCTTCCCTTATTAGTTCTTTTAATATCTATTTTGTCATTCTTACCAATTTGTCAAATCAAACTTCAAACTCCCTGGAATTTCACTGTTAAAAGACCAAATTGTTTTCTCTTTGTTTATCATTGCTCTGAATATTTCCCCCTTTTTAAACAGATGATAGAAGTGGCCATTGTGTGACAATTAACTCGGGTCCCAATGCCGGCTACTGGACCGACCGATTATGCAGCAATTCCTACCGTTACATCTGTGAAAAAGCCCGGGCAGGCTGGCCAACAAGTACGCCGCCAACCGCAAACCCTCCGACCCAGCCCACCGACACTGACTGCAACGCTGGCTGGATTGGATACGGGGCAAACTGCTTCAAGGTGGGTCCACGCTGGGTGGGAAACGAATAGTCGACACGGGGAAATTAAAGCAAAATCAGATCACCCTCTCAAACAAAGAAAAATAAAAGAAAGCGTCAAACGTTGAAAATTTAGCATGGTTTCATTTGCAAAATGACCAAAATTTTACAAAATGAATGAACGATTTTTGAAAAGGGTAATTACTTATTAGTGGTTGCAGAACCTTTTTTTTATGGTTTCTTGTTGGGAAAGCCATGGAAATTGACTACGATATGGGGCGTGTTTCCTTTTGTCGATTTGGCCAGGCAGTGAGAAAAATGTAAACAATGTCAGTGTCGATTTAGTGTTGTTGAATAAAGCTATCATAGAGAAGCAAGAGGCAACGGAGGCCATGCCCCCCTCCAAAAAAAAAAGAGAACCCGATTTTAACAGACGTCGCAAACAAGGCAGCCACCGCGTACACCATCCACAGAACCCAACAAAAACAACACATCTGCCACCTTTCTTCGCATATCAAATTTGGGGCGGACAATTTTGAGACCCACTTTTTCGGGGAACAAAATATGTGATCCCCAAAAAATTGTGTCCTTGATACGGTCTTGGATTAAGTCCGGTTGTCTGGCTTCAACCTTTTCGAACCAACATGTTAAGGTTTAATATTTTGTTTGGATTTGAGTGGTGTTATTAATGGAAGGAAACAAAATACGCGAAAAGCGAACATACCTTTAATTCTTCAGACTCAGTCGCTGATTTACAAAAAAAATGTATAACAAACAGGAGAATAATAATTTGTTCCATCTTCGTTGTCAAGCCCTTTGAATTCAGCTCACCCCAAGAGGGCGCCACCTGGTTGATGGCTCACTCAGAGTGCGAGAACATAGGAGCCAGTCTAGCCAGCTTCCATCACCCGAACGAGGAACAACACATCGTGAATTCATTGTGAGTCCAATACCATGAGATTCCAATTCATAAAATGTTGTCAGTGTTTAGAATATTATTTTAAAAATTACTCCTTCTATGGACTCCGTGAATGAACAGTAAAGACATTCGTGACCACTCATGGCAGCTGGGTTAGGGGGAAATACATTGGGTTTGTTTTGCATTCAATAGGGGACGTTGAACAATAGAGGACAATAGGGTCCACAATTCCCAAAGGTCCACGATTGACGATCTTATGCAAAACGTATGGAAGATTTTCTTTAAAAACTAGGTTACAAATAAAAGAGGGACAATATGGGGTCCACGATTGAAGGTGTTTACACACTTGTGTTGATTGACAAGGGCTTTGGACAATGTGACGAGTTCAATTTCAAATTCCATTCAAGTTGATAAATTCCGATCGACGATGTGATGAGTTCAATTTCAATGGGCCCGAGGACCTGGGCACTAATCCTAGGAGGACTATTTTTTGTAGTCGGTACGAACCTCATGGGAGCTGTCGAACAAAACAAAAGGGGGGGGGTGCTTGTTCAACGAGTCCAATGTAACACTTTCAACTAAATGAGTCATGAGTGAATTGTATGTTGTTATCTTCTTACCTTGATTTTTAGTGCACCAACTTCAGCTCAAGGTTTTTGGATCGCACTGAACGACCGGCGAAATGAAGGCGGTATGGATTTAAAAAACAAATAAATTAGAAAAAAAGACTGAAAAAAAATTAAATAAAGAGACGGCTGTTTGCATTTAAACTTTGAATCAGCAAAATTTCAGCTTTACGGAATTGTTTTTGTTTTTGTGAGTCCTTAAATTGGATAAAACTAGAGGAACGGGGCAAATTTGGCATTCTTTCGATGGCAGTTTTCGACTCCAGTTGTGATACGTGATCTGGTTATGAATAAAATATACTGTCAAACAGTTCCAAAACCATAGTCCCCGTTCTGATATGATATGGCCTAGTATGTGACAGATTCTTAAGGAAAGATTGTCAAAAGAGGACTTTGAATATTTTAGTTAATTGGTAATATAAAATTGCATGAAAAGTCGTCTGTGTCAAAACTAAGCTTCTTTAGACGATAGGCTGTCTATTTAAATTATTTACTTCAAAGGTTTTACATTTGTTTTCTCTGTATTTTTACGTCATTCTGTCCATGTTTCCCAGGTTATGAATGGAGCGATGGCTCAGTAGTACAGTACACCAACTGGCAAACCGGACAACCGGACGATAATGGCAGACGGGAGGAATGCGTGCAGACTTACCTCTCAAATACCACAGGATGGTTTGATGCACGCTGTGAACAACCGCTGAATTACATCTGTAAAATACCCAAAGGTACGCACACAGCCGTGAATTTCTACACGCCCGAGGACAATGCTTTGCGTTTCCGAAGTTTGTCCCTGCAATATAACACTCTTCCGTAGACTAATCACATAACCGTATGATTAAAAACCGTTCTCAACAAAAGGCCCAACGCTCGAGGACTGAAAGGATATTTTTTGTTCTCCCTTGTATGTGTCTGTCCTCTATCATAACGTCTGTAGCGTACTGCAAGCAAACTCCACTATGGGATATACGGTTGCAGGCGCGTGGTGGCTAGCAGCATCCCTAAACAATTTTGTTAGTAGGCCCCCTTAGTGTTGAAGACAACTGCATCTCATGGAGTCTTGACTTAAAGGACTCCACTGAAGTAGCTTCCCTGACTTCTGGAGGAAGTAGGTTCCACTGAGCTGTTGTTCTTGGTACGAAAGAGTATCTGTAGCAGTCCTTCTTAGATGTAGGGTGAACAAAGGATAATGAAGATGATTTTCTAGTTGACATTTTGTCCCGTTTGGAATCAACTTGGTACTGATCAACATCAATTGCGATTTTGTGGTGAATGGATTTGTAGAGCAAGGTTAGTCTGGATATGATTCTGCGTTCCTCCAATGATTTCCATCCGAGGTGGGTGATCATGGATGAGACACTACTTGTGCGCCTGAAGTCCTTACAGACGAACCTGGCCGCTCTGCGTTGGACAGCTTCAAGTTTATTTTTGTGGTCCTGATGGTATGGATCCCATATGCTGGCGCAATATTCTAACTTGGGTCTGACCAGGGTCTTATATGCAGTTTCTTTAACTTTGGTGGAGCAGCTGAACAGATTCCTGCGCAACAGTCCAAGAACTTTGTTTGCTTTAGTAGTAGAGTTACTTATGTGTTCGGCCCAGTTCAGTTTGTTGTTTAATTCTACTCCCAGGTAGGTGTGATTTGTGACTGTTTGGAGAGAATTGCCGTTTATCTTGTAAGATGACAGAAGAGGTTTCCTTTTGTGGGTCATGTGCATGGCGTAACATTTGGTGACGTTAAATCGCATCTGCCACTTGGACTCCCAGTTACAAAGGGTATCGATGTCGTTTTGTAGTTTCTTGTTGTCTTCTGGAGTTTGAACTTCACGGTATAATATGCAGTCATCTGCCAGAAGTCTCACTTGAGATGAGATTCCTTCCGGAAGGTCGTTGAGATACAAGATGAAGAGTAGCGGTCCAAGCACAGTGCCCTGGGGCACTCCTGATGTCACAGCTATTGAACTAGATGAACTGCCCTCTAAGACTACTTGTTGAGATCTTTTTGTAAGGAAAGTGTTGATCCAGTGGAGTAGAGAGCCAGAGATCCCAACATGTTTCAGCTTTAACAATAATCTCTGATGTGGAACTAGGTCAAACGCTTTGCTGAAATCCATGATGATTACATCGGCTTGCCCTTGGTTATCTAGGATTTTAGCGAGGTCGTTTACGGTCAGGGTGAGTTGGGTTTCACACGATCGGCCTTTGCGGAACCCATGCTGTTCATTGTTGAGAACGTTGTACTGATCAAGGTGACACATGATGTTAGAGTGGATAATATGTTCAAGCAACTTGCAAGGGATGGATGTCAGTGAAATTGGCCTGTAATTTGATGGATCTGAACGGTTTCCTTTTTTGAAGATAGGTGAGACGTTAGCCCTGAGCCAGTCGTCTGGCAGCTCCCCGGTATCAATGGATTTCTGGAAAATTTGTTGTAGGAGTGGAGCAACACTGTCAGCACATTCCTTCAGGATCGTTGGAAGGATGCCATCAGGGCCTGGTGCTTTCTGTGGTTTTAACTCTTTCAATAGCTTTTTGATGCCCGCAGTTGTGATGGTAATAGAAGACATTTGTTGAAACTTCGGACTGTCAAGGTTTGGGATGTTGTCACAGTTTTCCTTAGTAAAGATAGACTGAAAATGACTGTTTAAGGCATTTGCTTTGTCAATGGGTGTTGTAGCAATACCATTAGCAGTGTTGAGTGTTGAGACACCAGTTGAGCTTTGCCTGAGACTTTTAATGTATCTCCAAAAGGGCTTGGTGTTGTTTGATGTCAAGTTTTCACCTAAATCCAGCAGATGTTCACTACGAGATTTTCTTAAAGTACGGTCTAAGAGGCGGCGCAGCTGTCTGAAGATTTCCCAGTCAGAGGTAGCACCCGTACTTCTGGCTTTATCATAGGCTTTACGCTTACGTCACGTCATACATGAACACTGGTATATCCATTCTAAACACTGGTCTCATTTACTCGCCTTTTAAAATGAGAATCCCCATCCACAATTTTACATTTGCACATAAGGTGTAAGACTGGTACGGTATCCAAATTAAGGGGGACATACTTCAATATGAAAATGCTTATGGAGTATAACTTGGCATTAGATATGAGAGTTGCAGTCAATCCTTAATCACAAGCCAATAACAGGTTGTCCAGTCTAAAGTCAAGTGGCAAGATCTACAAGTGGACGTTGACAATGACATTCCTTTGTCATTGTTTACTCCCCATCACTTAATAATAATAAAAATAACTGGATTTATAGAGCGCCAAATTGCCAAAGGATACAAGTCACTAAACAAAGAATGAAACAGGGAAAGAAGACAAGAGAGTAAGGACGGTTCTGGATTGTGAAAAGTGATTTGAAAGTGTGAACGAATGTGCGGAACTGAATGCGTTTGGCGACTGGGAGCCAGTGTAACTGTTTGAGCAGAGGAGAGTTTTGGGTGTATATGGGCTTCTGAAAGATAAGCCTTGTGCATCTCTTTTGAAGTCTCAGAAGACGAGATGTCTTTATTAGAGTCTCCGTGTTTCACCTAGATTAGACTCGTGGTCGACTTTTGTTTCGACGTACGTTAGATGTGTGATTGACTTAACTACATCTTTGTAGATGCTTTTGTATATAGATCCGTACGCATGCCTCATTTAAAACCTTGTTTTGTGTGTAGCTAATTTTCATTTACATATTGATATATTTTGTGGGTGATTGATAATAATGGCTCTTCGTTATTAAATTGATATCGTTCTTATGACTATATTATTTTCTCCGCAGGTGTCGAATTAAGAACAACTGTTGATCCCTCATTATCTCCAGGTATGTCAAAACTGAAATCTATGTTACAAATAACGACGAGGAACAAAGACATATTCAGCATAAACAAGAGGCTCAGAGTTTTAAAACTGAAGAAGGTTCATATCGAATATATATTTTTTTGGTATTTTTTGGGGGGTACATTTACAACAGATACACAATTAGGGATGCTGACATGTTTAAACCGAATTGTGTTTTTGAATGGCAGGCGAACCGTGTGTTGATGACCCAACGTGGATTCACCGATACCCCTACTGCTACTATTTCAGCTCATCGTCCGAGGAAGATGGCGTCTTGGACTGGCATTATGCCGAGGCTTGGTGCAAGTCCAAGAACAGCCATCTTGTGTCCATCCATGACAACGAAGAACGCAGATTTCTCGTCAGATATGTGAGTGCATCAAGTAGTAAAACTCCTAAACCAGAGAAATCAATTCCAAACAAAGTACAAAATGACTTAATAATGGCCCGATGACATTTTCAGTCCAGTTTGTGGCCATTGCATATTTTTTTTGGCCCACTTGTAAACTACAGATCAAACTACACAATGGACACGAAATGTACCGAAAATGCACGTACTTATAAAAAGGCAGCATAATTACCTGTTTCCCATTTCAAATTTGCACTGGAGATTCATCCTTTATTATTGTATTTATTTGAAGCATGCACTATGAATGAAACAAAAAATCAGTTTAAACCTGTTTGAGGCAAACACATGCCTGAAGTCGGTCTTAAAGTCACTTTTAACGCCCGAAACTGCCCTGCCATGCCAGAAACCGCCTGAGCACTCTTTGGTTTGATTGTTTCTTCGGTGAATAAACACAATGTAATACAAGTGTTATAGTTTGCATGTGTATAGGTTGGTGCTCAGAATTTTCCACTCTGTCAATTTTTAATTAATTCGAATTCTACTGGTTAATATGATTTCATTAGTAACTTCATTGTTTTCACAGAGTGACACGTTTGCCTCATATTACTGGATTGGGTTGAGAGAGAATGGATCCCACGTAGGGCACTATGAGTGAGTATGGCGATTGGACACCCCCACTCCCCCAACACCAACCACCCCACACCCACCCCACCCTACCTCACCCACTGTAGTTTTAGCTACGCCGTAGCAGCAAGTACTTATGTCTCTCCGTTAGTTAGTTCGTTGATAAGTTGGTCAGTTGGTAACAAACGTCACCAACAACCTTGCATGGCTATAATTTTCCCTCAGGCCCGGGTATAAATCAACTGCTCCCCGGGCCCGGACCCTCTTTTTGTTCACTTTAATGGGTCTCCACTGACCGCTCCCACTTTATGCAGTCCGGGAAAATTGGGGCGCTAGGCTAAAAAAAACCGTTCGTTTGTCCTGAAACACTACTCTTTCTAAAATTTACATGGCACAATCACGTCTGTCACGTGCATGAACACAAAGTTGTTGGCCCGCGGCTTCCGAGATCATATCGAGCTTGTTTGATCACAATATCACAACAAGCCAGTCCCAATTTTTGAACTGGGCATGTTGCCATGTAACAAGTTTCACTTTGGGATAAACACAGCAGATAGCTGTACATGCACGAGTGACTTTGGTTCTGCATTCAATAGGGGACGTTGAACATTAGAGGACAATAGGGTCCCCAATTCACGAGAGGTCCCCAATTTGGATTCGTGTACAAAATATATGGGAGGTCTTCTTCTAAAATGTTAGAGTACTAACAAAAGAGGGACAATTATGGTCCCCGATTGCAGGCAAATACAAATTTGGATGTAAAGGTACACATTTCTTTACATCTGATTCAAGGCACGGTAAAATTGATCCAGTTGGAGGTTGTGTTATGAAGGAATTTGGAAACACCCTTTCTCGCTGCAATACTCCCAAGTGTGATGAACAGTTTATGAATGGTTCCAGAAAATAAAACTTGTCAATTTGGTTTTCTCTCTATTGAACCATTCAAGGTGGTCTGATGGCACATTTTTGGACTATGAAAATTGGCGCACTGGCCAACCGGATGACAGGAACGGTGAAGAGCAATGCGTAGAAATGAACAAGTTTCTTGCATGTAAGTTCATTTGAATGTGGTTCACGTGAATAACTTGTAAGAGAAACATTTTGTGTCACACATTCTGCTTTGTGAATGAATATATTGGGCGAGTCAAAAAAAGGAAACCCAAATGGCGCCCCTATTTTTTTGTATTTAAAGGAGTAATGCATGTGGCACTTTTCAGATTTAGTATGTAAACGCTCAATTAATAAGCTTTTAGTAAAAAAATCATTCAAATCACTTATGTACTTTCCCAGTTGTTGAATTTTGAACACAAACACAGTTTTGAAGTTTGTCAACGGCATCACATTGTACGTGATATTTAGCAAAATGAAGCCATATCGTATCCAGGCCCGGATTAAGTGTTTCTAGGCCCTAGACACCAGTGTTCCGAACAATGGAGGAGGAAGGGGAAAGGAAGAGGGAATAAGAACAAAGAGGAGAATGTAAATAATAGGCCTAAACACCGCTGCTCAAAACTCCATATAGCTAAAATCAGGTTCTGCAACCCGTGGCAAATGATTACCGTACATTATGTTATGTCGGCACAAGCTGCCGCGCGAAGTCGCTTCATATACCGGCGTTGACAGCTACAGCTGTGCAAAACACAAGCACGTGCTCCGTCGCTCGCAGGCAGTTACGAATTGAGCTGATTCTTATTAAGTGACGACTCAAAATGACGAGGGCATATTTCGATAGAGAGTCAAGCTACAACTTTGATATTTGCGCCACAGAGCATCTGCAATCCAAACATTTCCCGGGGCTCTTAAGCGTCCCCAGACCCCACACCTTCAGGGCTTCGCGCTCGCATATAAAAAATTCCAGGATATAGGATTTAAAGATCCCCCCCCCGCAGTCTGGGATTAGGGAACAGGCCTGAACAAGGAATGTGCAAAGGTACTGAGCATGTACATGCAGTTTTGCGACAATGAAATAAAAATATTATAGCTGGATTGAATTTTGTATTTTCGAGCAATTTTAAAAATTAATTTCGAACGATTAGGGCCTACAGTACCATATAACAAATTAATCATTCTTGCAATTATTGTCTTCCGATAGAAAAGAAAGAAAATTAAACAAAAAGTTATGTGGCGATGGCCAAGTCTTCAGGAGTCGGACTTATGACCCTAACTCAATGAGCCCCTTACCGACTTCCAATATAGAACTCCTCTGGGACTCGGTACCCGGCCCACCACACCTCCTTCCCTGTCCATCCATGTAACTCGAAAGTCAGGCACCATAAAGGGAGGAAACGAGGTGGCACCCTAAGCCTTGCTGCCGAGTCAGCAAAAGAACCCCGTACCTATACGCAGATACCAACCTGGACTTCGCAGACAGTCCCAACTTGTGAGTCGGCATACCGACCGACCGAGCTAACTGCTGTTGGTATATGACGACGGGAAATTAATAATGTTAAATGACAGAAGCGCGGGCATCGAAAACCAAAAAATGACGCCAAGCGGATTCGAACCCCTAACCCTGGGTCCACTGTCAGACAGCGTAACAACTAGGCTGTTTCAGTAGGTGCTTTTCTTTGCGTTTAAAACATAATCCTTATTTCCGCAGTGGGACAGCTACTTTGTGTTTCATAGCTGCACGAAAGATGCATCAGCATCGCGATATATACACATGAATGATGTTACGTAACTCTTTTCTTATCATTCTTATGTACCGAGCAGTTGACTATTCAGAGTCACTACGAGCAATTAACCTAATACCGAGCTCGTCCTTATTCTGTCTCATCAATTGTTTCGCATCGCGCTACTTTCGGCCGGCAATGACATATCGCGCTGATTGAGTGAAATTCTAGCAAGTTTCCCTTACCTCATTATATTTATATCAAACTACTGACCCGTTTACAAATATTTTGGAGGGAATTTTGTTTGTCTGATTCTAATTCAGCTCCCTTAGCTAGCTTGGGAAAATTCATCTTTTCTTGTACTTACGCTAAGTCTAGGGAATGAAGCCGTTATAATACAATGTCACATTAACGTCAGCCGGTGGCATGATTAGAGTCGTGAACTCGCGAGTGCAATGACGGCTAGTGGCGTAAAGCTGTGCCGGCGAGTTGGGGGGGGGGGGGGACGACCAAAACCCAGCCGTGGACATTCGAAACGCTTCTCAAAAGTGGGGGTGGTACATACATGTGTATCTTGATCAGTACTAATTATGCGAGTGCGAAGCCTAAACGGCGTGGGGTTCGGGGCCCGCTTAAGGGCCCCTGAAAAATTGGATTCTAGGCGCCCTGTGGTGCGATCTGAAGCAATTTCAAAAGCCAAAGTTTTAGCACAGGACCATAATTTAAAACGTCTTTTTCGAATAAAGAGTCATTAAATCAACTGAATCAAATGTAGGCTACGCTTTATTCAGGGACGAAAATCGTTGGGAACGACATGTCCCCCCGTTCCCCACCGATCGACGCCCATGGTTGGCACCGTGCTTCACAACTTTAGACGTACATTTTATACGTAGGGCCTATGCATACATGCCGTACAGCGTCAGATGGTGAACTCGAAAATTCTGAGGGAGACCCTAAAACTTTTGTAAAAACTTTTCTCTGCGCTTGTGTGTGTGGATGGGTAGGCCTATGTGTTTTATGGCACTAGAATTTTTCGTAGGCCCCCAAATTTTTCCTATTTTTTGTTACTCACCCTGAAAAGTCAGATAATTCTAAAAAAAACAGATTCCACCCAGGCAAGTGAAATCTTTCCAACACAGTTTGCAGAGCCCATCACAGTAATGTTTTGTTCAATTGTTTTAGTGCATTTTCTGATTAGGGAAGCTCCATTTTTGTTTTCAGATGATGAGCTTTAATTAATGGACAATCATATAAAACCAGTGCCATCCAAAGTTTAGATTAATGTTTGGAAAACCGTTGTTTAGTAATCTGTTAAATGTTGACTTAGAAAAAAGTTCAAATCAACAACAGAAACAAAATATGAGAAAATTTGTTTTCCTGCCACCATAAGTATTTCCAGGCCGTTGGAGCGACTCCAATTGTGGCGTTGAGCGCCAGTTCATCTGCAAGCGCAACGTGGACGACCCGCCGGTCGCCACTCACTCGCCCACGGATGTACCCACCGGTGGCTGCCCAACGGGCTGGTGGGAGTACAACCATCGGTGTTACATGATTGGCGGTACGACGTTAGATACGCGGAAGACATGGCTCGATGCCAGGACGGAATGCCAGAAGACACCGGGAGCCAACCTGGCCTCCATTCATGACGATAACGTCCAAAGTGAGTTCATAAGGATATTATAATCAGCTTTAAGTACTTTTAAATTATAGGCAGTTTCAATTTCTTGCAGTGGTTCACGTGTCTTACAGGTATACTGCACTGATGTAATATTCAACAATTGTTTTGTTATACCTCTGTCTTGGATTCTTTGGATTTTGATGTAAAAATCACGAAAACAAACAGCAGTAAACACAACATTCATGTTAATTGAACGGCAACTCACATGCATGTCGCGTGCTCGAAACATCTGATCGTCTGCTAGTTCGCTGCTCCTATTCATGTGTGAAATCATGGTGAAACTAGCGTGGGTACCAACGATACAAGCGTTTCACATCATACGTATACCATACGTACAAAGTCATTGCACACTCCCTGTGGGATATCACGTACGGGATATCGCACAGGCAGTGCGCCATGACTTTTTATAAACTTAACACGTAATCGTTCTAGGCCAATGAAAATACAGTATTCAAGACAGAGGTATAACAAAGATAAATATTTATTCGTTGTCATCTACAACGTCAATTGAGGATTTCGTGCCTATTGTATATGTGTATATCTTATTCTTCAACAGCGCTTCTGGCAGCATTTTTGATAGCCACTGAATACGACGTGTGGGTCGGCCTGTCGTCTCTGATCAGTGGCAGGTTCCTTTGGACCGACGGAAGCTCATTCGACTACGAGAACTGGGGATATAACCAGCCGGATTTTTTCAATGTGAGGACTCACAAAAATCCGTATAATATACTCATGACTGTGTTTGGTATTTTTATTGGAGGATGGGCCCATTAGATTGTTTTCTTGAATCCATTTTATCTATTGTTCACTCTTGAATGGGAAGATGTCCAGGTGCCTATGTTTTGTCATGATTCACGCGGGGCTTGCTTCGCTTTCGGAAACTGTTGGCATTCATAAATATTTCGGGTCAATAAGATGACAAGGCTTGTCAAAATTAGTTTAACCTATAGTTTGCCTCAAGACGTTATTTCTACTCTTCTTAAGTCATGATGAATAATTACAGCACTTGCCTTACAATTCAAGATGGCCAGCACCTGAGTAGTGTGAAATACAATGTGTATTAACTTTGGACAATATTCCAGATTGCTGAGATGGAAAAATTGGTGTTTTTTTTGTTCAGCTGGCTATTAAACAAGCTTCTTGCATACTATAGAGTTGTAGATCAGTTAGTGATTGACTGCCGCCGTATACTCTTTTAAATGGTTTTCATTTTTGTTCTGTGGTCAATCAGACGGGGAATGACACGGACTGTGTCAGGCTGATGAACGAAGCGGAAGAAACAGGCAAATGGAACGATGGCGAATGCACAACACGGAACAGCTACGTTTGCCTCATGAAACCGGGTGTGTATAGACATTCATTCATGTGTTTCATTTGATTATATATGTATGAAAGTATGGAGAGATTGGATGGGCTCGAGGTTCATGTGGTTTTATTTTCATGGTTTGATTTGCATTGATAACTTTAAAGGAATTTGATATAGCCGAGATTGATTCGGTTGTGTTTGATTTGCTTGGTTTTGTTGTGTCATGTTTGATTTGGTATTGGGTTGAGTTGAGTTGGATTAAGGTTTGGTATGGTTAGGAGTTTATTGAAGAAATTGAAAAAGTACTAAAGGAAATACCAAACCTTATTATATTTGTTTCCAGATCCAACGATTCCAGAGTCCCCCTTCACACCCCCACCCTGCCCCAGCAAGCCCGGCTATATTCAGTACGGCCAGTCCTGTTTCAAGCTGGATACTTCTACCAAGCGCTCTTTCTCTGACGCTCAGGTTTATTGTGCTGCTGATGGGGCTACAGTAGCCTCCGTGTTGAGTGGCTACGAGCAGGCACTGATACAAACGCTGCTCAATGAATATGCAGATAAGAGTGCGTGGCTAGGGCTGCACAGAGACTCGGTAAGATGATTCCGGAAATTCGCATCAGCATCAAACAAAAATAATATATAAGAGACCTGAAAATAATATTTTAGAAGAGAATTCAAATTCAGAGATTTGAAATTAAATGGAATAGCTAAAGTACAATTTCATGAATCTGTAAAAATAAACCACTCTTTTACGTGGACTGTATAAACCAATTCGATTTTTAAATTTATGTAGCGGTTCTGGTAGCCATTACTGGGACGTTTCCATGCCTAAACTTCCATCATATCATGTGGATTTTATAAAGCTCTGAATAATACAGTTAGAGACAAGTGCATTGTGCGAAATACCAAAGCGAACTTTGGAGCATCCCCGAACTTGGGAGGCTAATCATCCTAACTCGCAGCTGAGAAACTGAATTGCGAAGGACGCGGCTACAATGTGGTCGAGCCGCAGGCATGTAAAGGCGCCTTTGGCAGCCAGCCATACAACCCATATATGACCACGGAGCACAGCCAGAGATCAAAAGTGTTTGATTTTTGCGGAGGGAGGAAAACCGGAGGGCCTGGAGAAAAACCCTCGTGGCACAGGAGAGAACCAACGCACAACTCCACTCACATTATGGTCCTAGCCGGGAACGAACCAGGGCCACAGTGGTGAGAGGCGAGCGCTTTACGCTCTAGCCACCAATGCCACCCTTGAAAGCGAGCCCAATAAACAGAAAAAGTATAGGCAACCGGGATTGGTCTTTAACCTGGACAGGCCGTTTTTGGGAAGAGGGGTTGGTAGGATATTATTTGTTGTAGCTTTAATGAGTTACACATTATTACTAATGACTTGTGTTTTCACGCTGCAGACTACAGACGCACTAACTTGGGAGGATGGATGGCCGCTCCACTACACCAACTGGGGGTTCAACTCTCCAACTAATCTGGGTGATTGTACCGTCATGGCTGAGAATCTATTCCTGTATGAAGACGGGGAGTGGGCTACAGTCAGCTGTCTGGTCCCACGATACACTGTCTGCAAGTATAATACAGGTCAGTCCAATACTACCGACCCACCAAAAAACCCAAAACGAACAGCCCAGCAAACACACAAACAAACTGGCCTGACAAACAGCACAGCATCATTTCTGTATTACCATGAACCGTAACTAAAAACAAGATGCTTATAATTTAAAATATCATCAAAACAACAACATAGGCCTCAATCAAAACCAAATCAGCACCACAAAAACAATATCAGAATTGGACAGAAATGGCGACAATATCAATGATATAACAGTAAGAAAAATGCAACAAACGCAACATGAGAGTTATATTAAAAAAAGTAAAACAAAAGGTGATATCCATTGAACCGTCTACAGAAAGTTACAACATCAGTTACGACATTAATGACAGATGATCAGATTACAATAAGATGATAAAACCAGTCTTATTTAGTGTTGAGCTAATGTTCTTTTTTTTCTCCTAAACCCCAGCCACACCCCCGACTCCCCACCCAACATCAGCCGCGGGCTACTGCCCCTCTGGTTGGACGGACTTCGGCTCCAGTTGCTACTTGGTTCCTTCGAATTGGCTGACCAAGAAATCCTTTGCCGAAGCGCGCTACGACTGCGAGTTCAACCGCGGCGGGGACCTGGTGACGATCGGCAGTCAGGCGGAGAACCAGTTTGTACGTCAGCTGGCCGCGGAGAAGAATGGTGTCTCGGAATTTATACTTGGCTTGCATCGCAATACAAATGGTTGGTAAACAAACAAAATAAAGGCTTTGCTTGAATCAGGCGTTTTATGGCTAAGGCTTCGGCTTTTGATTTTTGCACACTACACTGGATAGTCGTAGCTGTGGATAACAATGTTCATGAAGATCTTTCAAAATTAGAGGCAGTTTATATGCATAGTAGACCATGGCATAAGTAAAACGTAGGGCCGTACGGCTTTGGACCCTATTTAGGCACGCGGTTACAACTGACTCCTCGATAGGACTTATTTTGGTGTGTATTTCTGTGGCAGCAATTGTACTTTTGAACTCGCGATTTTAATTTTGAGTATTACACCTCACTCTGTTAAAGAAATGACAGAGAACGTAATGTTGACAGCATTTTGCTTTCATTGTTTTCCCTGAATGCAAACTTCTTACAAACTGCAAACAAGTCTGAGATTGCTACTGTGTAAAATATGTTTGTTGCGTATGATGACCTGTGCTCTATCGTAGGTGTGGAGACCCGAGTTGATTTTAGTGGGTTTGGTTTTCATCGTGCTCTGCAAGATTTGATAGATATTTTCTGCATCTTGTGATTGGATAATAACAGGTGGCTGGGAATGGATAGATGACACTCCTGCTTCGTATGTCAACTGGGGAAGTGAGACACCGGTGAACATGTTTCAGAACTGCGTCGTGATGCATCTGGATTCTCAGGGCAAGTGGTTTGGCACCTACTGCTCTACGAGGAACCACTACATGTGTGAGAAGCCGAAAAGTAAGAATTATTTTGTCGATCAGGTGTAACTTTTCTTTCAGTATCAGTCTAATCTACCCTGAATCAAATTAATAATAGATAATGTATAATTAATAATGGAAATACTAAAGTGCACATTTCATTGAAGTATGCTCAAATGCGATAATCATTTAACAAAAATCGATTAGGATTAAATAAATAAATTATTCAAAAGACACATTCATTCAAAAGAATATGGTACTAAGTAAAGGTAAATTGTCTAATGAAAGTGCAGATTTTATCAGGTGTCTTTTGAAGTTTTTTTGAAAATGAATCTTGAATTCGTGGCACAGAAACGATTAGAAAATTCTGTGAAAAAAATTATAAACAAATTAGAAGAAAATTCTGAAGTGTACGACATATCAAACAGTTACACTTCCAAAAATTGATTGGTCACTTGGTATTGACAATTTCTTGAAATTGCTGAATGAAGTTAATAAAGTATGATAGCTTACATTTTAGTATTTGCCTTTCTTTTATAATGTAGATTACTGTTCAGTGAGATAAACTGCTATTTGAAATGCCAATTACCTCCTTGAAAGTTTGTTTACACTTTTTCTTTTTCAGTACCTTATTCCTCTACGCATGTGCCGATCAGTGTGACTGGGCATGGCACACTTCGTGAGTACATCATCAACATATGAAATGAATTTATTGAAACAAACATTGCTTTATCTTTATGTTTTACAAACACATTCTAAATGAACACTGATTGTCGTAATTTTGTTTGTTTGTTTTCTTTTGTTTGTTTGATTTTGTTTGTTTCTGTGTGTGTAAACATGGTACTGTTGTAGTTGGAGGGCCTCTCGATAAGCTTGTTTTTATGGCTGTTTAGGCAATCCTTCAGGCCTGACTATGGTACAATTAAGTGTTTAATGTTTTTTAATGTTTTTCTTTTGTATTTTAGTTTCCTGTATCTTAGCCTTTTGTAGTTTGTCCTTTGGATCTTTTCCTTTATTGTGACTTGTAACTTTTATGTAATACATTTTAAAACTGTCATATATATTAATTGTCTTGTATTTTGCCTGAGAAATTATGTAATAAATATATGTAATAATAAATGATAGACTGTATACTGACTCTTCCTTTTTTCCCCTCTTGTTTTTAGCTCCCGTTGTTCCAACGACCAGAGTTGCCACGACAGTTGAGGGTAAGTCATTGGCCAAGGAAAAATACCGGCTACAGCTTACTGTTATATATGCCCTAAGTTTAAGTAGCCGAAGCCAATTCCCGTAGACATGGCTGTAGCCACATAATTCAGACACAGCTTTAGTCCAGACCCAGGCGACACAGAGATATGATATTGCATGTTTTCCCTAAGGGTTTGTTAAAGTTTCTAAGCTACAGTTTCATGTACAGATTTGTAGAACTTAATTTCATTGTAGAATTAAGAAAACTGGGTTGCATTTCTACCCTCAGGGGGAGACCATTGCCCGACCGGTTGGCCTGCACGCGGTGACTATTGCTACTACATACAGAACCCGTCTACAGACATGTTGACTTGGACCGAGGCCGATGCGTACTGCAACAATCTTGGTGGCTACTTAGCCTCAATCCACTCCATTGAGGAGATCAGCTTCATCCAATCCCATCTTGAACCAGGGGTATGTTATCGATATGCATTTTATCCTTAAAATGCATATCCAAAAGTAATGCTCTATTTTATTCTGGAGATTTATTGCCAATCGCTGTAAACGGAACACAACTTGCAATGAGGCTATACATCACCTCTGTCCGGCTTTCTCCTGAAGACGATCTGGGCCCAATCTCTTGGCTCTGCTAACCACAGAATTTTGCGCTTTCGACCACAAATTTTGCGCTAACCTCGCTAGCAGAAGAATTATGTGCTAACCCGTCATTTAGCACAGAGGCCTTAATCACGGGATATATGCATGCGCAGAATCAAAAATTCCTCGATAACACGTAAAATACGCTTACATTAATCACGGAATTTTATGCTATAGTAAGCAGGTATTTCTCGGTAACGGTATTAACAGAGCCAATAAATTGGGCCCAGAGCATACTGATCGGAACGTCAAGTTCTCAACCAACCGGTTCTTTTCAGAACTACACATCTTCTCAAAAGAGATTCGTTCACACGGTGCTACCGCAACCCTCACTAGTTGACACTATACCACCATGCACAGCTGCCAATCTTATTGAGATATTGAAAGTTGGTATATAAATTAAATTCATTCAGATGTGCCTTTGATTTTTGAACGTCTTCCCTCTAGTGATTTCAATTAATACACATTCATCGAGTTTTGAAAGGTCGCTCCAAATGGGAAAAGCATTCAAATAAATGACAAATAGTCTATTCTATCAAACACAAATGAGGTTTTTTAGCTGTTCCCAATTTCAATTGGGAACAGCTTTTGTTTTCGTAAAAGTTTTTTTTCCCTTGTTAGCTGTTCCCAATCTCAAGAAGTTTAAAACGGTGTTTCTGTTTAAGATTCCGTACATTGAAAAGTACATGAGTGAATTAACTGGGATTTCATATCCTAGATTTTGAAAGTGCTATATGCAGAAAAGTAAAAAATGTAAAGGGGACGAACCTGTGTTCGCAGGAACGGAGTGCCCATCTCTCTTTCATTAGCGATTGGGCCAGACTCGTATGCTGCTGTGGGGGGATCGCCACACCACCTCCACAGCGAGTCTGTTACCTTCCCAGCATTGAACAATGTCGGTACCCATTTAACACCTGGGTTGAGAGGAGTAATTGAGGTAAAGCGCCTTACTCAAGGGCACAACACGCATGGCCACAGTGGGGCTTGAACCCACAACCTCTCGATCACGAATCCTGTGCTCCACCGCTAGACCACACGTGCCCCCAATATGCAGAACTTCACTAAAACAGTGGTCCCGACATATTTTTTTATTTTGGACTCACCCTGTACAGTAGGCCTTTTCAAAAGATTCTAATGAAACTGTGGATTTTTGCCCTCCCATAAAGCAATCAGCATGGCGTTATTGGATTGGCCTGAGAGAAACAGCTGCCGGAGGAACTTACAAGTAAGTCCCGAACACCCACGATTTCAAGAGTCGCTCCAAATCCAGTAAAATTTGGAGCAACTTGCAGGTTGACCCAAGAAATAAATATTTGTCTCAGACAGGCAAATTTTGTGTTAGTTTCATCATATATTAAAAGATCCTTCGCTCTCTGTCTGATGTCTGTGTGTCACATTTTTAAGTTCTGGCAACATAGCTTTTACAAGTCACTTTGGTTTCGGTCGGTCGGTTGCCCCCCTCCCCCCCCCCCCCAAAAAAAAATTGACGAAAAACGAACTTTCTCATCCTACCTAAAAACTGTAAGTACCAAATTGTAACTGTCCAAAACAAAGTATCAAATACTTAACAAAAATTGTTTGTGTGCGCTATACGAACTTATGAAGTTAGGGGGCTTCCATACACCTGTCACTATACAGGTACATCACCCCTGCCTCTGCAGCTAAATCAATCACATTACTTAACCATCTCTGCCCTCACAAGTACCCATTTACTCCTGGGTTGAGAGAAGCAATGAGTGACAAAGTGTCTTGCCAAAGGGCACACGCACCATGACCCCAGGCTGGACTCGAACCCACAACCTGCTGTACCCGCAGACCACAAACTCAATGCCTTAACCACGAGGCTACAGGACGCCAATTTTTAGACATGGCTCTTGAGTCGTGCTCAATTTCTAGGTTGTGATGTCATTGCTGTTGTTTTATCATTTTTTTGGGCAGTTGGTCAGACAAGACCGATTTTTCCTATGACAATTGGCACCCTGGCGAGCCTAATGATTATGGAGGGGAGGAGGAATGTGCTGAGATGCACTCGTCCCGTAAGTATGCAAGCTGCTGTGATCTGAAAATACAGACAGAATAGTGAGAAGATTATAAGCGATATGGAAAGGGTCCAATTTCATGGAACTGCTAAGCACAGACATTTGCTTAGCAAAAACAGGATTACCAACCAAATGTCCATGAGATGTTTATATTGCTTGTGATTGGTATGCAGCTGTTGTTTGCTTAGCATAGAAATCACACAGAGGTTTGGCTGGTAACCTGCTTTTTAAAAGCAAGACTTTTTTGTGCTAAGCAATTTTTTTAAGCAGCTCCAGGAAATTGGCCACCGGTGATGTCATGTTTTACTTCCATGTACAAGTACAACCGAGTGTAACCATGAGAAATCTAGGTCATAGGTTATATGAATATGCATGGTCACATTACAGCAACCTAGGTTTGCCAAAAACAAAAGGGAAAAAACATGTTTTGAAATCAAAAATTATTTACTCGTTTCCAGATTTAGCTGACTAAACCAAAATTGTCACTGCAGGCAATTGTTTTACGACTATTTTTTGGAAGAAATTTCTGCATTTCACGTACGAAAACATTTGTTAATCTGCTGATCTTCAGTTATTGCCCGGAAATTTGACGATTGGGAAATTAATCATGTTTTGACATGCAATTAATGCGATGAAAAGTGACCCTATTGCATTCTTTGAGTTTTCAAATCCCCCCCCCAAACAAATGGGAAAATGTTTGAAAATGACATATGAAAGGAGCTTAATGGGATTTGTCAAAATTATTAAATTTCTTTCACCCCAAAATCTGTAAATAGTTGACCTAAACACTGTGGATAAGAGCATGGCTACATAATAAGCTGTAGGTGATTTTTTGTTAGGGAAAATGTTGATTGGTATGATTTTTTTTTCCATAGAGAACCTCAGTGTTCCTCATTTTTCTCCCCTATTTCCAAGTAACATACTCTACTTTCTGTAAGATGGAATTTGCCTCAACAAAATGTAAATTTTCATATTGGGTTATTTTGTCCATTGTCTCATATTTATAAACACTGTATACTCAAGTGTTGTCCGCGGGCTTGCGAGAAAAAACTTACTCGGTGGGAGTCGAACCTAAGAGCTGCTGCTTACTTGAGCAGAAGTCTTACCAATCGACCGCCAAGCTTTCAGGGTCTTGTCGGCCGAATGGTTCAAGTCTAGGGTACCGCCACCAAATTAATTGAAGAGCACATACGCTCAACCAATAAAGAAAGTCCCCCCCTTCCAATATATATTTTTTTCTAACACAAAAACTACTGAGCACCTCTCTCTCAACTAACGACTAATCGGTACAGAAATTCCTTAGCAATCCAGCCATACTTTTATTTGGCCCAAAACAGTGCTAATGTGTACGAATTTATGCAATTTATGACGTTTGATACCAAAAACAGTTGCACTTTTGGATACGTGCAAGTTGTTGTTCACACTCACCTTGCTCGTATACAAAAGTGCAACTTTTTTCGGTACAATTTGTCAGAAATTGCATATTTGTGTGCACATTATCACTGTTTTTGGCCAAACATAGAGTATGGCTGGATTGCTAAGGAATTTCTGTTCTGATCAGTCGTAATTTGAGCAAAATGAGCCCAGTAGTTTTTGAGTTAGACAAAAAAAAAGTATTAAGGGGGGACTTTCTTTTTGGTTGAGTGTAGTTTCATGTTCATTTTCTCACCAGTCGGTACGTGGAACGACATGGCCTGCGGCACTCCTCAGCCGTTCGTCTGTAAGAAGCTCAACACCAGCACCAACCCTATCCCCGTCCCGACCCCGTACCCATTCACAGGCGGCTGCGAGGACGGCTGGTCCCGTGTAGGGTACCAGTGTTATCGGCTCCTCGGAGCGGGCTCAGTTTCATCGTCCGGGCTGCCGTATCGACAGGCCAAAGCTGATTGCATCAGTCGGGGGGCTGTCCTTGTCACCGTGTCTAGTCCTGAGGTTCAGAGTAAGTTTGGCTCACCCTTTTCTGATAAATACACTCTGAGAAAATACACTCAGAAAAAAACTCTAGTCAGTTTTAACAGTTAAACTGTAATGCAGATGACAATGGCAGTTGTCAGCAGTATGCTAAATGTTGTGGACATATCTGTCGAGTTTTTAAGAACGCAAAACGTCCTACGCCTGTTCTAACGACCATCAAGACACGGCATATCTTGCAACCAACAAAAAGTGCCCGAAGTATTCTTTCATGCCAAGAACAGTCATGGATTGGAATGCTCTGCCACAAAAGTTCAAAGCAGCCGTCATCAAGCACTACAACAAGTAACCAATCAAAAAACAGCAACCAAGAAACTGCACCTCCAATACTCGTTTTGCTCCATTCAGGGGCGTTGAGGAGTATTCTCAATTGAATTTTAGTAACCCTTTTTTTGGTTCTGACTCGCAGTTTTCCTGAATGCTCTAATGGGCCAGCAGACCAGTTCCCATTCTTGGATCGGTCTCAATCGATTAGTCGGTGACTTTCACTGGACGGATGGGTCACGGTTGAACTACACCTACTGGGCTCCAGGCTATCCAGCCGTAAGTAAAATCCAATTTACCTATACAGAAGAATGTGTATTCCTGAGACTGCGTGCACGTGACCTTGAGCCTGATGAGGTATAACTCTTCAACTCTGAATAATTTGTTGCAGAACCTTCCTTAAAACCTTCCTCTGCTATTCAGTTTCAGATTGTCACAAGTGAACTTTGACGAACGCAGTTCTTTGTCGTTCCCAATACCCTATTTGCTTCTGACTGGCTTGACTTGTGAATTAAATACAGTTCTAGTTAGCGTGCCATCTGAACTTCTTTTATCAACGGATTGTTGTACGATAAAAACATATTCCATGTTATCACATGATATTTGCATACTTTTTGAGTCTTCAGTATAGAGTTTGTAATAATGTGAAGAGTTTCCCTTTTTTGCAAACAGATTACAGGTGGCTGTGTCCATATGCTAAATGACAACACCACATCTGGGAAGTGGGTCAACGTGGAGGGATCTGACAGTGAGAGCTACTTCTGTCAGCAACCACTTAGTGAGTCACTCTAAGAGTTCATTTATTAAAAAACCCCAGGCAACGGACATTTTATGCAGGTTCTGTGGGGTTTTATGCATCCCACGGAGTAAATAAGCATACGTATGTTTCCTTCAGCCTTTCAGGCTAAACTAACGCTGTGGGAATTCATTATGTTTATAAGTCGTTGGTGTCAGACTTGTACGACTCGTGACTCGGACTCGGACTCACGACCGACACGAGTCCCATTCTCTGCGATTTGGACTCGGACTCGGGTCACGATGACAAATGACTTGGACTCGGGACTCGACCTGCAAGCCTTAGGGCGTGACTTGGGACTCGATCAGAATTAGTACAAAGTACTTAAAAAAATACAATCACATTTTGGAGACGACTCTTTCCTTTTAGCCAAGCCATACAGTCAGTGCGGTGCAGAAGAAACGCATCTGTCAGTACTTTACATACACAGTGCATGCATGCAGAAGGCATGTTTCTAATATTTCATAAATTGGAAGATCAATTTTAGGTTTTAGCAGTGCCTCGACATTTATTTCCAATTCATACTTAAAAGTGACTTGTGACTCGGACTCGGACTCGGACTCGACCTTTAGTGACTCGTTACTCACTAGGACTCGACCAAAAGGCGAATTCGGACTCTTGAACTCTACCTGCATGACTCGGCACTCGGGAATCAGATTCCGAATCGATGTTAAGTGACTCGAATACATGTCTCCTGGGTATGCATCTGAGTATTTTGACACTCCTCGCCGAATGACTTCCAGAGAGATCAAGATCTTTTCTTTCTGTTAAAATTTCTGCTCCGCTCAGATAAAAGCCTCCCAGATACATGGACTGGTGTACAGTGTGACGCAGCAGGCTACTACAAGTTTGGTCAAGCCTGCTACAGGGTTGAAGCGACACCAAGCAGCTATGCCGAAGCGGAAGCCAACTGCGAGAAAGACCAAGGAACTCTGGCCTCTATCGGCGACGGTCTGCAAGAGGCGTTAATCCGAAGCATGCTTACCTACTACGACGTTGGTGATGCCTGGATCGGACTCAGGCGAGATGTGAGTACTAGACCCTTGCTTATTGTGAAAATACCAAGCGGGACGTTTAACGCTTTAACCTGTTCAAGTTTTAGCTTGATCGACGGGACACTTTGGAAGAAACAAGTTGAAATCCAGTATTTATGACGTAACCCTTTCACTTTTACTTGTTGAAAAACGCACGACCAGTGAGATTTTAATGTTATTGTTATAATTATATCTCAATTTTATTCCGTGCAGAATGCAGTGACTAAAGTTTATTTTTTATTCTTTGACAGAGTAAAGGTACCTTCACTTGGCTGAATGAAAACCAACTGTCGTACGTGAATTGGGGTGAGAATGAGCCCAGTTCATTGGAGGGTGAGGGATGCGTCAGAATGCTGGCTGGGAAGACATGGGATAACACGGACTGCTCCTCCACGCGAGCATCTATCTGTCAGATCGGTGGAGGTAAGAAACTGCTCTATGAAAGGACTTATAATCAACCTACTGGAAAGGAAAGCAGTCACAATAGCCATATTTCCAGTAAAAATGACTTGTGAATGGGATCTAGTCTAGTCAAAAGCTAAAGCGATCGGTGTGTGTTTACCTTTGTGAGTAGCTTTTAAATCTTTTTTTTCAAAGAACGGACAAAAGCATGTTACTATTTTTTTTTAACAAAGGGGATATGGTTAAGCCATTAGCGCTTGTTCTTCATTGTATTTTATTACATTTATTCATTGACGAATCTTTAGGGTGCTTTAGGGTCGTACAGGGAGTAACAAAACTTATACTGGTATAATGTCCGCCTGTTAAAAATACGGTACACCATTCTGTAATCTAGTGTTAATAATTGCCGAATTTGAACAACGCCCCCTATTGAAATATGGTACCAGCCCCCCCCCCCTCCCCCCAGTTTTTTTATTTTACGGAGGCCAAGTGTCTGGAGAAAAAAACCTGTGTACATTTTCAGATTTTTTTGCTGATGCCCCCCCCCCCGCGAACATTCCTGGATCCGCCCCTGAGGAGGCAGGTTGGTCCGGGAAATACAGGGAGTAACAAGCAGGGTGGTTTAGAGCAGTACAGGGAGTAACACCCAGGATGGTTTCGGGCGGTACAGGGAGTAACAGGCAGGGCGCGCTGGTTAGGGGCGGTACAAGGAGGCAGGTTGGTCCGGGGCAATTCAGGGAATAATGGGCAGGACGGTTTGTGGCAGGTCAGGGACTTATAAATGGAGTAAATACTATCAGAGGTCAATAATCAATGTCTAGATCTTCTGACTGTGTCAGGCACCATGCTGATCCATAGCTTTTGAACTGTTCACTCGACAGTGTCTCCCATCCCGACCAGTGTTGCACCACCGGACTGCAATATGGAAGGCTGGGAACAAGACGGCGGCAGCTGTCTTCTCTTCAACACTGGCTTGATGCGGACGTCTCGCGATGAAGCTCAGAGGAAATGCTGGCAGGACTACCGGGCCACGTTGCCCGTGGTGCACAGCGACGAGCAGAACGAGTTCATTCGGAGGAACGCCACGAAAGACGAAGCGCAGAGTTCTGGCCGAGTGTGGCTTCAAATGTACAGGAATTCAAACGGTACGAGCGTCGATAAGCTTATATCACAATGTCCTTTCCTTGTAAGCTTAACGTTTGGCTCTCCATGTATCTAGAGCGGTATAGGTTTCTTTAATTACTACAAGTGCAAATGTTCTCATGCAATGCAGGAATGCTACAGATTCAAATTTCTGAAATGTTAGGATTTTTTGCATAGAACCTCACACGTGAATCTTCTCTATTTCGTTTAATGAATTCACTGTTAAAAATGTCCGTAAATTTACGGACTCCGTTAAGTGAAATATTCCGTATTTTCAGCGTAATTTGACGGATCTTTACGTAAATGCAAATATTAATTATGCTAATTAGCGTGATTACAATCAACCACATCGGCCCAAACACCTACACGTAATATAGTACATCTAAGTACATATTGATATTCCACCCACAACCGTGTACACATGTCCAAACTCGTGTTAATGTTCTGTTTATTTTACGGAATGAAAAAACTTTTCCGGAAATTTTGCTGCCGGACAGAAAATAGCGTTCCGTATTCCTGCAGCAAAATTTCCGGAAATGTTTTTTCATTCCGTAAAATACACAGATCCTTAACATGAGTTTGGAGATGTGTACACGGTTGTGGGTGAAATGACAATATGTACTTAGATGTACTATATTATGTGTAGGTGTTTGGGCCGATGTGATTGATTGTAATCACGCTAGTTAGCATAATTAATATTTGCATTTTACGGAAAGTCCGTATAATTACGCCGAAAATACGGAATATTTCACTTTACGGAGTCCGTTAAAGTGCGACAACAATTTCTGAACTACCGTATGTTTGTTCCAGACAATAATTTGCAACCTTGTTTGTAGTTAGTTTTTAGCTCTGAGCTTCTACATGTCACTTGGGTGTCTGTCGGTCGGTCGGTCGGTCGGTCGGTCGGTCCCCGAAAATTTACCAAAACAGTTTACCAAAATTTAGCAAATGCCATGCCGTCGTCAGTAAATACACTCTAAAAATTGTTTGTAACAGTTCGTAAAATTGTATATGAAAAATGTGTAAAAGGAGGCAAGATAATGTGCAACATGTTACTATAGTCACGTGGTATATTCTGTAGTGGTTGGACGGTATCCAGAAGGAGGAAATGAAAATTGACCGAAAAGCGTATGGTGTTCCATGTGTGCCATCGGCGTAGCATTTTTCGCCAAAGCTTATTGTGCACTAGCACTTGTTTAGAGGAAATTATGTTCTTTCCACAGTACACGAAGGCCTGAATGCTTGAATCCTAACTTTACTAATCTGTTATAACATGCCCACATGTTTGTTTTCTTGGGCTTTGCATTTTTGGCACTGCGCAGGCGTCTTCGTGTACAATGACACAGACGGAAGCCAAGTGGACTATGTGAATTGGGCCGTAAGACAGCCTGATGGTCAGTCGTCCGGAGCTGACTGTGTGGCCATGGACTTGACCGATGGCAAGTGGTCTGATGAGTTCTGCCAAGTCTTGAAGGCCGATTGCGTCTGTCAACTGCTTCCTCAAGGTACGTGAGCCATTTTAATTGCTGTGAAGAGTTGGAGTTGGCGTCGGGATTGTATGAACCACCAAATTGTTATTAACTATAGCTTATTAAATAGCTTACCAAATAGGGTGGGTGCTGGAATCTGTTATGAAAAGTGAGTGATTCTTTTGATAAAAGGTACTTTTTTTGAGAAAATGAAACTGAAATCTTTAGTATTGTTTGTGATGTTGTATTCATGGTTCAAATGTTTTTTTTTTTAAATGGTATGTTATTTTTTTAGACGTTCTTGACAAAATGCAACTAATACAAGCCTGCCAAATACGATCTGTCACACACGTAATCTGTGACAGATAGTAGTTGGATACCTTTGACTTTACCTTGAGTATTTGTTTTTAATTTGTTTTACGAACTAGTAAGATGATAGTCCCGTCATGCAATGACGTCACACTGAGCGTGACACCATTATGTCTCAGGGGCTACTGTCAAGTAGGGCTATGTCTATAAATCCGTAAAATCACGAAGTTCTGAAGACTTTTCGGATGTATACCTTGTTTGATTTACAGGTTACCCTCATACAGGAAAACCTCACACAGGGAAACCTCACACAGGGAAACCTCACACAGGGGAGCCTCACACAGGAAAGCCCTACACTACAGACATTGGTAGGTTGTTTTCATTGAAAAATAGGAACATCAATATATTTTTTGGATAACTTAAGGGTATCATTTCATGTTCCAATTCACGTTGTGTTCCAAATTCTCAACTCTGCTCAAATTAGTTGCAGATCACTGAATCCCTGCTGTTGAGAACATGGGGTGGGGAGGGGGGAGGGGACAGGAGGAGGGGGAGGGGAACCGGGATGAAACAAGCTTCAACGGCAACTTCCTTGCAACTTCAATTTAGACCCAGATCCACTTTAACCGACCGCACTTCGCTGCAGTGAGAATGTCATCTCTGTAAAGCAATGTAGCAAATCCTTTCGCAAACAACAACAAAAAGGAAAGAAATGGCACTCAGCAAATGCATGATAATTTTTATTCATTTCCAGGAGAGCCAGGCACCCCAGAGCCGAGAACCGGAGGTGAGATTTCAAAACAATATCAACACAAATATTCGGTAGAAGAAATATTTTAACGATTGTATTGAGCATTTTTGTGTTATATAAAGTTAGGGATAAAATGAGGTCTTTTCAGTTTTTACAGCAGAGTTTTTGTTAAGAGGTGGGAGGATAAGTCTTCTGAAATTGTGTGATTCGATTTCATCTAACCCCCCCCCCCCAAAAAAAAAAGCGAAGTCATATTAGACTATGAAAATCACTCAAACCTTAGCCAAGCGCAACTGAAAATCGGTGAAAATTATAACCAGATCATTTTACAGTGAATGAAAATCTTTAAAATAGCGAAAACGATTGCCATTCAGCTGCGGGATAGCAGCTCAACAAAATCATCATGTCTCGTCGTTAGTCCGTTGGTTAGTAACAATCGTTCACACTGCCTATTGCTCATTTACTTGGATCGTTTTCAACCAAACTTTGGCAGAAGTATCAGTAGCCCAGCCCCATTATGTCACGTGACAAAACTGTGGTAAAAGGTCATCATGAGGTCACTGGGATCATCAACCTGACTTTTTAAAACTCAAAACACTTCCAGAAATTACAAGGCACAATCACGTGACTCATGCATGAACACGAAAACGTTGGCCGGCAGCTTCCGAGATAATTCCGATCGCGTTTGTTTTTGTAGGGACTACATTTCCGTATTTTCTTTCGTTCAAGAACTAGAAAAAAAAATCAGTTACCATGTATAAGAGTATAGTTGGTTGTGATTTTAATTAACTTTTTTTTTGCAATTTGTACAATTTTGTGACAGGTTTGTCGACTGGTGCTGTCGTTGGTATCGTGTTTGGCATCCTTATTGCCATTTCCATCGTTCTTGTCGCTGTGTACTTTGTCTTGGCCTATCGGCGGGGCAAAGGCAACCTGATGGAGGACCGTATGATCACGTCCACGACTGGCTTCGAAAACGCAACTTACTTCTCCAACATGGAGGCCGAGAATAAAAGTGACATTTGAATATTTTCTGGTGAAGTTGCCCAAAACCCAAATTTACTCCAGTCTGTAGTTCATAATTCAGTTGAGAAACGTTGAATGTATTATACAATCTAACGACTAACGCAATGAATCACTGAGAATTGGAAAGGTGACTTAAAATGTTACAGTAATCAGAAATTATCAAAGACAATGGTAATCTATTTTTTAGAGGGGTGAAATTTGCCGACAAACATCAGAAAAAAATACTCAGTGAGTAAAAGGGATTTTTGTTTGTTTTGAGAGGAAGATTGTAAATCCTTATTAGAGACCATACATCTGAGCCCAATTTCTTGGTTCTGCTTACCGTTAGCAAAAAATCCCTGCTTACTATAGCAGGGGATTCCATGCTTACGGCAAGCGTATTTCACGGGTTAACGAGCAATTTTAGCTTATGCGCATGCATACATCCCGTAACTAAGCATTCTGTGCTTACAGGGTAAGGGCAGTATGTTTCTGTAAGTGCAGAATGCTGATCGTGTAAGCGCGGAATTCTGTGGTTTAGAAGAGCCATGATATTGGGCCCTGATCTCAAAGAAAACTGCTATTCATAATTATGTTTTCTATCTTCAGAAAACTTCACGTCTTGCTTAGTAAGACGATATTAATTTGCGCTGTTACGAAACCACTGTAGTGAAAATATGCTAATGTTGCAGAGTTAGGTAGGACTTTAAATTTCATGTTTTCTGATCATCTTTCAAGTCTTTAATTGAATTGCAATATTGTCAGAAACCGTGTCGTTATATTTTATTTTTTGTCTTCCCTGGATCACACAAGTGTTGTTGTTTTTTTGAATAATTTGTAAACATCCATAGCTGAATACTAATGTAAGGCAGTCTTTGAGGCTGACAATTCACAATAACTAGATTCTAGAAAAGCATGAAGTGCAAAATGAAAGCGTTTTTATTTCTTGCAATTTGTAACATCTTTATAGTTTTACTTAAGTGTTTTTTTTATCTGAGAGGTTATGTAGACTATTGCTTGTGTGCTGTGGCTTAGTATAAATGTTTATTTATAAATGATTCAGTGATTTATATGTTATAAATGACTTGAAGCTTTTCATGGCGGATGATATAAATTACAAAGTTTGCGGGTAACACCATGTGGAAAGATATCGCTTCTTGGAAGAAGTGTGGTTCTGAAAACCACGTCGAGTTCTACACTCATCCGACCGGTTCTTTTGAGAATCACACTTCTTCCAAGAAGCGATATCTTTCCACATGGTGTTACCCGCAAAAGTAAAAATGTATTGATTTTTATGTTTAATTCTGTGGAGCATAAGAACTTTGTTGATTCATGACTTATTGAAATAACAATGCATAAGTCTATTGCAAATGATTTAAAAACGAGCAAAATTCACACACAAAAAATCAGAAGTTTAAATTAATGTTGACTCGTTTGCTTGCAGAAGTGACGTGCCTGCAAAATGGTTAGTTTTTCTAACTCGACCAAAAACAACAACAACGAAACCAAAAATAACCCACAACATGTCACAAAAGAGGTAGTCAGTAAGAATCACTTAGTATCACTATTATGCTAAAGATGTTACTTTTTATAGCTAAATTAATCTTTTTATCCATGTGGAGTTCAATACTATGTGAAGAATTCTTGATGCAATCATTTAAATACGCGGTGGCGTTTTTCCGTCATTGAACATGTGAACCCACAATATTGTCACATTCATTATGGACTGTAAACTCATGCGTCTTTTTTTAAATACAAATGCAACAAATTTTACTTAATATTTGAAGTACACCTGTTTTCGATGTCTTTACATTTAATGATTGTCATTTGATGAGAAGAGAGTTGATTTAGGGTAAAGAGTGATGGGAACAAGTTCACATTCACAATCTTGTTTGGACAAGAATCAATAAATTAGAATCAATCTTAAATTGTTATATTTTGTCTGTAAGTTCATTGGCCTTGAGCGATCACGTGTCAAGTTTATAAAAACTACATTTGCGGCACCAAAATATCGCTTTAGCACATCTTTGCGCCATAAGCGCCACAGCGGCACATGTCGCACAGTGAAGGGAGTGGTCACGCCCCTTGAGGTTGCATAGGAGTATTTCATGACAAAGGTTGCATTGTGACGATTTTAATTCATTCCTTGCACTTGTACCTGCAGTGTAATTTGCACATTTCATGTTTCCCATTTATTTTGGCATGACATAGGGTGTAACAAGTTATTGGCTGTTGGGACGGTGGGAACTGTCTCCTTGATTGTTGTGTGTACAAACACCATGTCCCATATCACAGCAGTCCGAGTGTGCTATGACTTTGTCAGTTGAAGCTTTTGAAAGTTGTGGGCAAGTTCTCTGATTATTCTCTCAAGCGGTTTTGACTTCAGCATTGTGCAATGTTGCAGTGTAGAAAATCTGCCATGTATCTTGTTTGCTTAGAGTGAATGCAGTATATCCAAGTGGTGCACGGGTTCGGTCAATGCGTAGGCCTACAGCGGCTTGGCTTGCAACCTGTTTGTCCCTCGAGATGGGGAGATGTTGAAGGGGTGAAACATCACGTGTTGTTTTAAAATTAGACTTTGTTCCGACGCTCCGTTGGTCCTTGCCAGATTATATCTTCTCCGACAGTTATAATACCTGTGATAAATGATTTTGTTCACCTGGGGATATTCACTAAATACATCAACACTCTTGATATACTAGCAAATGTCGTGTGACTCGTATGTTTCATCACTCCAAACGACTTGGTAATCAACCTATGCGTGTTTTCCTTCCTCGTAAGTACGAGGTCGCCAATCCTCCATGCCCTATTAGTCACATGGAATGCCAAGAAACTTCCATTTGGTCTTTGCAGTCTATCAGAAACTTTGCGGAATCATTCTTCATTTCTTCACAAGAACTTCATCGAACAACGCAGGCTTACTGTAACGAGGGGTAAATAATTATGGCACTGAATAGCAACTTTGTGGTGGTGTTGGTGTTTTCGGTGTTGTACCGTAAGTATTGTTCGTTATCTTCTTGTGAATATTTTAGGAAGTCATTGATTATGTGACTGCGGTGAGACATCGTTAAAATGAACGTGTATATTTTATTCCTGATGATTTGGGGTTTTTTTTTCGGAAAGAAAAAACACCTTTTTTTCTCCTTCCTCGAATCAAAAAGCACTTGCCACTGAAACGAAATTGAATACAAACGCTAACAAACTATAAGCCATTAAATGAACTCTTGCTCTGCATTACTCTTGCTATGACGACATTGGCTTGATCTTCATTCAGTTTCGACGAAAATGATGGATTTGAAAGGCCATGGAACTTATTCATCACGCGAATGCTCAGGTATCAAAATGGAAGGACTCTTTATAACGATTGAATGCTGATGTGGCAGGCATTCGTTCTTTATTAAAAAGGTATTATTTTTTTGGTGGATAAAGTTACATTCCTTCTTTCTTTAGAGCTGTGCTTCGCCCATCCCATCAGCGAAGAAGATCCTCCAATCAGCGAGACAGCCAAACTGCTTACGATTGGTGCCAGGGTGGTACGTGGACCAGATTGGAAATGGGGAGATCAGGTACAAATCCAAAGGTTCATCATTTTCCAGTTGTAAAGCTATCTTCGTTATCCAGTCTATAGTGGTAAAGAGAGTCCCACAAATTGAAATAAAGTTTGAAAAGCTACGCGTATGTATGTAAATTTCGAATATTAGGGTTTTTTTCGCTGGGACGGTACTCCACAGAGTGAACGCCGGACCAATGTTGAAAACAATGGCTGTGTCGAGGTGAAGCGGGTTATAGCAGGCAACACGAACAGTTGCCGAATGAGGAAAGGAGAAAAAAATACGTTGCCTTCTCGGAACCTGTGTGTATATGAGGAAATCTGCGCCCGTTGCCAACAGCACAACCGGGCTCCGTTGTACGTTGCAACGGATTACTCTAATGGTAGAATGAATGGTTAGAAACTGCTTTGAACATTTTAAATAGTACTCGTGTATTAATGGTCGGTTAACTTCGTGTTTTTTTGGAACTACGCATGCATTATGTTGTGCTTATGAAGGTATCCTGCTGACTCAAATCACAAATCTCTTTGTGTTAGGACGGTAATCCGCCTGGGGAGGGTAGTGTCGACGGCCCATACAGTACTCCCGGTTGGTACTGGGTACAATGGGACGCGGGGAAAAGACACACTTACCGAATAGGAGCAGAGGGAAAGTACGACCTGAAGCTTGTTGACGCTGCGTCTCTAGACGGATCAGTTCGGTTGGCAAATGGCGATGACGAACTCAGCGGTCAGGTGGAAATCAATCACGACGGGACCTGGGGAACAGTCTGTGACGTCAACTGGGACATCCAGGATGCCATGGTCGTCTGTCGTCAGCTCGGCAACTTCTTAGAAGCAGTGGAGATCAAGACGGGATCGTTCTACGGAGAGAGCGAGCGACCGATCGTGATGAACCGTGTGGCGTGTCGAGGGACGGAGAGTCGGTTGGCTGACTGCCCGTTTGTCTGTACCAGCTCTCGTCCCTGTAATACCTCACAAGTGGCCGGGGTGGTTTGCCGACTACCAAAACTCAGTAAGAAAGACTGTCATCTCTCGTTACTTTTAATTTAATAGTATTGCACAATAAAGCTTATCCAGGTAACAAGTTGTCTTAATATAACACCTGAATAATTTCACTTGTCATTACAATAATTATTTTCGGCAGTAGTTCGTCATGTTTACGAAATATAATATAGACCTACTTTTTATATCGACACAGATATCAAACCGTCAACTGAATATCAAGAGTTTTGTATTAATCATCTCCCAAATGTACATTCATTACTAATATTCCTCAGTTTCTCAATTTGAACATAATTTCTTTAACATGAGTTGCCATAATAATGATGCTTTCTGACTCAACGCGTAAATTTAAAATTCATTCGATTAATCTGTACTGCTTTTTTGCTAAATAATGTAGTCGTTTACACTTTTAAAGAAAATCTTAATTTGTTTACCAGATACGGTTCGGTTGGTTGGAGACGGTTCGGATCCCGCCAGCGGACGCGTAGAGATCTACCGTAATGCAACCTGGGGGACAATTTGCGACATTGATTGGGACATGGATGACGTCCAGGTTGTCTGTCGTCAGCTGGGATTCTCCGGGGCTGTGGAAGCCAAGTCTGGGGCCCATTTCGGCCAGGGGGAGGGGCCAATCCACATGGAGGGAGTGGCCTGTGATGGGTCTGAGAGTCAACTGGCTGACTGCCCGTCTCATTGCTGGCAGAAATCGGCATGTAGCCACGCCCAAGATGCTGGCGCCATCTGTCGTCAGGATGAATAAGCCGTGAAAGTTTACTCAAGAAAGTTGCGGTTATTATGGTTTTGTTTTTAGTTTGACGCTATATCATAGCTTGTAGCAGTATGTATTCTTAGAGGTAGTGCATGTATAAACCGAACTACAAACACTCCATGACAGAACAAGGTGTTGAAAAGATACATGCATTTAGCTTGTTGAATATATTCGAGGACAGTTATGGCAAGTTAAGTTTGTGTTGGTTCTGAGAAGAACCGGTTTAGACTCAACGTTGCGGAAATTATACTCTTTCCCTTTGTTATGCCAAGTTGCGCTATATACATTCTTTCTTTAAACGCGTTCTTTCTATCAGCTAGAAAACATAGTTTTAACTATTTTTAACATAGTTTTAACTAAGTTTGGTATTTAAAAATATTAAACATATTGCAATACTAAACATGTTTAGAGTATTAATGAATAGTGTTTAGCAATTGAACATCGATGTTTAGGAATTGGACATGTACTGTTTAGCTGCTAAACATATGTTTACAAAGTGACAGCAATATTCTGTTTTATTGCTATAAACACAATGTTTAGAGCGTACTCCACTAAGTAGTTATTAAAAGTTAAAAGATGTCTTACATTCTCCCTTTTTTGTTAGAAAAAAATTCGTTCCCCAAATGTTGTACCCGTAAACCTGCCCCGTCCCTATTCGGGTGCCGGTAGCTGATACAATTGGCTGTCTGAAGAAAATAAATGACTGACCGCATTAGGAAATTGAGAACATGTGTGCTTAGGGTGAAACAGAACATATATCTTTCCCGTGATTGCTATGCAAGTTCCCTTGTGCAGGTATTTAAAAAGCATACATGTAGAATAAACATTGTCAATTTGCGTGTCGAAAATAAATTTTCTAGTACATACGCTGAGCATTCCAATTCTTGTATATGAGTTATGTGCGTTCATGTATCCTGGAACTTGGCTAGATTTAATAAATGTTATTTTTCAAAGATTCAAAGATTCAAAGATTGCTTGGAATCTCTAAATTGGCATTATTGTTTATTATAACAAGGTACGAGTCCTGACAGCGCTGCTTACGATTGCACTATTAATAGTTGTCATGGAATGCTTAGATCCTTCGATCAGTCTCTGGGTCTGCCAGAATCTTTCCAAACGGCTCACTTTTACGACTATCATCCGACGGACGGACAGTGAGAGGGAGAACCCAGCTACAAAATGGGTTTCATCAGTTGCAACATTGCCGTGTGGATATTGTCTGCAGGGCTGTACCGTAAGTAGGACAAACCTTTTCAAAACGATTTTAGTCCATTAACTGCGAATCAATTTATTTTACAGAATCTGGTAATATCAGAAGAATTGTTGGACTATCTTAGATTGTCTCTCAAAAGTTAAGATCAATGCCGAAGTATATAGGCCTAGCCATGTTGTAAAGAGTATTTTATTATCTTAGTAGACAGAAGAGTTTTTATCATTACCAAAAAATACCAGAAAGTATAGGTGTATTTTGCAAATTGTACTATTTAATTAAATAGAGCTTTACATTCGAATGTAAATTTAATAAAGAAAGAAAGAATGAATATTTTAGTAGACCCAGAAGAGTTTTTTTTTTATCATTACCAAAACGAAACACTCCGAAAAAACATAGGAAGCTGCAGGCTACTACATGTATCTGTTTCTAATTTCTGACGGGTTTTCAGTAACAATTACAGCCGGACTTGTTAATAACATACACCCATATGAATCGTTTCTTCTTTTTTTCATACTGATATCACTTTACAACTCTATGCAGAGAATGCATTGTTTTAACCGTTACAATACAAACCGTATACGTGCACTGAGGCAGAAAGTGCAAGATTTACCATTATTTAGTAAGTCCTAATTAGGAAAAATAAAAAATTGGCTGGTTTCACATTGGCAAAAACACGCAAAATCTCTCAGAATCAAAAGTACCGACAATTAACAGCTAAGCCCATTATTATTTTATTCTGTTGTAGTGTGAATTTGTGACTCCTATGAAAACGGACTCATTGACTGCATCGTGCATGGCTGTGCGAACTGAATAGTGGGAACTCACTGATGCATGTGAGGCAGAGATGCCATATAAGGCGAACAGGGACCGGACTTAATGGGAGTCCGAATTTCATATGACACCGGCATGTGTTAAAACGGCTGGTGAAAAGCCTATTTGCATTGATCACAGTCCATTCTTTTAATTATAGAAGTGTGCGTTGGTCATCCAATCAGTGGTGAACCTGATGATTTATCTGAAGTGCTGAAGATGGGAACGAGGGTGGTACGCGGACCAGACTGGAAATGGGAAGATCAAGTATATAGACTTTTATCCAGCACTCATGCATTATATTGCCATCAATGCATTAATTTAAACCTTGGTTGGAAACTTTCCTAACAAAAAATGTGTATTTATCTCAGAGGGTGGTATCTTTTGTTCTATTTTAGGTAGTTTGTAATGATTATTCAGTGTTTGAAATAGTTGCCTGTATTATATATAAAAATTATATTCTTTGTTTATTCTTTAACTTTTTTGTTTTGCTTTGTTTTGTTTTATTACTTTGTTTACATTTTTTGAAAAGCCGCTTATAGGCCTATCCTTAATTTGCCATACCAGCCATCGGTTGGCAAAAACTATTACGTATCACTGGGTCTATGGAAAAGGTGCATTTCATTTTAGGGCATTTTTACATGACCTAGCTACTTCAGTTGCATTATTATTCGAATAAATATATGCTATTGCTATAACTTAGGGCAATAACACCGTGAAAGGTTAAAGACATAACAAACTGGCCACGTTGAAGTTGCCACTCTAAGAATACCTAATTTAGGCTGCAACGACTTTGGGCTTATTAACTCAAATTAAAACTCTCTTTGTGAAAGGACGGTAATCCGCCTGGTGAAGGTAGCATGGACAGTGAACTCAGTGGCGGCTGGAATTATGTACAATGGGACACCAGGCACATAAACCATTACAAAATGGGAGCAGACAGGCAGTACGGCCTGAAACTTGTTGAGGCAAGGGCGGATCCAGAACCCAATTTTTGGGGGGGCCAAAAAAAATTTTGGTCCCCCCAAAAAGTGGGTCTAAAAAATTACGGCGTGGGGTTCGGGGCCCGCTAGGGCCCCGAAAAATTTTTGGATTCTAGATGCTCTGTGGTGCGATCTGAGGCAATTTCTGACCCTTTTAACCAATTTTTTTGAGGAAAAGATGGTGGTGTACTCATTGCCTGCCTTTATTGCGATGTCACATTAAAAAAAAAAAAAAAATTGGTTTCTTTTTTGGGGGGGGGGGGGGGGGGGGGGGCCATGGCCCCCTTTGGCCCCCCCCCCCCTGGATCCGCCCTTGTGTTGAGGATGCGCGTGTTCGTTTGGTGGACGGGGATGATGAACTCAGCGGTCAGGTGGAAATCAACCACGACGGGACCTGGGGAACAGTCTGTGACGTCAACTGGGACATCCAGGATGCCAGGGTCGTCTGTCGTCAGCTCGGCAACTTCTTAGAAGCAGTGGAGATCAAGACGGGATTGTTCTACGGAGAGAGGTAGGAACTCAGATGCGAACAAAACCAAAATGTAAGAACTTAACCTGACCAACTCCATCAAAATTCATCCCTCATTTTTTTTTAGCAGAAAAAGCCACGGCGTACCAAGTCCATCAAAATCCACCAGCACCATTATGTGAAGCAGATTGAGCGATGGATTTTGACGGAGATGGTCTTCTGCTATGGTTCGAGAGTATCTAAGGAAGAATTAAACTGCATTTTAAAATCAAGCCAAATGGACGTTTTAAGCACTTTTTCAAACATGTTTTTCAAAGTTAGATTTTGATCACAAAGGTGAAATCCTTTACACGCACCTCATTTTTCTTTCCACAATGCAGATGAATAATAAAGTATTTTATACGCCTGATCCTTGTGTTAGGCCTATGTATTTTGACGTCTGCTTTTTGAATAGCCTGAACAGGTACAGACTGCGTATGTAAATATGATTTGCCTGTTTTGGGACTGTAATTTTGGACTGCCAATTTCCCTCCCCTGCTGGTTTTCATGGCGTAACAAATTTTGGCTGACCCTATTAGTCTATTTTCCCCCTCGAATTCTCATTTTCATGTACGTGCCTCTCATGTTTTTCCCGCCTGCACAAATTTATCGTTTAAAATAGCACATCTACTTCCCCTGCACTTGTCTGTTGGATGCATCATCTAAAGTTGCAACTGATCGACCTTAAGTTAACCCAAGAGACGTGAAAGTAGAACCATTTCCCGGATAGAATCTGCAACACTTGCAACTTCTCATTCAATGTACAAAAATGACCTACGGTTGCTCCACATGCAGCAAATGCTGTCATGTAATTTTGATTCTTGCAGACGAGGTATTGAACTGTGTATAACTTTATTACCAAACTGCGCTGCAGAGCTGAAGTATTACCTACATACAGATGACAGCCTTAGAAAAGATAAAGAATGACATCCTCAAACCAATACCCTTTTCTGTAATTTTAAAGGCAGAGTGACTTTGTAATTGGTGCATTTTTTTCGTTTGAAGCAATTTTTGCTGTAATTTTCAGAAACGAACTATTTGAAGGGGGAGTATAATGGATCAAATATTGTTACACTGACATGTTTGAAGGTTTTTGTTCGAAAATGCTGGAAAAACCAAGAAAAACAAAAATGTTTGAGTAGTCTGGTTCCCTGACTCCACTAAAGATAAAATGGATCAATTTCCAGATGCCGGAAAATTGTAAGGTAAGGGAACCAGTCTAGCTGGCCTGCACCCGTTCAAAATATGTAACCAATAGCAAACAAAATTTGAACTGAATAAAAAATGGTAAATTTGGAGCAGTAGTTGCAAAATAGTTAGGTTTTTGCAACGATGGTCGGCCGACCACTGCTGGAAACGTATACAAAAATACCATTTTCTTGAAAATGACTTCACACCAGGTGCCATAACTTTACAGGATGCTTTTGACTGTCATTTACCAACATCTTAGTAAGGTATTTCGTAAAAACTTGGTAGTTTTATTTTTCAATGTTTGCAAATGTTGTATATTCCCTTTAACTAACCTGATGAAGTTTATAGCTCAGTGAATACTGTATATTCCGAGAAAATAATATTCTAGGAACTCGATTTCAATTCGAAAATTGACAAGTCATATTTTGAATTGCGCCTGAAATCAGCGTCGGGGACACGTTCTCATTCAGCCGTTTGCAGCGACACGATGTCACGCACTGAACCAATGAATAATAGCAACTACGTGCGCCTTTGCGTCGAGTCATCACTTGCGCGCATCCATTCACGGATTCCCCTAATCACAAAACCAACTACTAACGGAAATTTCCAAAAATGTGTCAATTGACACATCTTTGGGAGTGACCTTGTTTTATTGTTTTCTTAAAATGACAACATGCCAGAAGGAATAATTTCACTGGGGGTTTAGTTTAATTACTACCTTTAAACCAAGAAGCTTTTTAACAGTAATTTGGTCTGTCACTTTTTGGATAGCTGCAAATAGTCGTCTCTACATTTAAATCTCTTTCCCAGCATGCTAGAGAACATAACCTTCATCTACCAGATATAGGAAAAGATTTCACAAATGTGCATGGGCAACAACAAAAAAAGTCAAAGTGGTGTAAATTTAATGGGGTGGGGGAACGTCCAGTGTTGAGACGAGTACTTTTTTCCGAGTAACGAGTACTCCCGAATACTTAGGTTGCCGAGTACGAGTACGAGTACGAGTACTTGTACATCCGAGTACAAGAACGGGTCTCCGAGTACGAGTACTTTTACTTCCGAGTACGAGTACGAGTACTTCCGAGTACGAGAACGAGTACGACTACTTCTATTTCTGAATACGGCCATACCGCAATGATGGTTCATTGTGCTTATTTTGGCCCAGGCCCAGTCAGACAGATATACAGACCCACTCACCACTAGCTGTTAAATGTGTTTGTCTGGACTTGCACAGAAGAAAATCAGGAAATCTCGACTTCTCAACAAGCCAATCAACCATTTTAAACTGAAAGTATCGGTAAAATAAGGCCATGGTAAGTGACGCTATAACATCCCCCCCCCCCGAGTACCGCTTTTCGAGTACGAGTACTTTAATGATCGAGTACAATTTCGACATGTCGAGTACGAGTACTTTGCTGCCCGAGTACGAGTACCGTCATTTCGAGTACGAGTACTTCGACATTCGAGTACGAGTACTCCAATAAAGTACTCGAGTAGTACTCGAGTACGTGTACCGAGTTCGAGTACTAAAACACTGGGAATGTCCCTGCCCCCCGCGAAAACTGATATTGAGAAATACACATTTTTTTGGAAAAATATGTTTTGCCCCCCTCTAGAAAAAATTCCTGGCGACGCCCATGCAAATATGTGTTAGTGACCGCACAGTCCATTTGTTTTGGGTCCATAAGACTTGCCTTTACTGATAACGCTGCCTGTTTCTGTAGTCAAAATGTTGCAGTCAAAAACTGACTTGAATGACAGTCACATATGGTTGTCCTTATGTGAGTTGCTAGTAGAAGTTCAAAAGTCACTTTCATTACACATTTGGAAGCCCATAAAATGTTGCATGCATCATCTCCCCAGAGTTTTTCTATGTTCGTGTGATTAAAGAGTACCTTTTCCCCTATCATGTTCCCTTAGTGCCTATACATGTATTCTTTTTGACCCACACCTGCACGCCTGTTTGTCCACCGAGTCGACAACCTGGGTTGACCTTGAATTGAGTAGGTGAATGATTTATAATGATTTCCCCCCTGCTCCACATCGAAGTGTCAAATTATCACAGGCAGTCAATAAATATACCAAAATTGAGTGTGTTTCTTTTTTTTACTACTTTGTCGTCTTAATTCATGGTGCCTTGTAATTATTTGATTTTTGACTCATTTATGTTTGACCTTAGCGTTCTGATTTCAAGTAGTGTGCACTGGTCATGGTCCTTGGTCAAAGCATGAGCTAATAGCTCCATATGGTCAAAGAAAACAAAAAACTTGGAAGGTCGTTTTGGCTTGGATTTTGTTTTCTTGGGGTGATCAGGTTTAGCTGATGCTTGTGGGAAGGCATAACTGGCATGGTGTGTAAATAACACAGCCGTTATGTAATGGGGCATTCGACACCCAGTAATGCTCTCCTGGACCTATATTACCTTGTCCTGGACAGCAAATTGTTCAGCTTCAAAGCACGCCTAGGCTAAAACATATTTTGGTTAAATTTTGAGGTCTGGATTTTTTTTGGGGGGGGGGGTTAGGCCCTAGTTTTCCATGTTTGAGTCATGAGAGAAAAAAGAAAGAAAGTCATATTTATTTTTTCCCGACACATTTTTGGAAACCTCTGAAGGGGTAGACTGTGATATTGGTGATTATTATTATTTTATCTCTTTCCACGGGTGACATTGAGGCAACAAAGAATGAATGATAATTGCGGGGTTTCTCTGCAAGTTGCAAAGTGCATGTTCTAAGTTGGTACAGCACAGGTACAGTATTCTGGAGATTGTGGGTTCAGATCCTGCTTGAGGCAATTTTCTTTGTGTAATCAAGAATTGATTTCAAACGAAATAGGTCATAGTGCCACCTTGAATGTTTATACATTGTTTATACATAGTAGGCGAGCAAAACTAAATGTGGAAAAGTTCTGTAGAAAATAATTTTACGGCATTTTTTACATGCTAGATTAAATTCTTTGGACCATAACAATAAAGATGCTACTTTTTATAGCTGAATTAATCTTTATATCCATGTGGAGTTCAATACTATGTGAAGAATTCTTGATGCAGTCATTTAAATACGCGGTGGCGTTTTTCCGTCATTAAACAAGTGAAGCCACAATATTGTCACATTCATTATGGACTGTTAATTCATGCGTTTTTTTTAATACAAATGCAACAAATTTTACTTAATATTTGAAATACACCTGTTTTCGATGTCTCTACCTTTAATGATTGTCATTTGATGAGAAGAGAGGTGATTTAGGGTAAAGAGTACTGGGAACGAGTTCACATTCACAAACTTGTTTGGACAAGAATCAATAAATTAGAGTCAATCTTAAATTGTTATATTTTGTCTGTAAGTTCATTGGCCTTGAGCGATCACGTGTCAAGTTTACAAAAACTACATTTGCGGCACCAAAATATCGCTTTAGCACATCTTTGCGCCATAAGCGCCACAGCGGCACATGTCGCACAGCGAAGGGAGTGGTCACGCCCCTCGAGGTTGCAAAGGAGTATTTCATGACAAAGGTTGCATTGCGACGATTTTATTTCATTCCTTGCACTTGTACCTGCAGTGTTATTTGCACATCTCATGTTTCCCATTTATTTTTGCACGATATAGGGTGTAACAAGTTATTGACTGTTGGGACGGTGGGAACTGCCTTCTTGATTGTTGTGTGTACAAACACCATGTCCCATATCACAGCAGTCCGAGTGTGCTATGACTTTGTCAGTTGAAGGTTTTGAAATTTGTGGGCAAGTTCCCTGATTATTCTCTCGAACAGTCTTGACTGCAGCATTATGCTATATGTAACAGTGTAGAAAATCTGCCATGCATCTGTTTAGCTCAGCGAATGCAGTATATCCGAACTGGTGCAGGGGTTGGGTTAATGCGTAGGCCTACAGCGGCTTGGCTTGCAACCTGTTTGTCCCTCGAGATGGGGGAGATGTTGAAGGGGTGAAACATCACGTGTTGTTTTAAATTACACTTTGTTTCGACGCTCCGTTGGTCCTCCTACTGTTATAATACTTGCGATAAATGATTTCGTTCACCTGGGGATATTCACTAAATACACCAACACTCTTGATATACTAGCAAATGTCGTGTGTCTCGTACGTTTCATCACTCCAAACGACTTGGTAAACAACCTATGCGTGTTTTCCTTCCCTCGTAAGTACGAGGTCGCCAATCCTCCATGCCGTATTAGTCACATGGAATGCCAAGAAACTTTCCATTTGGTCTTGGCAGTCTATCAGAAACTTTGCGGAACCATTCTTCATTTCTTCACAAGAACTTCATCGAACAACGCAGGCTTACTGTGACGAGGGGTAAATAATTATGGCATTGAATAGCAACTTTGTGGTGGTGTTGGTGTTTTCGGTGTTGTACCGTAAGTATTTTTCGTTATCTTCTTGTGAATATTTTAGGAAGTCATTGATTATGTGACTGCGGTGAGACATCGTTAAACTGAACTTGTATATTTATTTCGTGATGTTTTTTTTTTTCGAAAAGAAAAAAAAAGACCATTTTTTCTCCTTCATCAAATAAAAAATCACATACTACTGAAGCGAAATTGAATACAAACACTAAAAATAATTTACACCATGAAACTGAATTTTTGCTCTACATTGCTCTTGCTATGACGACATTGGCTTGATCATATCAGTTTCGACAAAAATGATGGATTTGAAAGCCCATTGAACTTACTCATCATGCGAATGCCCAGGTATCAATGTCATAGGACTCTTTATGACGATTGAATGCTGATGTGAGGGAGCATTCGTTCTTAAAAGGCCTTATTTTTTGGGTGGAAATGTGCTGGGTAAACTTTACATTCCCTCTTTTTTCAGAGCTGTGCTCCGCCCATCCCTTAAGCGAAGGAGGTCCATCATTCAGCGAATCCGAGATAGCCAGACTGTTTACGATTGGTACCAGGGTGGTACGTGGACCAGATTGGACGTGGGGAGATCAGGTACAAAACCAAAGGTTCATCGTTTGCCGATAAGTACAGACAAGTTTTCTTATTAAAATGACCAATTAAACTTTAATGAGGATCTTCGTTCAAATTTATTAATTGCCAATGAAGGAGAATCCCAACTGTCTTTCAAATCTCGAATATTAGACATAATATACATGTATACATATGCATCATGCAATAAATTCAGAATATGAGCTAATCAAATTTTGGCATGAATATGTAAACAATCGATTCAGGATATGCGTTAATCAAACTTTTTCATATGTTTCTTCTGGACAGACTGTTTCGTACCGTAAGGCACTGTTCAGTAGAAACAATCGAAACAGTCTGTCCAGCTGACAAATATGCCAAAGTTTGATTTAAGGTACAGTCCATAATTTGCAGCTATCCAAAAAATAACCGACGAAATTATTGTTGAAAAGTGTACTTGGTTTAAAACTCCCTGTGAAACAATTCTTTATGGCAAGTGTGTCATTTTGAAGAAATGAATGAAAGAAGGCATTTCCAACGATGCGTCTAAAGATGCATCGTTGGAAATTTCAATTGTGCGTTAGTAGTTCGTTATCTTATTCGGCGAAAAAAAGAAGTGCGCGCAAGCGTTGACACGCGCTGAATTCAGGCCCAATTCAAAACATGACTCAGCAACTTTTTATTTGAATTCAAGATCCTGGAATATTGTTTTTGTCGGAATATACAGCTGAAGCTGAGCTGAGACTTGATCAGGTTAGTTTTTCAGCACCCTTCTTTGGATTTGGAGCACTTTTGTTGCTTTAAACGAAAAAAATACACACATTACATAGACGCTACAACTCATATCCTGAATTTATTGCATATTATTATAGCTCTGCAGAGATGCATCGAGCACTGTGGATTGTAAATAGATGACGATTTCATTGCATAGGCCCCCCTATATATATATATATTTATATATATATATATATATATTTTTTTTTTAAATCAGGACGGGTCTCCACCCGGTGAAGGGCGGATCATTGCTGAACTAAATGACAATGGCTGGGTCCGGGTGGAGTGGGATACAGGTAATAGAGAAGCTTACCGAATGGGGAAAAATGGAAAGTACGATCTAAAACTTGTAGATGTTGTTGACCCTGCATCTCTGGATGGATCGGTTCGGTTGGCGAATGGCGATGACGAACTCAGCGGTCAGGTGGAAATCAATTACGACGGGACCTGGGGAACAGTCTGTGACGTCAACTGGGACATCCAGGATGCCATGGTCGTCTGTCGTCAGCTTGGCAACTTCTTAGAAGCAGTGGAGATCAAGACGGGATCGTTCTACAGAGAGAGCGAGCGACCGATCGTGATGAACCGTGTGGCGTGTCGAGGGACGGAGAGTCGGTTGGCTGACTGCCCGTTTGTCTGTACCAGCTCTCATCCCTGTAATACCTCACAAGTGGCCGGGGTGGTTTGTCGACCAAAACTCAGTAAGAAAAACTGTCATCTCTCCTTACTTTCAATGTAATCGTATTGCCAAGCTTATCCAGGTGACAAGTTGTCTTAATATAACACCAGAATTTCACTTGTCATTACAATAATTATTTTCGGCAGTAGTTCGTCATGTTGACGGAATATAATATAGACCTACTTTTTATATCAACACAGATATAAAACCGTCTTTCAATTAAGTATCGCACAATATTTGATGGTTTTGCATAATTCTTCTTCCAAATCTAAACTCATCACTAATATCCCTCAATTTCTCAGTTTGAACATAATTTTTCACATGACTTGCCATCATAAAAATGCTTTCTTACTCAACCCTTACGTTTAACGTCATTCGAATAAACTGTACTGCTACTATGCTAAACACTGTAGTCGTTTACACTTTTAAGGTTAAAAGTTTTTAATAAATCATTATTTTGTTTACCAGATACGGTTCGGTTGGTAAGCGATGGTTCGAATCCCGCCAGCGGACGCGTAGAGATCTACCGTGATGCGACCTGGGGGACAGTTTGCGACAACGACTGGGACACGGGTGACGTCCAGGTCGTCTGTCGTCAGCTGGGATTCTCAGGGGCTGTGGAAGCCAAGTCCGGGGCTCATTTCGGCCAGGGGGAGGGGCCAATCCACATGGAGGGAGTTTCCTGTGATGGGTCTGAGAGTCAACTGGCTGACTGCCCGTCTCATTGCTGGCAGAAACCGGCATGTAGCCACGCCCAAGATGCTGGCGCCATCTGTCGTCAGGATGAATAAGCCATGAAAGTTTACTCAAGAAAGTTGCGGTTATTATGGTTTAGTTTTTAGTTTGACGCTATATCATAATCTGTAGCAGCATGTATTCTCAGAGGTAGTGCATGTATAAACCGAACTACAAACACTTCATGACAGAATAAGGTGTTGAAAAGATACATGCATTTAGCTTGTTGAATATATTCGAGGACAGTTATGGCAAGTTGAGTTTGTGTTGAGAAGAACCGGTTTAGACTCAACGTTGCGGACATTATACTCTGTCCCTTTGTTATGCCAAGTTACGCTATATATACATATACTCTATAAACGCTTTCTTGAAATCAGCTTGAAAACATAGTTAAATACTCAACATGTTTCAATACTAAATATGTTTAGAGCATTGATGAATAGTGTTTAGCAATTGAACATCGATGTTTAGGAATTGGACGTGTACTGTTTGCTAAACATATATTAACAGCGAGACAGCAAGATTCTGTTTTATTGCTAAACACAATATTCGGAGTGTACTCTGTTTTCATGAACAAAAGAAAGTTATTATTAAAATTTAAAAGATGTCTTGCATTCTCCCTTTTTTTTAAAGAAAAATAAGAAAGGTTTTCGTTCCCCGAATATTGTACCCGAAAACCTGCCCCGTCCCTATTCGGGTGCCGGTAGCTGGTAAAATTGGCTGTCTGAAGAAAATAAATGACTGACCGCATTTCGAACTTAAGAACATGTGTGTTTCGGGTAAAACAAAGCACATATTTTTCCCGTGATTGCTATGCAAGTTTCCTTGTGCAGGTATTTAAAAAGCATACATGTAGAATAAACAATGTCAATTCGCGTGTCGAAAATAAATTTTCTCGTACATACGCTGGGCATTCCAATTCTTGTATATGAGTTATGTGCGTTCATGTATCCTTGAACTTGGCTAGATTTCATGAATGTTATTTTTGTAACATTCAAAGATTGCTTGGAATCTCTAAATTGGCATTATTATTTATTAAGGTACGAGTCCTGACAGCGCTGCTTACGATTGCACTATTAATAGTTGTCATGGAATGCTTAGATCTTCGATCGGTCTCTGGGTCTGCCAGAATCCTTCCAAACGGCTCACTTTCACGACAGTCCGACGGACGAAGAGTGAGAGGGAGAACCCAGCTACAAAATGGGTTTCATCAGTTGCAACATTGCCGTGTGGATATTGTCTGCAGGGCTGTACCGTAAGTTTGACAAACTATTTCGAAATGAGTTTTTCCATTAACTGCGATTGAATTTATTTTACAGCTTCTGGAAATATCAGACGAATTTTTTGACTATCTTAGATTCTCTCTAAAAAGTTTAGATCAAAGCCGAAGTATAGGCCTAGCCATGTTGTAAAGAGTATTGTAATATTTAAGAATATTTTTTTTATCATTACCAACAAATACCAGAATGTAGGTGTGTTTCGTAATAGAGATTGACATTATAATGCTATTTTATTATAAAGAAAGAGTGAATGAATATTTTAGTAGACCCAGAAGAGTATTACCAAAATGCAATTTTTTCTAAAACATAACAATCTACAGGCTTCTACGTGTATCCGTTTCGACTTTTTGACAGGTTTTCTTTTTTTGCAGCCTAACTTGTTATTAACATACACTCATATGAATAGTTTCTTTTTTCATACTGATATCACTTACAACTCTATGCAGAGTATGCATTATTTAACCTTTACAATAAGGGCCGTATACGTGCACTGCGGCAGAAAGTGCAAGATTTTTTTAACCATTTTTAAGTAGGTCATAATTAGGAAAAACAAATTGGCTGGACCTACGAAATTTGCCAGAAAGTGTAACAATTTGTCATAACAAAATCACTAATTAAAAAAAGATATCAACAGCAGCTAAGCCAATTATTATTTCGAATCCGTTGTAGTGTGAAGTTTTGACTCCTATGAATTGACTACATCGTGCGTTCCTCAGCGAATAGAACAGTACAGTGAAAACTCACTGATGCATGTGAGCCAGAGATGTCATTAGGTTAAAAGGGACCAGACTTCATAGGAGTCCGAATTTTATATGACACCGGCATTTTTAAAACGAGTGGTGAACAGCTGCGTCACCAGCTCCGGGCATAAGGGGGGGGGGGGGCACAGTACAAACTAGGGGGCACACCACAAAAAACCTGTTGTAGATCATTTTGACGCTTAAGGTTTTTGCCGGTGGGGGGGGGGGGGGGGCAGTTGTACGTCGGGGGAGCTAGACAAAATTTTTGGGGGGCTAAAGCCCCCCCCCTAGAACCTCCACTGCATTTGGCGACGGGCCTCGTGGTGAAAAGCCTAAATGCATTGATCAATCAATTCTTATTTTTGTAGAACTGTGCGCTTGTCATCCCATCGGTGATGAACCTGATGATTTATCTGAAGTGCTGAAGATGGGAACGAGGGTGGTACGCGGACCAGACTGGAAATGGGGAGAGCAAGTACGTGGATTTTTTTCCAGCCATCAAAACAGTAATTTAAACCTTTGTTGGCAACAGCATTTAGCCCCCAAAACCCAGTATTTATGTGAGAAGGTGGTATCTTCATTTACATTTTGTTAGTTTCTCTTGATTATTTAGTATTTGAAACAGTTGCCTCTTTTAAAGTGTATTCCGTATGTTTTTGCATAGTTAGGTTTTATTTAAAATATGTAATGCAGCGGCCCCTCATTTGCCATGCCAACCATCGGTCAGCAAAAATTATTACATGTCTTTAGGTTGATGGAAAAGACACAAGTTCACTTGAGGACGTTTTTTCACATGACCTAACTACTTCATTGCATTTGAATAAATAAATGTTATAGCTATAACTTTGGGTAACACCACTATGACAGATTAAAGACATAAAAACTGGCTACGTCGAAGTTGCCGCTCTCATAGTACCCAATGTACGCTGCAACAATCGTGCTTATTACTGCTCAAATCACAACTCTCTTGGTTACAGGACGGTAATCCACCCAGTAAGGGTAGTGTCGATTCTGAACTAAGTGCAGGCGGCTGGATCATCGTACAATGGGACGCGGGGGTTAGAGCTCATTACCGAATGGGAGCAGAAGGGAAGTACGACCTGAAACTTGTTAACCCTGCATCTCTGGATGGATCGGTTCGGTTGGTTGACGGGGATGACGAACTCAGCGGTCGAGTGGAAATCAGTCACGACGGGACCTGGGGAACAGTCTGTGACGTCAACTGGGACATCCAGGATGCCATGGTCGTCTGTCGTCAGCTCGGCAACTTCTTAGAAGCAGTGGAGATCAAGACGGGATCGTTCTACGGAGAGAGCGAGCGACCAATCTTGATGAACCGTGTGGCGTGTCGAGGGACGGAGAGTCGGTTGGCTGACTGCCCGTTTGTCTGTACCAGCTCTCGTCCCTGTAATACCTCACAAGTGGCCGGGGTGGTTTGCCGACCAAAACTCAGTAAGAAAGAGTCTCACCACTCCTTACGTCTTGCTTGCTTTTAAAACACAATAAAGCTTGTCCAGGGAACAAGTTGTCTTAATTATAACACCCGAATTTCAAATGTCATAACAATAATTATTTTCGACCGTAGTTCGTCATTCTTACGAGATATAGTAGGACTATTTGCCTGCTCTTTATATCAAAATAGATATCAAACCGTTTAAATTAAGTATCGCAGAAATTTCAACAGTTTTGTATAGTTCCTCTTCCAAATCTAAATTCATCACTAATATTCCCCAATTTCTCATTCCAATAATCTGTACTGCTGCTTTGCAAAATACTGTATTCGTTACATTTTTAAGGTTTAAAGTTTTTAAGAAAACCTTTTGTTTTGTTAACCAGATACGGTTCGGTTGGTTGGCGATGGTTCGAATCCCGCCAGCGGACGAGTAGAGATCGACCTGGGGGACAGTCTGCGACAATGACTGGGACACGAATGACGTCCAGGTCGTCTGTCGTCAGCTGGGATTCTCCGGGGCTGTAGAAGCCAAGTCTGGGGCTCATTTCGGCCAGGGGGAGGGGACAATCCACATGGAGGGAGTGTTCTGTGATGGGTCTGAGAGTCAACTGGCTGACTGCCCGTCTCATTGCTGGGAGAAACCGGCATGTAGCCACGCCCAAGATGCTGGCGCCATCTGTCGTCGGGATGAATAAACGGTGAAAGTTGCTCAAGAAACGTGCGGTTATTATGGTTTAGTTTGACGCTATCGTACTCTGTAGCTGCATTTATACTCAGAGGCAGGGTATAGCCCGAACTCTTCATGACATAATTGGGTGTTGAAAGATGTATGTATTTCGCTTATCGAGTGCTTTTGAGGACAGTTATTATGGCAAGTTACGCTATGTACTCTACTTCCATAAACAAAATAAATTTATTATTAAAAGTTAAAGGTAGCCTCCTTTCCCCAGCTGTTACCTCCTAGTAAATAGCTCATGAAATTTCCTCTTTTTTAAGCTCTGGCATGAGCTTTTACATGCCACTAGCTGGTCGGTTTGTCAGTCTGTCTCTCTGTCTCGTAAATTGACCAAAAGTATGGTGTTCCATGTGTGCCATCGGCGTCGCTTTTTTCGGCGTCGCATTTTTCAGCTCTGACAGGGATTATTTTGACCGATTTTAAGCGAGACTTTCATGCAAGACATCTTGTAACACGGCCAGAGCTTATTGCGCACTCGCACTTGCGTTGTATGTACAGCATCTTCCTCTAACAAGGTGGACGCCATTTTGTGTGGTGGTTGGACGGTATCCTTGCAGAAGGAGGAAATGTCCCCAAAAGTGGCGGGATGCGATTTTTAAGTTCTTGCAGAAGCTTCTACGTGTCACTTGGTGGTCGGTCGGTCGGTCGGTCGGTCGGATGGTATGTCTGTCTGTTTGTCTGTCTTTCTCAAAATTGACCAAAAGCATGGTGTTCTATATGTGTTATCGGCGTCTCATTTTTCGCCAATGCTCATTGTACACTCGCACTCGTTAATAAGAAAAACAAAATATATGTACATTCCCAGAAGGTTGTACCGAAAACCTGTCCCCTCCCTATTCGATAGGGTGCTGGTAGCTGGTAAAATTGGCTGCCTAAGAAAATAATGACTAGGCCTATTTCCCATGATTGGTAAGGCAAGTACTCTATTGAGTAGTTATTTTAAAAAGCCTAAAGAATCAAACAATGTCAAATGCATATGTCGGAAATAAAACAAATTCGCTTACATTGAGCATTGCAATTCTTGTATTTATGTGTGTTCATTTGTCCTAAAACGTTGCTATACAGAGTGGATAAAAAAACGAAACCGAGCAGGCGAAGTTCTACGGGGGGGGGGGGGGGGGGGCTAGGCCCAAAATTTTGTCTAGCCCCACCCCAAAAAAATTAATTCCGTAAAAAAAATTGCATTAGCAAAAAGAAGGATGATGTACATATGAACGGTCTCCCAATAAAGAAATAGTCGTGACAAGGGTGCATTTGTATTAATATGGCATGAGCCCCCCTCCCCCCCCCACCTATTGATTTTCGGAGGCCTAAGTGTCTGGAGAAAATAACCGGTCTACATTTCAGCACGCCTCCCTGACAAAAATTCTGGATCCATTCTGCTAGCCCACCAAAATATTGGTTCTAGAACCGCGCCTGTCGGGGGGGGGGGGTGTCTGCAGGTTGGGGCTCAAATCCCCGAAATGTTACATTTCTATTCCCCCACATGCTTTGCCACTGAGACGATTAATTTCACGATTTGTTTAGTACAAGTACGACCTTAACAATCCGATTATGTGTTTTTCTCTGCCAAGCAGTTGAAGGATTTTGAAATTTGTGGGCAAGTTCCCTGATTGTTCTTCTCGAGCAGTTTGGACTTCAGCATTGTGCTATGGAGCTATGGTGCTATGGAAAACTGCCAACCCTTTGCTTTATGTCTGCAGTAAATCGGTGCATGGATTCGGTGAAAGCGTACATGTTTGTCAATCCAGACGAAAGATCCAAGTTAGTAAAATTGCTATGCGATGCGATGCGAGGGTGCAGCCTAACCTACACCAACTCGGGACTTGGTCGCCTCGCTCCACTCATCCCTATCCAGCATTAGGGTCCTCAGCTCCCCGTGTCACTGAGACCAACATCCCACCGCAGCCTGTCGATGTACGTGGTTCGTCTCCGCCTCCTCCTGGCAGTTCCATGAGTCGGCTCCCACAGGATGGTGTTGTGGGCTGCTAGCTCCGGGTGGCGGATGCAATGGCCTGCATGCCATAGCCATCCTCCCATATTTTGTCTGAGATGTGTAGAAGACCGCCATAAAGGTCGATGTTCCTGATGTGGTATCTCCAGAAGTCATTCAGAGCCATGCGCAGCATCCTGGTGTAGACGCCATCAAGCGACTTCTCCTGCTTTACAGTGAGGATCCACGATTTAGCACCGGTTACGGTTACGGTTAGTAAAATTAAATAAACTCCCCCCCCCGAACTTCCTACATTCCGTTGGTCCTTGCTATACCCTCTTCCATAGTTATACTTATATATACTTGCTATGAAAATGTTTCTATGTTTGTGTAAAACTGTAGAAAGGAGCCTAGTATGGCACCATGGAGACATTTTGTGTATCAACGCTAGACAAGCAGAAGTCTTATTTTACCCAATAATGATGACAAGACTGAGTAGTAAACAAACTGTCAACCCGCTGATCCTCCATGCCCTATAGGTCACATGGAATGCCAAGAAACTTTCGATTCGATCGTTGCTATGCTGCAGTCTGTCACAAACTTTGCCAAAAGACGCTTCATTTCTTCTCAAGAACTTCATCTGACAACGCGGGCCTACTGTAAGGAGGGAAAAATGATGGCAGTGAATTACAACTTTGTGGTCGTGTTCGTGTTTTCGTGTGTTCTGTACCGTAAGCAGTTTTCGTTATCTTCTTTTGAGAATGTTTGAAGACAAATCAATGTGTGAACACCGGTGGCACATCTTACGCCACAAAATATTCTATATATATATTTTTTCTTGAGTACTCCTTTTTTTCTCTCCTAAGTTAATCAAAAAGCACATACCACAGAAACTGAATTCTGGTTCAACCCTTCTCTTGCTACTATTCTCGACGACATCGACTGGACTTTCATTCATTTTCAACAAAGGCGATTAAGTTTAAAGACATTTGAATGTCAATGTACTCATCACGCAGAACGCCCAAGTATTGAAATTCACTGACTTGGTGGCGGCTGTTTGCTGATGTGAGGGAGTGTTCATTTAAAAATTTACTGCACTCTATAAAGTCCCAGGTCAGATTTAACTCGGAATCAAGGTTCTATTGGGGCTGACACTATTCCAGATCAAAATGACACTCTTCCGGGCCAAAATGACACCTTTCCGGTTCAAAATGACACTTTCCGGGTCAGAATGACAATTTATCGGGTCAAAAGTAAAAGAAGTGCAACTTTATTAACCCGGAAAAGTGTCATTTTGACTCTAAAAAGTGTCATTTTGACCCGGGAAAGTGTCATTTTGACTCTAATAAGTTTCATTTGACCCGGAAAACTGTCATTTTGATCCGGCATAGTGAAATGCCCAACAGATCCCCGCCTTTTGGGTCAACTCTGGTCCGGGACTTTTTAGGGTGTGGATATGCTGGTTTTAAAATTGAACAATTTCCGTCACGGGAGAACCTGTATTTCTTTCAAAAACTTCCAACCGTTTTTTTTCTCAGAACTGTGCTCAGCCCATCCCATAAGCGAAGAAGGTCTACCAATCAACGGACCAGAGATAACCCAGGTGTTGAAACTTGGAACCAGGGTGGTACGCGGACCCGATTGGATCTTTGGAAATCAGGTACAAATCAAAAGGTTCATCATCTGCCCATAAATTCGGTGAAAATTTAATTCAGTCCACAAAAGTCAAATGTGGGCCTTATTTACGAGTCGGCCATATTAAATTGAAAGTTAGGTAAAATCTAAAAAAAATACCTTGCGAAGAGAAATGAAAGCAACTTAATTTATGATAAATTCCAGTCTGCTTCAATGAATAATTTAAAATTTGTTATTAAACATTAAATGACGTTTATAGCCATATTAAAACAAAATGACAGTAAAATAAGGCTGCATTGTGCATGCATAATAGTCTGGCGCCATCCCATTCAATTCAACAGTTAACAATTAGCGAAATACATTCAGGGAATTCGACAAAAATGGCCAACTCATGAATAAGGCCCGTGGTACCTGGGGGGGGGGGGCATTCCCATAGGGTTGTGCACACAAACTTTCCAACTTTAATTATCCCTAACCCCAATTTTCCTTATTCTCCCCCACAAATGTTGGTATATTTACGTTTTGGACCATGAGCAATCGATCTAGCCTATTTGCGACATTACAATTTTGCCTCTAAAACTGGGAGTTGTGACATCTTTATGTCCGTCGTCTCCCTATGGGTATAACTTATGACGAAAATGTCTCCTTATATAAGGATGCATTAATAGTTATTACTCTAATGATGGCATGGACGGTTATCTACTGCTTTGAACATTGACATTTGTGTTGGTTTATTAATGGTTGTTTGGCTTGGTAGTTTTGTAGAACTACACATGTAATACTTTATGCTAAGGTTCACCGTCTACTCACATCACAACTCTCTCACAACTCTCTTTTTACAGGACGGTAATCCGCCTGGTGAGGGCAGTATCGACGGCCCATACAGTATTCCGGGCTGGTTCTGGGTACAATGGGACGCGGGGACCAAAGGTGTTTACCGCATGGGAGCAGGAGGAAAATACGATCTGAAACTTGTTGAGGATGCAACCATTCGTTTGGTGGACGGGGATGACGAACTCAGCGGTCAGGTGGAAATCAATCACGACGGGACCTGGGGGACAGTCTGTGACGTCAACTGGGACATCCAGGATGCCATGGTCGTCTGTCGCCAGCTCGGCAACTTCTTAGAAGCAGTGGAGATCAAGACGGGATCGTTCTACGGAGAGAGCGAGCGACCGATCGTGATGAACCGTGTGGCGTGTCGAGGGACGGAGAGTCGGTTGGCTGACTGCCCGTTCGTCTGTACCAGCTCTCGTCCCTGTAATACCTCACAAGTGGCCGGGGTGGTTTGCCGACCAAAACTCAGTAAGAAAACTGTCATCTTTTCTTACGTTTAATGTAATCGTATTGCATGCTCTTAAAACACAATAAAGCTTGTCCAGGTAACAAGTTGTCTTAATATAAGAATTTCACTTGTCATTACAATAATTATTTTCGGCAGTAGTTCGTCATGTTGACGAAATATAATACAGGGGTATCGTGAGTCGCTGGCAATCAAAAACTGCCCGAGATTACCGTCTTGATTAACAAGCGTGGTATCTTCAGGTTGCTTCTATCTCTGTTTGCCAGTACTTCAAGTTCATCCACAGACTTGTAACAATCAGTCTGCCACACACGAGACACCCAATATACACCACATTTACACCCGATACACCACATATACACCCGATACACCACATTTACACCCCAATTTGGAAAACTAACAACCATATTTCGGCATACGGAAAACATCATCTTTATTTGTTATAACGACAAAAAACGTTATGCTAACATACACATAAAACACTTTGCAAATGGACATACAAATTATCCGCAGACGGATAAACTATACCCATTTTACACCAAACAACACAAAACAAAACAAAACCCCACAAGCTTAACCCCAAAACAATGGGTTCAAAAAATAAATTGGCCTCCCAAAAACATAAATCAATCTCAACATCGAATGGTACAAACGAAATAAGCAACCGACATTTGGGAAAGAAAAAGTACCATCGCCACATAAGTATGCACTCGTATTAACAAAATAAAGAAACAAAACAACGCAACACACTCGTATTTGTTTCATTTTATATTACTGAAACACGAACAACTAAAAACTAAGACAACCTTTTCCTGCCAAAACAAAAACGAAAAAAGGGTAACAGGAAAAGGAAAAACGAAACCTGTTACTAGTTTAATCCCAAGGAAACCCGAGTGCGGCAGAGTTCGTCAGAAAGTGTCTCGTGGCTGTTTCCCGTGAAAAAAAAACTTGTCCACGCGGCGTGACGGGAACTCATGCGCGCCCGTGGATTATGACGGGCTTGCACATGTTTACTGTACTGTTGCTGTAATTGCTCTCTTACTTAGTTAGGCCCCCTACTTTGTCTTATTATAGTCACTTTTGCGCTCTTTCTTTTTGTCTGAAGAATTGTTTGGAATTGACACCTTTGTTTAGTTTAGAGGGATTAATTAATGACTTTCTTTAAGAGAGGAAGACATGAGATCAGCTGTATTTTTTTTTCAGGTACGTAGGCCCTATTTGTTTATACTTTCATTTTTACAGTAGAATTTCAAACAGCGCAGCTGCAACGTTATAATGACATTTAGTGAGCAGTTTGCTGAAGGGAGGTGGAGGGTGGCGATGATGCCGGGATGAGGGTGTGTGACGCACCCCCTCCCCCACCCGTAGAAGAACCAAGTTCTGTACCTTTTTTGTAACCTTTGTATTGTTGTGCCAAATGTATGCAAAGTTTGTATTTATTATTATTTCTTTCTTCTCTTTTGTTTATTAAAACCAGAAGGGCAATCTATAATATTATTTCTTATAAAGAAGCAGAACAACACCGAGACGAGGCCTATGCCCTAGTACTAAGATTAGGCCAAATATTATTTTCCAATATATTTCTACATTTGTTTTTGATGTGGCTTTGTAGAAAAAACTACAACTACGCTGCAAAAACTGCAGTGTTAAGTTAACACCATTCGGTATCTATATAGGACAACACCAGTAAAATTTAACACCAGATGGTCCTATATAGATATCAATGGTGTAAATTTAACACTGCAGTTTTTGTAGTGTACAAATGTTTTAAAAGCTTTGTTACATAGAGTCCGTTGGAATCGGCAAACCAAATAAAAATGTTTGCATTTGTTTAGACCGTGAGTCAAATGTATTCGCTTAAAGTGTGATTATTTTGCGTACTAAAGAAATGGGCAGAACTGATATGATTGGAATGCTTAAAAGTCACACTTCTCAAAATCTTTATCATAAGTCATGCTTATTTCAATCAAGACATGTGGCAATCATGATTTTAAAAATTGTGACATTTGAACATAAACCGAGCAGTATCAATGTTCCCCCCCCCCCAAAAGTCAAAACTGTAATGACAATTTCCTATTCAGACAAACGGTCTCCAAAAGAAAAGCGCCCTCGTATGTTTTCTAATGCGGTTACGTAGGCCTAATAATAATACAATTCTTTTTTTTCACATGTTAAATACATTTCGAGTGAAAGGGGACAGCAGTGATATAGCCAGGGGCGGGGCGGGGAGGGGGGGGGGCTGGTGGGGCACGTGCCCCTTATTAACTTCCAGCGCCACCAGGTGTCCAGGTGTCCGCCCCCAACAAAAAAGGACGTACCTTATGTGTCCCCTCATAAAATGCCTGTTAGTCCCCCTCCCCGTCCCCCTCCCCATTGAAAAAAAATCGTTTGTATGCCGCTGGGGGATTTTATTTTCCATGATGCCTGTACATTGGAGGTTCGCCTTTTCTGGAATTGATAAAAATAAAAATAACATACATGTGTATAATGGAGAACCTTTAAAACCCCCTCCCTTCCCGGGCGCGGATCCAGAGGGGGAATTAGAGGTCACCCCCACCCACAGCTCTCTCTTGATTTGTTTTTACAATATAAATTCATGAAACATAAAGAAATATATGAAAACGAACCCCCCTTCCCCTCCCATTCAGCAAACTGCTCACTAAAGGCCATAGTCATATAACGTTGCAGCTGAATGCGCTGTTTGAAATTTAACTGTAAACAAATAGGCCGAAACAATATACCTGAAAATACGGCTGATCTCATGTCTTCCTCTCTAAAAGAAAGGCGTTAATTAGTAGCACTAAACAAAGCAAAGGTGTCCATTCCAAACAATTCTTCACACACACACAAAGCACAAAAGTGACTTTAATAAGACAAAGTAGGGCCTAACTAATAAGTAAGAGTGCAATTACAGCAACAGTAGAGTAAACATTTGCCCGTCATAATCCACGGGCACGCATGAGTTCCCGTCACGCCCCGCGGACAAATTTTTTCACAGGAAACAGCCGCGAGACACTTTCTGATGAACTCTGCCGCACTCGGGTTTCCTTGGGCTTAAACTAGTAACAGGTTGCTGGAAAAGGGTTTGCTTTTCCTTTTTTCTTTTCAAAAATTCAAAACCAAAACAGGGTAAAGGGTTTGCTTGTTCTTGTTTTGTTCAAATATTGCAAAACAAACATTGGCAAATGGGTCGCATTTTCTTTTTTCTGTTAAAAAATTCGAAACGAAAATTGGTAAAGGGTTTGCTTTTTGCTGTTTTCTTTTCAAAAATTCAAAAACGATAAATGGTAACACAAGTTTGTTTTTCTGATTTCGTTTTTTAGACGCAGAAACGTTGACGGGTTAACGATTTGCTTTTTCTGTTTCCATACCAAGATTATTAATAGGGTAAATGGTACAGGGTTCGTTTTTCATTTTTCTTCTGACAATTTTCAAACAGTAACTGATTGGACGGTATGTACACGGACCCCCAATCCCAACCACAACTTTTCCGCAAGTCAAGTTCGATTCTTTTTTGGATCGCCAATCTGCAACTGAAGAGTGCCCAAACAGCAAGGCACGAAAGCATGCTATTGCTAACAAGAGGATTTGCGAACATAATCCTCTGCTCGCAGCATTGATCACGTTTGATTACCCAACCTACCACAGTCACTCAATCTCTTATGTCCCCCACTCTACATTTTAATCGGCAAAGACAAGTCCTGCTTAAAATTCATATTAAGCCATACAAGTCACCAGAGAAGAAGTGTCACTGAATGGGATAGTGCCATCCCTTTTCCAAACTTGAAGATTGTATGAATACAAATTAATGTGTGAACACCGTTGGCACATCTTACGCCACAAAATGAAAGTATTTTTTTCTTGTGTACTCCCGTTTTCCTCCTTTTTTGAATCAAAAGGCACATACCACAGAAACTGAATTCTGGTTCAACCCTTCTCTAGCTACTTGACGACATTGACTGGATTTTCATTCAGTTTCGACAGAAGCGATTGAGTTTAAAGACATTTGAATGTCAATGTACTCATCACGCAGAATGACCAGGTATTGAAATTCACGGACTTGGTGGCGGCTGTTCGCTGCTGTGAGGGAGCGGTCATTTAAAAAGCTACTGCACTCTATAAAGTCCCGGGGTCAGATTCAACCCAGAATCCAGGTTCTATTTGGGCTGACACTTTTCCGGGTCAAAAATAATGACACTTTCCGGGTCCAAATGACACTTTTCCGGGTCAAAAATAATGACACTTCAATTTTTCGGGTCCAAATGGCATTTTTCGGGTCCAAATGACACTTTTCTGGGTCAAAATGACACTCTCCGTGTCAAAATGACAATTTTTCGGGTCAAAAGTCATTTAGACCCGGAAAAGTGTCATATTTTTGCGGAATAGTGAAATGACCAATAGATCCCCGCCTTCCGGGTCAACTCTGACCCGGGACTCTTTAGGTTGTGGATATGCCGGTTTTAAAATTGAACAATTTCCGTTACGGTAAAACCTGTATTTTCTTTCAATAAACATCCAAATGTTTTTCCTCAGAACTGTGCTCAGCCCATCCCATAAGCGAAGAAGGTCCTCCAATCAGCGAATCCGAGATAACCAGCCTGCTTACGATTGGTACCAGAGTGGTACGTGGACCAGATTGGATCTTTGGAGATCAGGTACAAATCGAAAGGTTCATCATCCGCCCATAAATTCAGTGAACATTTATTTCAGTCCACAAAAGTCAAATGTGGGCCTTATTCACGAGTCGGCCATACTGAATTGAAAGTTAGATAAAATCTTAATTTTTGGAACTTACAAAGAGAAATGAAAGCATTTTAATTTATGATAAATTCCAGTCTGCTTCAATGAACAATTTAAAATTGGTAATTAAACAGTCAATAACGTTTAAAGCCATATTTAAACAAAATGACAGTTAAATAAGGCTGCATTGTGCCTGCATAATAGTCTGGTGCCATCCCATTCAACAGTTAACAATTAATGAAGTACATTCAGGGAATTCGACAAAAATGGCCAACTCATGAATAAGGCCCATGGTACCGGGGGGGGGGGGCATTCCCATAGGGTTGTGCACACAATTTTTCCAACTTTAATTATCCCTAACCCCAATTTTCCTTATCCTCCTCCATTTATTTGGGTATATTTACGTTTTGGACCTTGGGCAATCGATCTAGCCAATTTGCGACATTACAATTTTGCCTCTAAAACTGGGAGTTGTGACGTCTTAATGTCCGTTGTCTCCCTATGGGTATAACTTATGACGAAAATGTCTCCTTATAAGGATACATAAATTACTCTAATGATGGCATGGACGGTTATCTACTGCTTTGAACATTGACATTTGTGTTGGTTTATTAATGGTCGGTTGGCTTGGTAGTTTTGTAGAACTGCACATGTAATACTTTACGCTAAGGTTCACCGTGTACTCATATCACAACTCGCTTTGTGTCAGGACGGTAATCCGCCTGGTGAGGGCAGTATCGACGGCCCGTACAGTATTCCGGGCTGGTTCTGGGTCAAATGGGACGCAGGGACCAAAGATGCTTACCGCATGGGAGCAGGAAAGTACGATCTGAAACTTGTTGAGGATGCACCTATTCGTTTGGTTGACGGGGATGACGAACTCAGCGGTCGAGTGGAAATCATTCACGGCTGGACCTGGGGGACAGTCTGTGACGTCAACTGGGACATCCAGGATGCCATGGTCGTGTGTCGTCAGCTCGGAATTTTCTTAGAAGCAGTGGAGATCAAGACGGGATCGTTCTACGGAGAGAGCGAGCGACAGATCGTGATGAACCGTGTGGCGTGTCGAGGGACGGAGAGTCGGTTGGCTGACTGCCCGTTTGTCTGTACCAGCTCTCGTCCCTGTGATACCTCACAAGTGGCCGGGGTGGTTTGCCGACCAAAACTCAGTAAGAAAAACTGTCATCTTTTCTTACGTTTAATGTAATCGTATTGCATGCTCTTAAAACACAATAAAGCTTGTCCAGGTAACAAGTTGTCTTATTATAACTCCAGAATTTCACTTGACATTACAATAATTATTTCCGGCAGTAGTTCGTCATCATGTTGACGAAATATAATATACACCTACTTTTTATATGAACATAGATATCAACAGTTTTGTATTATTCCTATCCCGAATCTAAATTCATCACCAATATAACTCAATTTCTCCGTTTGAAAATAACTTTTTAACACGAGTTGCCATCATAATAATGCTTTCTGACTCAACCCGTTAACGTCATTCGAATAATTTGTACTGCTGCTTTGTTAAATACTGTAGCCGTTTACACTTTTAAGGTTTAAAGTTTTTAAGAAAACATTTTTTTTGGGTTAACCAGATACGGTTCGGTTGGTTGGCGATGGTTCGAATTCCGCCAGCGGACGCGTAGAGATCTACCGTGATGCGACCTGGGGGACAGTTTGCGACATTGATTGGGACATGGATGACGTCCAGGTTGTCTGTCGTCAGCTGGGATTCTCCGGGGCTGTGGAAGCCAAGTCCGGGGCTCACTTCGGCCAGGGGGAGGGGCCAATCCACATGGAGGGTGTGGCCTGTGATGGGTCTGAGAGTCAACTGGCTGACTGCCCGTCTCATTGCTGGGAGAAATCGGCATGTAGCCACGCCCAAGATGCTGGCGCCATCTGTCGTCAGGATGAATAAGCCATGAAAGTTTACTCAAGAAAGTTGCGGTTATTATGGTTTAGTTTTTAGTTTGACGCTATATCATAATCTGTAGCAGCATGTATTCTCAGAGGTAGTGCATGTATAAACCGAACTACGAACACTTCATGACAGAATAAGGTGTTGAAAAGATACATGCATTTAGATTGTTGAATATATTCGAGGACAGTTATGGCAAGTTGAGTTTGTGTTGAGAAGAACCGGTTTAAACTCAACGTTGCGGACATTATACTCTGTCCCTTTGTTATGCCAAGTTACGCTATATATACATATACTCTCTAAACGCTTTCTTGAAATCAGCTTGAAAACATAGTTAAATACTCAACATGTTTCAATACTAAACATGATTAGGGCAATGATGAATAGTGTTTAGCAATTGAACATCGATGTTTAGGAATTGGACATGTACTGTTTAGCTGCTAAACTAATATTAACAGCGAAACAGCAAGATTCTGTTTTATTGCTAAACACAATGTTTGGAGTGTACTCTGTTTTCATGGACAAAAAAAATATTATTAAGATTTAAAAGATGTCTTACATTCTCCCTTTTTTTTTAGAAAAATAAAAAAGTTTTTCGTTCCCCGAATGTTGTACCCGAAAACCTGTCCCGTCCCTATTCGGGTGCCGGTAGCTGGTAAAATTGGCTGTCTGAAGAAAATAAATGACTGACCGCATTAGGAACTTGAGAACTTGTGTGTTTCGGGTAAAATAAAGCACATATTTTTCCCGTGATTGCTATGCAAGTTCCCTTGTGCAGGTATTTAAAAAACATACATGTAGAATAAACAATGTCAATTCGCATGTAGAAAATAAATCTTCTCGTACATACGTTGAGCATTCCAATTCTTGTATATGAGTTATGTGCGTTCATGTATCCTTGAACTTGGCTAGATTTCATGAATGATATTTTTGCAATAGCCTATTCAAAGATTGCTTGGAATCTCTAAATTGGCATTATTGTTTATTATAACAAGGTACGAGTCCTGACAGCGCTGCTAACGATTGCACTATTAATAGTTGTCATGGAATGCTTAGACCTACGATCGGTCTCTGGGTCTGCCGGAATCTCTCCAATACTGCTCACTTACATCATTCATCGGACAAACATTGAGAGGGAGAACCCAGCTACAAAATGGGTTTCATCAGTCGCTACATTACCGTGTGGATATTGTCTGCATGGCTGTACCGTAAGTATGACAAACCTTTTCGAAACGATTTAAGTCCATTAACTGCGAATAAATTTATTTTTTATAGATTCTGGTAATATCAGAAGAATTGTTAGACTATCTTAGATTGTCTCTCAAAAGTTAAAATCAAAGCCTAAGCATATAGGCCTAGCCATGTTGTAAAGAGTATTTTAATATTTTAGTAGACAGAAGAGTTTTTTATCATTACCAAAAAAATACCAGAATGTATAGGTGTATTTCGCAAATTGTACTATTTAATTTAATAGAGCTTTACATTCTAATGTTAATTTTAATAAAGAAAGAATGAATGAATATTTTAGTAGACCCAGAAGAGTATTTGTTTATCATTACCAAAATGAAACACTCCGAAAAACATAACAAGCTACAGGCCACAACATGTATCTGTTTCTAATTTCTGACGGGTTTTCAGTAACAACTACCGCCTAACTTGTTAATAACATAGGCCTACACCCATATAAATAGTTTCTTCTTTTTTTCATACTGATATCACTTTACAACTCAATGCAGAGAATGCAGAGAATGTTTAACCGTTACAATACAAGCCGTATACGTGCACTGCGGCAGAAAATGCAAGATTAACCATTACTTGGTAGGTCCTAATTAGGAAAAATCAAAAATTGGCTGGTTTCACATTGGCAAAACACACAAAATCTCTCAGAATCAAAAGTACCGACAATTAACAGCCAAGCCCATTATTATTTTAATCTGTTGTAGTGTGAAATTGTGACTCCTATGAATTACGGACTCGTTGACTGCATCGCGCATGGGTCAGCGAACTGAACATTGAGAACTCACTGATGCATGTGAGGCAGAGATGCCATATAAGGCTAAAAGGGACCAGATTTCATAGGATTCCAAATTTCATGTGACACCGGCATGTGTTAAAACGGCTGGTGAAAAGCCTAAATGCACTGATCACAGTCCATTCTTTTAATTGTAGAATTGAGCGTTGGCCATCCAATCAGTGGTGAACCTGATGATTTATCCGAAGTGCTGAAGATGGGAACGAGGGTGGTACGCGGACCAGACTGGCGATGGGGAGATCAGGTAAGTAGACTTTTATCCAGCACTCATGCATTATATTGCCATCAAAACATTCATTTAAACCTTGGTTGGAAACTTTTCCTAACAAAAATGTATATTTATCTCAGAGGGTGGTAACTTTTGTTCTATTTTAGGTAGTTTGTAATGATTATTCAGTGTTTGAAATAGTTGCCTGTATTGTAAAAAAAAAATATATTATTTGTTTATTCTTTTAACTTTTTGGTTTTGTTTTGTTTTGTTTTATTTATTCTGTTTGCTTTTTTGGACAGCCGCCTAGGCCTATCATTAATTTGCCATGCCAGCCATCGGTTGGTAAAAACTATTACGTATCGATGGGTCTATGGAAAGGTACAATTTTTTGACATGACCTAGCTACTTCAGTTGCATTATTATTCGAATAAATATATGCTATTGCTATAACTTATAGGGCAATACCACCATGAAAGATTAAAGACATAACAAACTGGCCACGTTAGAGTTGCCACTCTAAGAATACCCAATTTACGCTGCAACGACTTTGGGCTTATTAACTCAAATTAAAACTCTGTTCGTGACAGGACGGTAATCCGCCTGGTGAGGGTAGTATGGACAGTGAACTAAGAGGCGGCTGGACTTATGTACAATGGGACACGGGGCACAGAAACCATTACAAAATGGGAGCAGACGGGCAGTACGGCGTGAAACTTGGTGAGGATGCGCGTATTCGTTTGGTGGACGGGGATGACGAACTCAGCGGTCAGGTGGAAATCAACCACGACGGGACCTGGGGGACAGTCTGTGACGTCAACTGGGACATCCAGGATGCCATGGTCGTCTGTCGTCAGCTCGGCAACTTCTTAGAAGCAGTGGAGATCAAGACGGGATTGTTCTACGGAGAGAGGTAGCAACTCAGATGCGAACAAAACCAAAATGTAAGAACTTAACCTGACCAACTCCATCAAAATCCATCCCCCATTTTTTTTTTCGCAGAAAAAGCCACGGTGTACCAAGTCCATCAATATCCACCAGCACCATTTTGTGAAGCAAAGTGAGCGATGGATTTTGACGGATATGGTCTTCTGCTAGGGTTCAAGAGAATCTAAGGAAGAATTAAACTGCATTTTAAAATCATGCCAAATGGACTTTTTAAGCACTTTTTCAAACATGTTTTTCAAAGTTAGATTTTGATCACAAAGGTGAAATCCTTTACACACACCTCATTTTTCTTTCCACAATGCAGATGAATAATAAAGTATTTTATACGCCTGATCCTTGTGTTATGCCTATGTACATTATTTTGACGTCTGCTTTTTGAATAGCCTGAACAGGTACAGACTGCGTATGTAAATCTGATTTGCCTGTTTTGAGACTGTAATTTTAGACTGCCAATTTCCCTCCCTCTGCTGGTTTTCATGGCGTGACAAATTTTGGCTGACCCTATTAGTCTATTTTCCCCCTCGAATTCTCATTTTCATGTACGTGCCTCTCAAGTTTTTCCCGCCTGCACAAATTTATCGTTTAAAATGGCACATCTACTTCCCCTGCACTTGTCTGTTGGATGTATCATCTAAAGTTGCAACTGATCGACCTTAAAGGGAAAATACAACATACAAAAATAAAACTACCAAATCATTTTGAAATACCTTGCTGGACTGTTAGTGAATGACAGTGTAAAGCATCCTGTTAAATCATGGCACCTGGTATGCTGTCATTTTCAAGAAAAGTGTTATTTTTGTACCCATTTCCAAGTTGGAAACAACTGGCTTTTTTTCAAATACTGGCCCCAATTGACCATCGCACTTGTTTGCAATCGATTACACACACTATGAACGGGTACAAGCCAGCTAGACTGGTTCCCTGACCGTACAATTCCCCAATGTATGTAAACTGCTCTGTTTCTTCTTCAATGGAGTCAGGGAACCAGACTACAGGAAAATGATTGTTTTTCTTGGTTTTTATAGCATTTTTGAACCCAAAACCTCAAAAAAGTCAGTGTAACTATATTTGCTATATATTTCCAACCCCCCAATTCCATCCCTTTCTGAAAATTACAGCGAAAGCAAATGATGTATATTCCCTTTAAGTTAACCCAAGAGACGTCAGATAAACAAGAAACTTTGAACTATCAATCAGTGAAAGTAGAACCATTTCCCGGATAGAATCTGCAACACTTGCAACTTCTCAATCAATGTACAAAAATGTCCTACGGTTACTCCACATGCAGCAAATGCTGTCATGTAATTTTGATTCTTGCAGACGAGGAATTGAACTGTGTATAACTTTATTACCAAACTGCGCTGCAGAGCTGAAGTATGACCTACATACAGATGGCAGCCTTAGAAAAGATAAAGAATGACATCCTCAAACCAATACCCTTTTCTGTAATTTTAAAGGCAGAGTGACTTTGTAATTGGTGCATTTTTTTTCGTTTGAAGCAACAAAAGTACTTAAATCTTAACAAGGGTGCTTAAAGAGAATGTACATCATTGTTTTTTGCTGTAATTTTCAGAAATGAACTATTTGAAGGAGGAGAATAATGGATCAAATATTGTTACACTGACATGTTTGAAGGTTTTTGTTCGAAAATTCTGGAAAAACCAAGAAAAACAACAATGTTTAAGTAGGCAGGTTCCTTGACTCCACTGAAATGGATCAAATTCCAGATGCCGGAAAATTGTAAGGTAAGGGAACAAGTCTAGCTGGCATGCACCCGTTCATGAATATGTAACCAATAGCAAACAAATTTTGAACTGAATAAAAAATGGTAAATTTGGAGCAGTAGTTGCAAAATAGTTGGTCGGCCGGTCACCGCTGGAAACGTATACAAAAATATGACTTCACACCAGGTGCCATAACTTTACAGGATGCTTTTGACTGTCATTTACCAACATCCTAGTAAGGTATTTCGGAAAAAACTTGGTAGTTTTATTTTTCGATGTTTGCAAATGTTGTATATTCCCTTTAACTAATCTGATGAAGTTTATAGCTCAGTGAATACTGTATATTCCGAGAAAAAAATATTCTAGGAACTCGATTTCAATTCAAAAATTGACAAGTCATATTTTGAATTGCGCCTGAAATCAGAGTCGGGGACACGTTCTCATTCAGCCGTTTGCAGCGACACGATGTCACGCACTGAACCAATGAATAATAGCAACTACGCGCGCCTGTGCGTCGAGTCATCACTTGCGCGCATCCATTCACGGATTCCCCCAATCACTAAACCAACTACTAACGGAAATTTCCAAAAATGTGTCAATTGACACATCTTTAAGATTTACCTTGTTTAATTGTGTTCTTAAAATAAAAGCATGCCAGAAGGAATAATTTTACTGGGGGTTTAATTCAATTACTACCTTTAAACCAAGAATTTGGTCTGTCACTTTTTGGATAGCTGCAAATAGTTGACTCTACCTTTAAATCTCTTTCCCAGCATGCTAGAGAACATAACCTTCATCTACCAGATATAGGAAAAGATTTCCCAAATGTGCATGGGCGTCGGGAGGGGGGCCCTCCCCCCCCCCCGGAAAAGCAACAACAAAAAAGTCAAAGTAGTGTAAATTTAATGGGAATGTCCAGTGTTGTAGTCGAGTACTTTTTTTCCGAGTACCGAGTACTGCCGAGTACTTAGGTTGCCGAGTACGAGTACGAGTACTTGTACATCCGAGTACAAGAACGGGTCTCCGAGTACGAGTACTTTTACTTCCGAGTACGAGTACGAGTACGAGTACTTCTATTTCCGAATACGGCCATACCGCAAATGGTTCATTGTGCTTAATTGGCCCAGGCCCAGTCAGACCGATAAACAGACCACTCACGACTAGCTGTTAAATGTGTTTGTCTGGACAAGCCAATCAACCATTTCAAACTAAAAGTATCGATAAAATAAGGCCATAGTAAGTGAAGCTATAACATCCCCCCCCCCAGTACTGCTTTTCGAGTACGAGTACTTTAATGATCGAGTACAATTTCGACATGTCGAGTACGAGTACTTTGCTGCCCGAATACGAGTACCGTCATTTCGAGTACGAATACTTCAACATTCGAGTACGAGAACGAGTACTCCAAAAAAGTACTCGAGTAGTACTCGAATACGAGTACTACAACACTGGGAATGTCCCTGCCCCCCCCCCCCAAAAAAAACTGATATTTGGAGAATGTGTCGAGAAATACACATTTTTTTTGGAAAAATATGTTTTGCCCCCCTCTAGAAAAAAATCCTGGCGACGCCCATGCAAATATGTGTTAGTGACCGCACAGTCCATTTGTTTTGGGTCAATAAGACTTGTCTTTACGATACCGCTGCCTGTTTCTGTAGTCAAATGTTGCCGCTTTAAAAAAAAAAACTGACTTGAATGACAGTCACATATGGTTGTCATCATGTGAGTTGCTAGCAGAAGTTCAAAAGTCACTTTCATTACACATTTAGAAGCCCATAAGATGTTGCATGCATCATCTCCCCAGAGTTATTCTATGTTCGTGTGATTAAAGAGTACCTTTTCCCCTATCATGTTCCCTTAGTGCTTATACATGTATTCTTTTTGACCCACACCTGCACGCCTGTTTGTCCACCGAGTCGACAACCTGATTGATTTATAATGATTTTCCCCCCTGCTCCACATCGAAGTGTCAAATTATCACAGGCAGTCAATAAATATACCAAAATTGAGTGTGTTTCTTCTTTTTTTTTACTACTTTGTCGTCTTTCATGGTGCCTAGTAATTATTTGATTTTTGACTCATTTATGTTTGGCCTTAGCGTTCTGATTTCAAGTAGTGTGCACTGGTCATGGTCCTTGGTCAAAGCATGAGCTAATAGCTCCATGGTCAAAGAAAACAAAAACTTGGAAGGTCATTTTGGCTTGGATTTTTTCCTTTGGGTGTGATCAGGTTTAGCTGATGCTTGTGGGAAGGTATAGCTGGCATGGTGTGTAAATAACACAGCCGTTATGTGAAGGGGTATTCGACACCCAGTAATGCTCTCCTGGACCTATATTACCTTGTCCTGGACAGAAATTGTTCAGCTTCAAAGCACGCCTAGGCCAAAACATATTTTTGGTTAAATTTTGAGGTCTGGATTTTTTTTGGGGGGGGGGTAGGCCCTAGTTTTTCCATGTTTGAGTCATGAGAGAGAAAAAAAGTCACATTTATTTTTTCCCGACACATTTTTGGAAACCTCTGAAGGGGTAGACTGTATTATTGGTGATTATTATTATTTTATCTCTTTCCACGGGTGACATTGAGGCAACAAAGAATGAATGATAATTGCGGGGTTTCTCTGCAAGTTGCAAAGTGCATGTTCTAAGTTGGTACAGCACAGGTACAGTATTCTGGAGATTGTGGGTTCAGATCCTGGTTGAGGCAATTTTCTTTGTGTAATCAAGAATTGATTTCAAACGAAATAGGTCATAGTGCCACGTTTTTACATTGTTTATACATAGTAGGCAAGCAAAACTAAATGTGGAAAAGTTCTGTAGAAAATAATTTTACGGCATTTTTTCATGCTACATTAAATTCTTTGGACCATAACAATAAAAATGCTACTTTTTATAGCTGAATTAATCTTTATATCCATGTGAAGTTTAATACTATGTGAAGAATTCTTGATGCAATCATTTAAATACGCGGTGGCCGCGCGTTTTCCGTCATTAAACAAGTGAACCCACAATATTGTCACATTCCTTATGGAATGATAATTCATGCGTCTTTTTAATACAAATGCAACAAATTTTACTTAATATTTGAAATACACCTGTTTTTGATGTCTTTACATTTAATGATTGTCATTTGATGAGAAGAGAGGTGATTTAGGGTAAAGAGTGCTGGGAACGAGTTCACATCCACAAACTAGTATGGACAAGAATCAATAAATTAGAGTCAATCTTAAATTGTTATATTTTGTTGTCTTTGATTCTGTATACTGTAAGTTCATTGGCCTTGAGCGGTCACGCGTCAAGTTTATAAAAACTACATTTGCGGCACCAAGATATCGCTTTAGCACATCTTTGCGCCATAAGCGCTACAGCGGCACATGTCGCACAGTGAAGGGAGTGGTCACGCCCCTCGAGGTTGCATAGGAGTATTTCATGACAAAGGTTGCATTGCGACGATTTTAATTCATTCCTTGCACTTGTACTTGCAGTGTAATTTGCACATTTCATGTTTCCCATTTATTTTGGCACGATATAGGGTGTAACAAGTTATTGACTGTTGGGACGGTGGGAACTGCCTTCTTGATTGTTGTGTGTACAAACACCATGTCCCATATCACAGCAGTCCGAGTGTGCTATGACTTTGTCAGTTGAAGGTTTTGAAATTTTTGGGCAAGTTCCCTGATTATTTTCTCGAACAGTCTTGACTGCAGCATTATGCTATATGTAACAGTGTAGAAAATCTGCCATGCATCTGTTTAGCTCAGTGAATGCAGTATATCCGAACTGGTGCAGGGGTTGGGTTTATGCATAGGCCTACAGCGGCTTGGCTTGCAACCTGTTTGTCCCTCGAGGTGGGGGAGATGTTGAAGGGGCGAAACATCACGTGTTGTTTTAAATTAGACTTTGTTTCGACGCTCCGTTGGTCCTTGCCTGATTGCATCTTCTCCTACTGTTATAATACTTGCGATAAATGATTTCGTTCACCTGGGGATATTCACTAAATACACCAACACTCTTGATATACTAGCAAATGTCGTGTGTCTCGTACGTTTCATCACTCCAAACGACTTGGTAAACAACATGCGTTTTTTCCATCCTCGTAAGTACGGGATCGCCAATCCTCCATGCCCTATAGGTCACATGGGACGGCAAGAAATTTCCATTTGGTCTTTGCTGTCTATCAGAAACTTTGCGGAAACATTCTTCATTTCTTCACAAGCACTTCATAGGACAACGAGGACTTACTGTGCCGAGGGAAAAGATGGCACTGAATAACAACTCTGTGGTGGTGTTTGTTTTGTTATTTTCGGTTCTGTACCGTAAGTATTCATAGTTACGTTCTTGTGAAGACCAAACGATGCGACAGTGAACAGCGGTGGCACATTTAAATGAATATTATGTCAGGCTTTCCTGATGATTTTTCTTTCAGAAACAAAAAAGGTTATCTTTCTTCTTCCTCTGTATTTCTTTTTCGAACGATTTTGAATTTTTGGTTGAACTTTTTATAGGCAAGAACGAATCAAAAGCACATGACCACAGAAATGAAATTGATACAAACGTTAAACAAATGTAAATCATTAAATTGAATTCTTGCTCTACCGTCCTCTGCTATCGAATGTTGATGTGAAGGAACATTCGTTTAAAAAAAGTATTGGATGAGCCGGGTTTTGAATTGAACGAGATTATTTGTGTACTGTGAAAAACCCTTTTGAACACCAAAATGATCGGCGTTTTGGGGGACAATCTCACAGCCTGGGGCGGATTCCTCAGAACTCGGGCTTGAAGCAAGAAAATGCAATGAAATTTGGCACCCATGTAGATCAATTTAATATCAACATATTTACCAAATTTGATGTTCATAAGACAAAGTGTTTTTACCTTATTAAATTAGCAAGCTAGCACACTGTTATTACAACAAGCTGTATCCATGTATTGTATATGGGGAAATGAGATTTCCGTAGTGCCCTGGTGCGCAGCCTCAAAATAATGTCGCGCCGTGCGGTGACCCTAGGGTCAATTTTCATATAGTAATTTGGCATCAAAACGTGCACCAGACTTGAAGCTAGAAAGTCATGAAAGCCAAGGGAGAGAAGTGCGCGTTGGCGAAAATATTGCTGAAAAGGTGCTGGGGTGGAATCCACCCCGGCCATTTAGGGTTAAACTCTATTTTTTCCACCCTTGGTTTATATTAGAATGTGGTTCCGCCCATCCCATCAGCGAAGAAGGTCAACCAATGAGCGCATCCGAGATGGCCAGTATTTTGAAAATTGGTACACGGGTGGTACGTGGACCAGATTGGGCCTATGCAGATCAGGTACAAATCCAAAAGGTTCATCGTTTTTCCCTAAACGCTGTAAAAGTTTCTTTTTCAAGTTTGTTAAAGTCAAATGTGTTTTTCCCCGTTATGCAGCCAACGAACTTGTCACGTGAAATAAACAAACATTAGAGAAAGCTATGACCATGGAGAATTTTCACGGGTTTCAGGCTGTCTTTCAAAATCTGGATTATGTCCAGTCATTATCCTTTTTTCCGCCGAGTGAAGGCCGCTTAACCACGAGCGGATCCAGAGGGGTGGGTTTTGGGGATAAAAAAAAACCAGCTCTATTAAAAAAAATCATGGAAATTCATTCAAAGTAATGCATCCCCTCCTACTCTGATATCCACAAACATACTAGTAAAAATAGATACGCCTGTGCACTGGGTTACGGGGGTATTTGTACACTATTCTGTAAAATAGTAATCGTCGGATTTGAACAGCGCCCCCGTTGAAACCATTTTACGAGGCCCTCCCCATTTAGTCAGGTGGCATATGGTCGGAATCGTGACCGACTGGTCCAAAGCACCAAACTTGGCAGATAGATTCTTATAGCTCTAGAGAAGATATTTAGAAGGGGTGACACCTGAAATTCTTTTGGGCAGGGTGCCTAATTTGCATAAATCGGTAATCCCTGCCGTGTGATATATTTATTCCCATATTTGGGTATATTTTATTTATTTTTTTTTTTTGAAAAGTGTATTTTTGGTGATTCTACATGCATATTCTTACTTCAATAACATTTTGTAAAGCATATAAGTGACTGAATAATTAGGAAGACATAGTAAAGAACCAACATTGCTACTATTTTACCCTAAAGTTGCGCGCATTTAACTTTTCCTCAGATGTCATCAACTAGTCTCGCCAAACGTGGATATTGATGAGCTTCAAATTCACAAAGTTACTTACTGGCATAGTTAACCTAACAAAAATAAGTGGGAAATCATGTGAAAATTGATAACATCTTGATGTTTAGCCCAAAAGACCAAAAAAGGGGAGAAATTGTGGTGTCCGTAAATTGGGCTACTACAGAAAGGGTAACGTGGGGACTTGAACAAGTTCAACGAAATCCCACCAAATATGAGATTATTGTTGTTTACAATAATTTTGTCTACGCCAAAACGTTTTCTCAACAATAATTTTGGGAATTTCCTTGAACTTGTTCCAGTCTTCCATGTTAGGCAACCCTTCACCTACTTGTTAGCCCAATTTATGGACACCTCGTTTTTTCCCAATTTTTATTTTCTTGGCTAAATATCACAATGTTATCATTGTTCACATGATTTTGCATAAGGTTTTAATAGGGTAACTGGACCAGTAAGCTTCTTGGTGAATTTGAAGTTCATCAATGCTGATGTTTTGCAAGACTATTTGATGATATCTGGAGACAAGGTAAATGCGCGCAACTTTAGGGCATAATAGTAGCCAATTTGAATCGTTACTATGTCCTCATAATTATTCAGACACTTGTATACTTTGGAAAATGTAATTTAAGCAAAGATATGTAAGTAGAATCCCCAAAATACACTTTTCGATTTTTTTTTTTTAAATATACCCCCATGATATGGGAATAAATATATTACACACAGGTATTAACAAATTATGCAAATTAGGCACCCTTCCAAAAAGAATTTCAGGTGTCACCCCTTCTAAATATCTTCTCTAGGTCTATAAGAATCTATCTGCCAAGTTTGGTGCTTTGGACCAGTCGGTCACGATCTTGACGAAAATTAAATCTAAGCCACCTGACTAATTCAACATCATCTGCCGTGGCTGAAAGTTCAACAGGTTAGTTGTTATGCACCCTACTTCAGATTTTGAACAGTTTTGTTTCTTCAAACTATAAGAAAATGCACAAAAGGCAAATATTACCTTTAAAGTGGTGTTTGACGGTTAGTCGCTCAGTTGATTGGAGTTTTACAATGCCTTTAATTGATTTGTTTGGGGAGGGGGTTGAATGGTTGACTTGCTGGTTTGGTAGAACTATATACGTGTACAATTTTATGCTATTAAAGGGGCACCATACCTTCTCAAATCACAACTCTCTTTGTGATATAGGATGGTAACCCACCTGGTGAGGGTAGTATCGATGGCCCACACGATACTGTTTCCGGCTGGTTTTATGTAAGATGGGACGCGGGGAACAGAAACAGTTATCGAATGGGATTAGACGGCAAGTACGACCTGAAGCTTGTTGACGCTGCGTCTCTGGATGGATCTATTCGGTTGGCGAATGGCGATGACGAACTTAGCGGTCAGGTGGAAATCAATCACGACGGGACCTGGGGAACAGTCTGTGACGTCAACTGGGACATCCAGGATGCCATGGTCGTCTGTCGTCAGCTCGGCAACTTCTTAGAAGCAATGGAGATCAAGACGGGATCGTTCTACGGAGAGAGCGAGCGACCGATCGTGATGAACCTTGTGGCGTGTCGAGGGACGGAGAGTCGGTTGGCTGACTGCCCGTTTGTCTGTACCAGCTCTCGTCCCTGTAATACCTCACAAGTGGCCGGGGTAGTTTGCCGACCTAAACTCAGTAAGAAAAAGTCTCCCCACTCCTTAATTCTTGCTTGCTTTTAAAAACACAATACAGCTTATCCAGGTAACAAGTTGACTTAATTATAACACCAGAATTTCAATTGTTATAAACAATGATTATTTTCGACCGTAGTTCGTCATTCTAATGAGATATAGTAGGACTATTGGTCTGCTCTTTATATCAACACAGATATTAAGTATCGCAGAAAATTCAACATTTTTGTATAGTTCCTCTTCCAATTTAAATTCATCACTAATATTCCCCAATTTCTCAGTTTGAACATACTTTTTTGACATGACTTGCCATCATAATTATGCTTTCTGACTGAACCTGTACGTTTAATGCCATTCGAATAGTCTGTACTGCTGCTTTGCAAAATACTGTATTCGTTACATTTTTAAGGTTTAAAGTTTTTAAGAAAACCTTTTGTTTTGTTAACCAGATACGGTTCGGTTGGTTGGCGATGGTTCGAACGCCGACAGCGGACGAGTAGAGATCTACCGTGATGCGACCTGGGGGACAGTTTGCGACAACGAATGGGACGCGGATGACGTCCAGGTCGTCTGTCGTCAGCTGGGATTCTCCGTGGCTGTGGAAGCCAAGTCCGGGGCTCATTTCGGCCAGGGGGAGGGGCCAATTCACATGGAGGGAGTGTTCTGTGATGGGTCTGAGAGTCAACTGGCTGACTGCCCGTCTCATTGCTGGGAGAAACCGGCATGTAGCCACGCCCAAGATGCTGGCGCCATCTGTCGTCGGGATGAATAAACCGTGAAAGTTGCTCAAGAAACGTGCGGTTATTATGGTTTAGTTTGACGCTATCGTACTCTGTAGCTGCATTTATACTCAGAGGCAGGGTATAGCCCGAACTCTTCATGACAGAATGGGGTGTTGAAAGATGCATGTATTTCGCTTATCGAGTGCTTTTGAGGACAGTAATTATGGCAAGTTACGCTATGTACTCTACTTCCATAAACAAAATAAATTTATTATTAAAAGTTAAAGGTAGCCTCCTTTTCCCAGCTGTTACCTCCTAGTAAAAAGCTCATGAAATTTCCTCTTTTTTAAGCTCTGGCATGAGCTTTTACATGCCACTAGCTGGTCGGTCTGTCAGTCTGTCTCTCTGTCTCGTAAATTGACCAAAAGTATGGTGTTCCATGTGTGCCATCGGCGTCGCTTTTTTCGGCGTCGCATTTTTCAGCTCTGACAGGGATTATTTTGACCGATTTCAAACGAGACTTTCATGCAAGACATCTTGTAACACGGCCAGAGCTTATTGCGCACTCGCACTTGTGCTGTATGTACAGCATCTTCCTCGAACAAGGTGGACGCCATTTTGTGTGGTGGTTGGACGGTATCCTTGCAGAAGGAGGAAATGTCCCCAAAAGTGGCGGGATGCGATTTTTAAGTTCTTGCAGAAGCTTCTACTTGTCACTTGGTGGTCGGTCGGTCGGTCGGTCGGATGGTATGTCTGTCTGTTTGTCTGTCTTTCTCAATATTGACCAAAAGCATGGTGTTCTATATGTGCTATCGGCGTCTCATTTTTCGCCAATGCTCATTGTACACTCGCACTCGTTTATAAGAAAAACAAAATATATGTACATTCCCAGAAGGTTGTACCGAAAACCTGTCCCCTCCCTATTCGATAGGGTGCTGGTAGCTGGTAAAATTGGCTGCCTAAGAAAATAATGACTAGGTCTATTTCCCATGATTGGTAAGCCAAGTACTCTATTGAGTAGTTATTTTAAAAAGCCTAAAGAATCAAACAATGTCAAATGCATATGTCGGAAACAAAACAAAGTCGCTTACATTGAACATTGCAATTCTTGTAGTTATGTGCGTTCATTTGTCCTAAAACGTTGCTATACAGGGTGGATAAAAAAACGAAACCGAGCAGGCGCAGTTCTACGGGGGGGGGGGCGCTAGGCCCAAAATTTTGTTGAGCCCCCCCCCCAAATAAATTCCGTAAAAAAAATTACATTAGCAAAAAGAAGGATGATGTACATACGAACGGTCTCCCCATAAAGAAATAGTCGTGACAAGGGTGCATTTGTATTAATACGGCATGCGCCCCCCCCCCCCCCCCCCCCCCCCCCCTATTGATTTTCGGAGGCCTAAGTGTCTGGAGAAAATAACCGGCCTACATTTCAGCGTGCCTCCCTGAAAAAAATTCTGGATCCATCCTGCTAGCCCCCCAAAAATATTGGTTCTAGAACCGCGCCTGTCCGGGGGGGGGGGGGGTGTCTGCAGGTTGGGGCTCAAATCCCCGAAATGTTACATTTCTATTCCCCCCCCCCCCGATGCTATGCCACTGAGACGATTAATTTCACAATTTGTTTAGTACAAGTACGACCTTAACAATCTGATTATGTGTTTTTCTCTGCCAAGCAGTTGAAGGTTTTTGAAATTTGTGGGCAAGTTCCCTAATTGTTCTTCCCGAGCAGTTTGGACTTCAGCATTGTGCTATGGAGCATGTTAGAAAACTGCCAACCTTTTGCTTTATGTCTGCAGTAAATCGGTGCATTGATTCGGTGAAAGCGTACATGTTTGTCAATCCAGACGAAAGATCCAAGTTAGTAAAATTGCTATGCGATGCGATGCGAGGGTGCAGCCTAACCTACACCGACTCGGGACTTGGTCGCCGCCCTCCACTCATCCCTATCCAGTATTAGGGTCCTCAGCTCCCCGTGTCACTGAGACCAACATCCCACCGCAGCCTGTCGATGTACGTGGCTCGTCTCCGCCTCCTCCTGGCAGTTCCATGAGTCGGCTCCAACAGGATGGTGTTGTGGGCTGCTAGCTCCGGCTGGCGGATGCAATGGCCTGCATGCCATAGCCATCCTCCCATATCTTGTCTGAGATGTGTAGAGGACCGCCATAAAGGTCGATGTTCCTGATGTGGTATCTCCAGAAGTCATTCAGAGCCATGCGCAGCATCCTGGTGTAGACGCCATCAAGCGACTTCTCCTGCTTTACAGTGAGGATCCACGATTTAGCACCGGTTACGGTTACGGTTAGTAAAATTAAATAAACCTTTTTCCCCCGAACTTCCTACATTCCGTTGGTCCTTGCTATACCCTCTTCCATAGTTATACTTATATATACTTGCTATGAAAATGTTTCTATGTTTGTGTAAAACTGTAGAAAGGAGCCTAGTATAGCACCATGGAGACATTTTGTGTATCAACGCTAGACAAGCAGAGGTCATATTTACCCCATAATGATGACAAGACTGAGTAGTAAACAAACTGTCAACCCGCTGATCCTCCATGCCCTATAGGTCACATGGAATGCCAAGAAACTTTCGATTCGATCGTTGCTATGCTGCAGTCTGTCACAAACTTTGCTAAAAGACGCTTCATTTCTTCACAAGAACTTCATCTGACAACGTGGGCCTACTCAAACGAGGGAAAAATGTTGGCAGTGAATTGCAGCTTTGTGGTCGTGTTCGTGTTTTCGTGTGTTCTGTACCGTAAGCAGTTTTCGTTATCTTCTTTTGAAGAATGTATGAAGACAAATCAATGTGTGAACACCGGTGGCACATCTTGCGCCACAAAATTTTCTATATATATATATTTTTTCTTGAGTACTCCTTTTTTTTCTCTCCTAAGTTCTTAAATCAAAAAGCACATACCACAGAAACTGAATTCTGGTTCAACCCTTCTCTTGCTACTATACTCGACGACATCGACTGGACTTTCATTCATTTTCAACAAAGGCGATTAAGTTTAAAGACATTTGAATGTCAATGTACTCATCACGCAGAATGCCGAAGTATTGAAATTCACTGACTTGGTGGCGGCTGTTTGCTGATGTGAGGGAGCGTTCATTTAAAAAGCTACTGCACTCTATAAAGTCCCAGGTCAGATTTAACCGGAATCAAGGTTCTATTGGGGCTGACACTATTCCGGGTCAAAATGACACTCTTTCGGGCCAAAATGACACCTTTCCGGTTCAAAATGACATTTTCCGGGTCAAAATGACACTTTTCCGGGTCAAAATAACACTTTTCCGGGTCAGAATGACAATTTATCGGGTCAAAAGTAAAAGACGTGCAACTTTATTAACCCGGAAAAGTGTCATTTTGACTCTAAAAAGTGTCATTTTGACCCGGGAAAGTGTCATTTTGACTCTAATAAGTTTCATTTCACCCGGAAAACTGTCATTTTGATCCGGCATAGTGAAATGACCAATAGATCCCCGCCTTCCGGGTCAACTCTGGTCCGGGACTTTTTAGGGTGTGGATATGCTGGTCTTAAAATTGAACAATTTCCGTCACGGGAGAACCTGTATTTCTTTCAAAAAACCTCCAACCGTTTTTTTTTTTTTGAAGAACTGTGCTCAGCCCATCCCATAAGCGAAGAAGGTCTACCAATCAACGGACCAGAGATAACCCGGGTGTTGAAACTTGGAACAAGGGTGGTACGCGGACCCGATTGGATCTTTGGAAATCAGGTACAAATCAAAAGGTTCATCATCTGCCCATAAATTCGGTGAAAATTTAATTCAGTCCACGAAAGTCAAATGTGGGCCTTATTTACGAGTCGGCCATATTGAATTGAAAGTTAGGTAAAAATCTTACATTTTTGAACTTGCGAAGAGAAATGAAGCAACTTAATTTATGATAAATTCCAGTCTGCTTCAATGAATAATTTAAAATTTGTAATTAAACATTCAATAACGTTTAAAGCCATATTTAAACAAATGACAGTAAAATAAGGCTGCATTGTGCATGCATAATAGTCTGGCGCCATCCCATTCAACAGTTAACAATTAATGAAATACATTCAGGGAATTCGACAAAAATGGCCAACTCATGAATACGGCCCATGGTACCGGGGGGGGGGGGCATTCCCATAGGGTTGTGTACACAATCTTTCCAACTTTAATTATCCCTTACCCCAATTTTCCTTATCCTCCCCCACAAATTTTGGTATATTTACGTTTTGGACCATGAGCAATCGATCTAGCCTATTTGCGACATTACAATTTTGCCTCTAAAACTGGGAGTTGTGACATCTTAATGTCCGTTGTCTCCCTATGGGTATAACTTATGACGAAAATGTCTCCTTATAAGGGTACATAAATTACTCTAATGATGGCATGGGCGGTTATCTACTGCTTTGAACATTGACATTTGTGTTGGTTTATTAATGGTCGGTTGGCTTGGTAGTTTTGTAGAACTACACATGTAATACTTTATGCTAAGGTTGACCGTCTACTCACATCACAACTCTCTTTGTGACAGGACGGTAATCCGCCTGGTGAGGGCAGTATCGACGGCCCATACAGTATTCCGGGCTGGTTCTGGGTACAATGGGACGCGGGGACCAAAGCTGCTTACCGCATGGGAGCAGGAGGAAAATACGATCTGAAACTTGTTGAGGATGCAACCATTCGTTTGGTGGACGGGGATGACGAACTCAGCGGTCAGGTGGAAATCAATCACGATGGGACCTGGGGGACAGTCTGTGACGTCAACTGGGACATCCAGGATGCCATGGTCGTCTGTCGCCAGCTCGGCAACTTCTTAGAAGCAGTGGAGATCAAGACGGGATCGTTCTACGGAGAGAGTGAGCGACCGATCGTGATGAACCGTGTGGCGTGTCGAGGGACGGAGAGTCAGTTGGCTGACTGTCCGTTTGTCTGTACCAGCTCCCATCCCTGTAATACCTCACGAGTGGCCGGGGTGGTCTGCCGACCAAAACTCAGTAAGAAAAACTGTCATCTTTTCTTACGTTTAATAATGTAATCGTATTGCAGCCTGTCCAGGTAACAGGTTGTCTCATTATAACTCCAGAATTTCACTCGTCATTACAATAATTATTTTCGGCAGTAGTTCGTCATGTATCAATCTAATTTAGACCTTTTAAAAAAAAAATCGACACAGATATCAACCGTCAACAGATATCAACAGTTTTGTATTATTCCTCTCCTAAATCTAAACTCATCACTAATATTCCTCAATTTCTCAGTTTGAACGTAATTTTTTTGACATGAGTTGCCATCATAATAATTCTTTCTGACTCAACCGTACGTTTAACGTTATTCGAATAATTTGTACTGCTGCTTTGCTAAATACTGTAGTCGTTGGAACTTTTAAGGTTTACCTTTCTTAAGAAAACCTTTTTTTTGTTTACTAGATACGGTTCGATTGGTTGGTGATGGTTCGAATCCCGCCAGCGGACGAGTAGAGATCTACCGTGATGCGACCTGGGGGACAGTCTGCGACAATGACTGGGACACGGATGACGTCCAGGTCGTCTGTCGTCAGCTGGGATTCTCCGGGGCTGTGGAAGCCAAGTCTGGGGCTCATTTCGGCCAGGGGGAGGGGCCAATCCACATGGAGGGTGTGGCCTGTGATGGGTCTGAGAGTCAACTGGCTGACTGCCCGTCTCATTGCTGGGAGAAACCGGCATGTAGCCACGCCCAAGATGCTGGCGCCATCTGTCGTCGGGATGAATAAGCCGTGAAAGTTACTCAAGAAAGTTGCAGTTATGATGGTTTAGTTTGACGCTATATCATAATCTGCAGTAGCATATATTCTTAGAGGTAGTGCATGTATAAACCGAACCTCGAATACTTCATGACAGAATAAGGTGTTGAAAAGATGCATGTATTTAGCTTGTGGAATACACATGTATATTCGAGGAAAGTTAAGTTGCTACGACGGATTGTGTTTACTTTAGCAATGGAACATTGATGTTTAGTAATTGGACACGTTATGTTTAGCTTTCAAACATATGTTTACAACGTGATAGCACAATTCTGTTTTATTGCTAAACACATTTTTTTTAGTGCACTCTGCCTTCCCAAACAAATTCAAGTACCGGTAACTATTAAAAGTTGAAAGGTGCCTCACTTTTTTCCCAGTTGTTGCCTCAAAGTAAAAACTTAAATATCCTTTTTTATTAGAAAAAGATATTTCCGTTCCCCGAAGGTTGCACCCGGAAACCCGTTCCCTCCCTATCTGTGCAGGTAGCTGGTAAAACTAACTGTCTCAGGAAAATATATGACTGACCCTAGTTTATCCATTGAAACATTAAGAACTTGTGAACATGTGTGTTCAGGGTCACAAAACATATATAGGCCTAATTCCCATGATTTATATACCATGTATTCCCTTGAGAAGGTGTTTAAAATGCCGAAAGAAAATATATAACTCTTCGTTTGCATTGAGCATTGCAATTCTTGTGTATGGGTTATGTGCGCTTATGTATCCTGAGCGCACATGTTCTTACTGGAGCTTTGCAAGATTTCATGAATTTTATTTTTGTTTAACGCTCAAAGATGTAGTTTAGCAATGCTATTTTTTTGCAGTTGGGAAGACTTTAAGTGTCTTCACAGTTCACACACAAGGATAAATCTTAATTTCTGATCTTAATTTCTAATTGAATTTGACTCACCTCAGGAACATGGCGTAACCCAGGTGCCCCCTCAGAATTTTAACCCCATATTATACACCACTGCTCAGAAAACATGTGTTTATATTCCTTTTCCCCCTATTCTAAACCTCACAAGTCATTTAAGGATAAATAATTTGTACATGTTCCTAATTGAATAATTTTATAAAGCAGTGTTTAATACTGACAACAAATCACATTATAAACTTCATATATATTCTAGCATGAGGATGAAGTGAAAATGGCTGTACTTTAGTTCTTGCAATTTCAATCGTTTATATGTTTCACTTATTGCATATTGTGCTATTTTCTCTTTTTTTATCTAAAAGGTATGCTTGCATAGACTTTTGCTGGTGTGCTGTGGTTTAGTTGAAATGTTTCGTTAAAAAATTATGTAATGCATTGCATATTTTTTAAACGTTGTAAGAATAACGATGCGTAAGTCTCTGCAACAATTGGAGTTTAGAGTTACACTTGTCTATATCAAATGATTTGGAAACGACAAAAATATCACAAAGCAAATGTTGAAATTAATTTTTAATTATTTGTTGGCAGGTTTGACCTGCCTGCAAAATGGCAATAACCTGGGGGGGGGGGAGGTAGCAAGTAGAATATAATCACTCAGCACTAATATAAGACTGATGTTGCTATTTTAACAGCTGGAATAATGTAATCATCCACGTGGGTTTCAATATTATGAAGAGTTCAGAATGCTATAAATCAAATGCGCTCATGGCATATCATGGTTTTCGTTCATTCTTTCACGTCTATGAAAATTCGGCAAAATTATAAATCGTATGACCCATGACTGCAACATTTTGTTATGGACTGTAATACATGCTTCTTTTAAAAAAATATGAATGCAACAATTTGTATTTCGGCTTTGAAGTTCACCTGTCTCAAATGTCTTTAATGGTTGTCATTTGATTAAAAAAACCAGACAGTTGATTTAGGCTAAAGAGTGCTGGTACGAGTTCACATTCACAAATTATTCCAATTTCAGTCAAATTAGAGTCATTCATCAATCAGTTTTGGATACTGTAATGTTATTGGTCCTGAGTGGTCACGTGTCAAGTTTATATGAATGCTATCATCGGGAAAGTTCGCGCAAGAACTATTGTTAACCATAGTTTGACTAAGTTAGCCCGAACTCTGTCTAGTCGACGATGGTTGACTACGCTAGTCGACTATTTTGGAACCAGCCTACTTGGCCTGGATGAATCGCTGGTAACCAATAGCCGCGCACATTCGTAACGTACAGCAGGGAGCCAGGACCCAGAAGTTCTGCGATGACATTTTGATCAGCGTTTGACTAGAGACGTTCGCACGTTGCAATCAGTGCGCAGGCGTAAGTTGCGTTACAAATCAATCGTTTGTCGAATAAGTGCCCTTGCCCGAACTTGCTCGTAATTTGCGTCAACGGCTTTAGCACATCTTTGCGAAAACCAAAAAACAATGAAAAAGTGGTGTGAAGCCATATTGCTGTTTATTTGATGGGGGGGGGGGGGGTAGGGCAAATGCTCCCCTGCTCACGCTTGGAAAAATTATAAATTGAAAATATTATGAAAAACTTAAGGAATTTGGGGAAAATTTTGCTTTGCCCCCCTCCCCCCTGGAAAAAATCCTGGCGACGCCCATGGTTGCGAAGTCACTAATTTATAAAAAAATTCCGGGGGGGGGAAGGCAGGTTCGATGGGGGCAGGTTCGGTCCTGGTGCAGGTTCGATGCTCAGCTCCGGTTGTTCCGACGCCGGCTGCACTTCTGACCACCGGCTTCGGCACATCGTCAATCCGAACACGACGTGCCCTCACCCCACTGCGTCGCCCGTGTACGGGGTCTCGATCTCCCACGCGGCCTCCTGGCAATGCCGGCATCCATCCTGCTCGCACTACGCAAAAGCTGGGGCTGATGACCGGGTGGACTTAGGCATTCTTGGACAGTTACTCGATGAGATCAAACTTAAACCAGACAACGAAACTACTTTTAGAATTATGAAGATAACCTCGGATGAAATTCGAAGTTTAAACTTGGGGCTGAACAGGAGAACAGCAATAACGATGTTTCCACATTCAGTTACTGCAACGAAGTGGTCTTCTCCATGTGACAACAGTCCCTTTGCCCCCCCCCCGATCCGCCCTTGTCTGTATGTAGCAGTATCTGACATCCTTTTATCTTAGTGACTGCAAGTTATATCCAAACCGTCTCAATGATTCGGTCAAAGCATACAGCAGTTTTATATTGACCGGTATACTGCATGTGCAGCAATTAACCAAAGCGGGCGCCCTTAACACACACGCCAACAGTTCTTTGCGTGTGGTTTGTCGGATTACAGTCAACTCGACCGTTTGCCATCTCGGCTCGAACCAACTCGACCGTTTTTTTTACAAGTGTACTTTTCTTTCATATCTAGCACGAGTTCGTCCCAGCTTTCAGCACAGCAAACTCCGTGCTACGAACAGATGCAATCATTCAAATGTAAAAGTAAAATCATTTTGCATCTATTAATAAAAGATGTACTTGTCAATAAATAGTCCTTTTCTCTAACCCGTTTGCGTGCGAGCCGCCAGGCATTGTCTGGTCGCGATCATAATGTGGGCCAGGACACGGCTGTGACCTCGTGCGGTGAACATTACTTCTTCTTTTTTAATGAGAGATACAAATACAAATACGACTTGTTGTTTGTTTTGTTAGGATTCAAATGATATTATCAAAACATTTGATTCGGTTTCGAAAACTTAGAATAAAAAAAGAACATAATTTGACAATAAAAATGACTGAATGTTTCACTTTTAACCATTTAAATCATTATATTTCCAAAACACAAGCTAGTATAAAATGACTTAAAATATACCCGACCGAGTGGTTTCTGTGAACCAATGCTATACTGTCGATCGCAAACTATCGACCCCCCCTCCACCTGTTAAGAACGCCCCTGCGTACGGTTCGACGTCATAGCAATGGTTTATAGTGAACATGAATTCTGCTGCGCGAATTACAGTCAACCCGACCGTTTTGCCAACTCGACTCGAACAAGTACCAACTCGAACGTCGTACCAACTCGACCGTCGTACCAACTCGACCGTTGAACCAACTCGTCCGTTGACCAACTCGACTTCACTTTCGAGTCAACTCGACGGTTTGTCAACTCAACCGTTTGCCAACTCGTTCATTGCATGTACAACTCGACACGAAGCTGCTTAACAATCAGGCCCGGATTAAGTGTTTCGTAGGCCCTAGGCACCAGTGTTCCGAAGAATGGAGAAGGAAGGGGAAAGGAAGAGGGAATAAGAACAAAGTGGAGAATTTTAATAATAAACACCGCTGCTCAAAACTCCGCGAAGCTAAAATCAGGTTCTGCAACCCATGGCAAATGATTGTGCATTCTGTCATGTCGGCACAAGCTGCCGCACGAAGTCACTTCATATACAGGCGTTGACAGCTACAGCTGTGCATATAAAAAATATAAAAATATAAACAAAATCCACTATAGGATTTAGAGACCCCCCCCCCCCCGCCCTGCAGTCTGGGATCAGGGAACAGGCCTGAACAAGGCATGCGCAAAGGTAATGAGCATGAACATGCAGTTTTGCGACAATGATATAAAACATTATAGCTGGATTGAATATGTATTTCCGAGCAATTTTAAAAATTAATATCGAACGATTACAGTACAAGCTCTCAATATAACAAATCAATCATTCCTGCAATTGTCCTCCAATAGAAATGAAAGAGAAAATAAAACAAAAAGTTATGTGGCGATGGCCAAGTCTTCAGGAGTCGGACTTATGACCCTAACTCAATGAGCCCCTTACCGACTTCCATATAGAACTCTTCCGGGACTCGGTACCCGGCCCACCACACCTCCTTCCCTGTCCATCCATGTAACTCGAAAGTCAGGCACCATAAAGGGAGGAAACGAGGTGGCACCCTAAGCCTTGCTGCCGAGTCAGCAAAAGAACCCCGTACCTATACGCAGATGCCAACCTGGACTTCGCAGACAGTCCCAACTTGTGAGTCAGCTTACCGACCGACCGACCGAGCTAACTGCTGTTGGTAAATGACGACGGGAAATTAATACT